TCTATCTCTCTCTCTCCATCTATCGATCTATTGTTGTTGTAGTTGTAGTTGTAGTTGTAGTTGTTGTGGTTGGTGTTGTCGTTGTCGTTGTCGTTGTCGTTGTCGTTGTCGTTGTTGTTGTTGTTGTTGTTGTTGTTGTTGTTGTTGCTGTTGCTGCTGTCGTCGAAGTTAGGGTAGTTACGTTAGTGAAGTTACTTAAGTTAGTCAAGTTAGTTAAGTTAATCAGTGTCTACTTTTTCGACATCTGCACGTCAAAAAAGGCTCAAAACCTTCAGTTTTTTACACTTTTGACTTCGAAATGTGCTTCGCGCCACAACGGCGTGCACTTTTTCGACACTTTTTCGACATCTGAACCTCCAAAAGTGGTCCGAGACCGCCAGTTTTTAACACTTTTGACTTGGAAATGTGCTTCGCGCCATAACGGCGTGCACTTTTTCGACATCTCAACTTACAAAGGTGGTCCGAGAATGGTGTGTTTGTACATTTTGACTTGGAAATGTGCTTCACGCCACAACGGCGTGCACTTTTTCGACATCGCAACTTCCAAAAGTGGTCCGGAGCTGAGGTGTTTTATACATTTTGACTTGGAAATGTGCTTCGCGCCACAACGGCGTGCACTTTTTCGACATCGCAACTTCCAAAAGCGGTCCGGACCTGAGGTGTTTTGTACATTTTGACTTGGAAATGTGCTTCGCGCCACAACGGCGTGCACTTTTTCGACATCGCAACTTCCAAAAGCGGTCCGGACCTGAGGTGTTTTGTACATTTTGACTTGGAAATGTGCTTCGCGCCACAACGGCGTGCAATTTTTCATCGCTCCTGTGGCCAGCTGGGTCCGCACCCGCCGCTTTAGCGAGCCTACTTTTCGACCCTACGGAGTGCTAAATTTCACAAACCTAGTACTCTAACTGGAGACTTGTACTTTATCCTGAGGCCATAAGAAAGAAATACCAACCATGATTATTTTGAGGTTTGGAAATATATATGCTGCCTCAACAGGCATGCCCTGAATTATGCAGAGAGAGCTTTCAAGGGATGATAAAACATGAGAAATATACCTCCTATATCCTCCTATCATTTGCCCAGGAACTCAAGCCCGTGCTTTGCGTCATTGGATAATGAATTCAAATGTACATTTCCATCATGAGAACTGTAGCTTTGTTTTTCAGCCATAAACCTAGTTATTCCTTGGTGTCATGTGCCAAAAGTTAAAGTACAAGTCCCAAAGTTAAAGTACAAGTCTCAAATTTTGAGACTTGTACTTTAACTTTGGGACTTGTACTTTAACTTTTTGTATGACAGAATTTGGGAAAAGATACAAAAAAAAGAATCTTTTTTTCTCAAATCTGCATACAAAATAGCTAAAGTACACCTGTACTTTGACTTGTTGTAGGGCAGATTTAGGATTTTGAGCTATTTTTTTCTGTTGTTTTATCCAAATTATGTCATGCACAAAGTTAAAGTACAAGTCTCAAAATTTTGAGACTTGTACTTTAACTTTTTCTTTTCCAAATCTATAATGCTGACTTGAAACAATTGCTTGTTGAGATCAACTTTGTGTGAAATTTCTACACGAATCGGCTGTGCGACACTGATGACAGAAGTCGAAGGAGTGAAACAGCAAAACTGTAACGCGCACACACACAAGTAAATCAACTATATACTTTTCACATATCAATTGTACAGTAACTCAAGGCAGTTGGCTCAGCTTTGAGGTCATTCACATGGCATCATTGGAATCGATAGGTTTTTATTTTTTATTTTATATAAAATATATAAAGTACTAGGCAGAAACTTAAGTACTTCACCGAACCTGGTTTGTGAAATTTAGCACTCCGGAGCCACAAATCATTGGAAAAACGCAGTGTTTCGCGGCTTTCCTACCTTTTCGCGCATCTGTATCTTCTGTCCTCTTACTCTTTCTCTTCTGATCTTCTCTCTTCTAATCTTCCCCTTCTCTCTGCCTCTGCCCTGCTCTGCTTTTCATCTGTCCATATTGTCGGAAGTTTGACTTCTAAACTTCCTTCGATCATGGAATATATATATATATATATATAGGTGGTTTAAAAGGGATTTAATGGGATTTAATGGGAATATATCACATTAATGGAATATATCACTGGTTGATTTTATGGTGGTTTAATAGTGACCATATCATTGGTTTAATGGGTTTTTATGGTGAATGTCACTGGTTGATTTTATGGTGGTTTAATGGGATTAGATGTGGTGGATTTACCCTCTGGTGACCATAGTGGTTTAATAGTGACCATATCACTTAATATATATATATATATTAGCTTTTTTAAAAGTCTCGTAAAAGGTGTTTTTAAAGCTTCTAGGCAAACTCGTCCGTCCACTCGTACGCCACGCGTCCGTCCACTCGCACGCTTACACGTACGCTGGGTCGTACGCACGTCCGTCACCACGTTAATTTGCACTCGTCACCAGACGTACGCTCTCCAAGATCACTACCTTTTACGAGACTTTCAAAAAAGCTAATATATATATTATCATATTAAACATCCCCTGGGTGATATTAAGGTTATATATATATATAGTATTATATAGTTCCTTTTAAAAATCTTATGGTAAGTCATGGTTGAATTCTTGCTTGGTGCTATTAAGATGATATAAGATGGTTTAAGATGATATAATGGATGATATAAGATGATATACTCCAATTAGACTTTTATACTCTCATTTTATGTTTTTTTATTTTTAATGTAGGGTATAAGCAAGAATTTGGAAGTGTGTCTTTCAACGGTGACTTGGGGTACTGGAATGACTTGAGGACACATCGTCGTGCAACGCCATCTCCCACCTAAAAAGGACTCCCTTTGAAGCAACAAGACTGAAGCATCTAGCAAGAACTGAGATATAGCTATACCCTCTGGTAATCAAACAATATCAAACATGGTAATTAAAAATCCTCTAAAAATGAAGGTTTTCATGGGAAATCATCTACAGTGGATTTTCCATTGCCATGTTTGATTACCTCAGGGTATGGCATTAATTATATGGCTATAGGCCGCATTGGCCTAATCTTGCAAGAAACACAAGAGAGATAGCCTAAAGACACACCTTGTTTTTCACTTAGGGGCTGTCAATCCCAGAAGATACAGGAGTATAATCATTTAGTATATTACAGTCTATTTGCTATTTAGAAATCATTTTGCTGATTGAATGTTCGTATTTTGGGGGCATCAGAAACCGCTATTAGCGCTGCTGGCGGTGTGCGGGATGGTCTGCGGAGTCCGGCTCGCCGGGCTTCGTGGCTTCGTCTTCGTGGCAGCTGGGATGTTTAAATATGTATTTCCACGATATATGTAAGGGCATTTATATCTGGTTGGTGGTTTCAAACATGGCTTTTATTGTTCCATATATTGGGAATTTCATCATCCCAACTGACTTTCATATTTTTCAGAGGGATTGAAACCACCAATCAGATATGTATGTCTCCATTTGAGATATTTCCGGTGACTGGTTGTAGATAACCATGGTGAGAATTAACGGCCCCCAATATTTAGCTACCTGCCCATTGAAAGTGATTAAATATGATTAAATCACAGGTTGAGCTTAAAATTTGCTCATTTTCCAACTAGTAACTAATGATATAGCATGATATAGCTACCAAATGCTGCTTGAACTGTGGTAATTCTGTGGTTGTTTTGCCATGAATTTCAATCATCGGTCCAGATGGATGACCGCTTTAGATGAATTATCTGGTGCTAAGTTAGTAGGGAATTTTCGGGAACGATCCACAAGAACAATTCATAAATATTCATAATCATCCCAGCAACCTCCAGCAACCCATCCAGCAACCCTACGTAAAACGCACCAGTAAGTTATTCGACTTACGGTTTAGAAGTTACCATACACCACCCCGACCATACCGGCGAGCAGCACCATGTCGCCATTCCAGGCTGCGGCCGGCGAGGTTGATGAGGCCGGATGGCTCTACATGGCTCTAAAATCTACCGCAAATCGGCTCTAACGCCTCAGAATTCTGGTGATATCATGGTGATATCTCTTATGATTAACGCCACTAATCATGGTGATATCTCTTTGGTCTATTGTCTATCAATGGATTGGTTTGGGGAAAATTGAAACCGGTATTTCCATGGTTTCTTTACCATTCAAAATGAGGAAAATTGGTGGAGTCCACTTGATCCGGCACAGGAGTCGCTCAGCTGAGCGGCCTGGGGAACACTGCGCAACCGGGGGAATGTCGCAGTGCAGAAAAGATGACGCTGCTTTTATTGAAAGGGCAACATAGGCCAACTATGTTGTGTATACATATACGTATTATTTTTCTGGGATATATATATATACATTCTATAGTATTATATGTTTCTGGAATATATAATATAGCCCAAAGGCTTTGCTGTTCACACCGGTCGTTTCGCAGAACAGCCAAACTCATGATGGGCTGGTGTTAATTTTTTGCGCTCGCCTTTGCCAGGTCATATCTCCCAACATGCCCGGCGTTTTGGTTCAAAATCAGCACTTGGTGCCCAAAGGGCCATCCACAGTGCAGGGGCCGCGTGGATGTCGCAAATTGCAACATTTGGATCATTTAAGTTGCTAGCTGGGTAAATCATCGGTGCATTCCGCATATAAGAGAACTCCAGCCATGGCTAGCAATCACTTCGTGGTACCAAGCAGGCTTGAGATATCATCGCCCATGGGTCTGCATCAATGGATGCACACACAGGAGAATCCTCCGCATAGACAATGCACCCAGTTCTGACAGCATCTTTTTTGCAAAAACCCTTGGGTGGATTGACCAATTCTTGCATCTTTTGCCATGTTCATGGGGATACGGGATATTGTATATATATATATATACATGTGTATGTACAGATATGCATTTACATACATATATACATATATATATACATATATATATATATATATGTGTGTGTGTTCTTCAGAAAAGGTAACAAACATTTTTTACATAGTCTCCCTACGCAAGTTCTCATATCCATACCTTCCATACACGTAGCTCCCGCACCATCTGTGCTGGGCATACGCCATGGAGCTGCCTGAGGTTCGGCGAGTCACCGGCTTGATGTTGGTTGGGGGAGACATGGGTATAAAAACAATCCATATCTGGATATATTAGTTCAATAATGTTCATGTTATATATATGTGTGTGTTTACTTATATGTATATACACATGCATGTGTATATGCATATATATAGAGAGAGAGAAGTTTTTATTTATAATTTTATATATATATATACACCAGCAACATGATAAGAGTGTGTGCGCAACACTGTTGAACTGTTTTCAGATTTCTTGATGTTTGCTATCACTTCATTGTTCCTCTAGTTCTAGACGTATGAGACATCTCGCTTGTTCTTTGGTCGGATATTTTGGTTATATTTTGAGAAACAAAAAGTTTAACCAATTTCAATCACCTCTGATCTGATCCCCAGTTACGCTAGGCACCGGCATCTTACCGATGCCATCCTCCCCATATTTTGTCATTCAGCGTCCGCAAACATCCTTTTTTTCATGGTTGAACTTACCTGGTTGTGGATTTGATTGAAAACGCGGCATCCCTAAAGTTTAACCTGTGAGCACGATTTTCCGTTGATTTAAATACCTGAATAGGGGCATACCCTATTTTCAGGCACCCAGATTTCACATTGTTTTTGCCAATATATCCAAGCAAATCCGCATATGTTGTTGGTTGAATCGTTTTTTCTTGTTCAACCACCCAGTCCATAGCCCTAGCCACGGCAGGGACGCTTCAACGAACGTTTGAAAGCACCCTGTGCAGCCGCGCAGTTGCCATTGATCAGCCGCTCATTGTCGGACTTTTGCCAAGCAAGCCATGCACCCAGAGGCGGATGAGCAGAAAGTAAACATGGCAGCCATACCCGTTGGTGGGCAGCTCGCAGCCCAAGACACAAAAATCACTAAAGACCCCAGATCGAACTGTAGATATAGTAACCCATGCTGGCCAGCCAGGTTTTAAAAAATCAGTGATTGAACTGTAACGCTCGGCCAGTAATTTTTACGCTGTGCAGTTATTTCTTGCATACGCGGTCCGCAGCCATGTCGCGAACCAGCGATTGAAACTAGAAAAAAAAACGGGCGAGCAATCCTCCACGAGTTTCTGAGGTTCGGGGTCACCTTTCAAATTCATCCGCAAAAGGATTCCAAAAACGATCTACAATATCCTACAATCTGTTGCGATAAAGCTGTTGGTTTTTCATGTTTCAATGTCCGCATGCTGCCCCTTTGACACTCGCAGTTATCATGAAGAGCTAGCCACTTCGTTTTTCTAAAAAATGACGTTGAAACCACATATCACCATGAGACCTTTTGGCCGGCCAGTAACACGTAGTTTATATTCAACAGACTGTTGTCCCACGTTGTCCCCACTTGTGGGTTGTTAACCACATCGAAATTTAAGGGAAGCACTGGGATGGTTTAGCCATGTTTAGCTCAGGCTCTCCGACACGGAAGAGAAGTGTTCCGAAGACGCGCGGGGAATGGGTGGGTGGTGCGCAACGCTGGCGGTTTCGTCCCAAGGACTTGGGGTGGCACTGGGTGGCTGGGTTGGAACAGTTAGCGAACCTTCGCGCACGTTCGCGCTGTGTGCTGTAAATCAACCCTGACAATGACAATGGGTTCATTATTTCCACCCAAAGAAAAACAGAAAATGGCAGGGTTTGGCAGGGCATACAATATTGCTTTCCTTCACATGCAGAATGTGTTTGTTTGTTTCGATCAATTTTAATATACCAGCTACAAAGTAAAGTGAATCTTAAGTGCCCATCACCAAATTTGTCTACAGATCACCGCCCTTATTTTGCCCGCTGCATCTCTCAAACGGTGTTTGTTGTTTGTAGAAATTGATGAAAATTGCAAAAACATATCATGGCCAGAAAATCGGATTCAACCCACAAACCAGGAGTTGTTCTCCAGAAACGATTTGCGGCCAGAACAAGGGGTGCTTGCGGTAAAACTGCCATTTTATGTGGTCAAACCAGGATTTCAGACACACCCAAATGCCATACCAAATTGTTTTTTATACTCTGAATGAATCCCAATTACATCCCCGCTCCTATCCCAAGGATGTCTACATCATGTTCCATCATGCTTGCTCCAATGTGAACACGGATAACTGGTCGGTGACTTGGAACATTTTTTATTTTACCATGTATTGGGAATAATAACCACCACTGGCTAATATTTTTCAGACGGGTGGCTCAACCACCAACCAGATAAAGACGGTGATGGTCGTGTTAACTCGTCCCAGGAGGAACCAGAAAGAACACTGGGAGATGAGCCAAAGACTTGTCCCAGGGCCAGCGGCCCAAGATCTTGGGAAATGTGCCCTGTAACAGGGCGCCTGCAAGTGCAACCAGGCATACATCGGAAATGGTGATTCTAATTTCTACGTGCGAAACCAGAAGTGATAAGGGAAATTATCATTTCTGGTAAACTAACATAACTATTGAAAATCACAATTTTTAATGGGTAAATCAACTATAAATGGTTATTTTCAATAGCTATGTTAAATTAGCAGAGGGTAATAGATGTGATGTGATGTTCGTTGGCTGCGGGGCCTTGAGGAATCAGGGGTGCTTTCTCTCGCATCGCGCCAACAAAAATGGGATTACTAAACTTGGTTAAATAAAGCACAGCACTCAAGTTGTTGACCTCCAATTCCACATAAACCATCATAAACCCAACAGAATTGGATGAAAGGCAAAACACTTTTTTTGAGAAGGGAACCGCTTTTAGGCAAATACCCGTGATTGTTCCCCATATTTTCCTTCAAATTGATAAATCCATGGATCTGTCACTACCAATTGTTGAATCCAGAGCTTCGCTCATGAAATCCCAATTTCGATTTTCCAACAAAGAAAATCCAATTTGTTGTTTATCCAACGCCAAGTTTTCTGAACAAAATCACCATCTCACATGATTTCCAAACTGACCTAAGTGGTTAAACCCCCCAGGCTGTGTCAAACAAGACACAACAGCACCTGATGTCCAAACTGATCTTAGTGGTTAAGCGCCACGTTTTGAAGAAAATCGCAACTTAGAACTTCGAAACCCAGATGTTCCATGATTCACCCATGATTTGCTTCGTGATTTTCCATGATGTTCCCTGATTTTCCATGATTTTCCCTGATTTTCCATGATGTTCCATCATTTTCCAACCTTTTTCCCACCTTTTTGTTGGGGATGTCGATTTCCACCAGGCCATGCACCCACTGACCGCCTCACGTTGGGACGCCCCTGCGCGCAGCGCTGAAGACTTGGCTTGGGCGCCCGGTGGGCCGGTGCCGACATGGCGGAAGAGGGGCTACAGCTGGTGTACCCTCTGGTAATTTAACATAGCTATTGAAAATGGCCCATATTTATAGCTGATTTTCCCATAAAAAAATGTGATTTTCCATAGCTATGTTAGTTTACCAGAGGGTAATCAGAGTATAATTATCCGATTTAATGTGGTTATCACAATAATAAATTATTTTAAACCATCCCCCAGTCACCATTTTGATAGCTGATATAAACCATTCCCAATCATGGGTGGTTGATGGCATTGTTTTACCCACATTAATATTTAATGTTATTGTGGGTTATACGTATGGGTGGTAAAACATGGTAAAACCATGCAAAAACCACCATACTTGGATGTTTCCTAAAATGGAAGTAGCCCCAAATCATCCAACATAGACCATTTTATACAAACTTGGGGATTCCCCAGGTTAAGACACCCCCACATAATGGGAATCATGTTGGTGAAACAAGAGAAACCACCATTAAACCACCTATATTTGGATGGCTTATACACTCTATACATGTTTATACAACCCATTGATGGTGAGTTAGGTGGTGTTTTTTCTTGCTTTACCAACATTAATGGAGAATTAATGGAGATATAATGGAACTATAACAGGAATAATGGGAATATGAAAATCACGGAATAGCGTCGGATAGTGGAATGAAAATATCATGGGATACAATGCAGACATGTTGGGATATAGAACCAACAATTGGACATCTAGGGGATATCATGGGTTAATTAAATGAGAAATGTTATTCAATAAAAGTTGCAACTCATGGGCAGCATGCTTTTTGCGATATAGTCGTATGGTGATATAACCTGATGAAAACAATGAAGATGTGATCCATGTTTACCTTTAAAATCCAAGAATGATGGGGATATGACATTGGGAAAATCAGGGGATATACTTTATTTGGACGAATGTCTGGGAAAACCCTTTATAGTTCGGGCACATCAAAAGACAGTAGAGGTTGAAATCCCAGGTTTTGGTCCAAACATGGGTCCAGATACAGAGAAATAATGGGTCGCATTATGTGATATCTGGAGAATAATCATGAAAAGATTTTGTCCTACCTAGTATGAGGCTGTATGGTTTTGTCGTCAAACCGCGAGTTCATGGAACATGATGGAACAAAAGAGAAAACATCACACCAAGAAGTCCCACAATGCATCAATACTGCCGCTTGGGGAATACCCGCCAGAGTGGTCGGCTTGGCCCAGCCACACCGCAGGAGCTGAAGAAGTATGGCTATCATCGCAACATCCCACGCACCCGAGGCCCAGTGGGAGCCGTAATCCAAGCGGGCGATGGAACATCATCATTTACGGGGTGAACACTTTAAAAACGAATGAACCCTTGTATTTGCATAGACAATGACACACACACACATATATATATAATTATATATATATATATATACACGCGTATATTCACGTATATTACGTTATATATATATATGTAGGATAACCATGTTGGGAAAATGGGGACCTCCAGCCTCTCATCCAGCGTTGCCACAATCAACTGGACATATGGCCATATTCTACAGACTTGCGGCCCGTGTTTGATGATGTGGGATGTCCTCAAACCTCCCAGTTGAAATCTATCATATTTATATATATATATTATGAATGGGATTCTACCTCCCGATTTCCTCCAAATCTATCAGTATCTATCCTATGTGATCGGGATTCTACCTCCAAGGCGGTGCCCAATCCCAATCGCGGCTCTCGCTCCTGGATGCTCGGCAGCAGGGCCATGTGGCTTCCAGGTCCTGGATTTTTTAAAGAAGTCTGGGATGATTTATTTTGTTTACACATACTGGTAGTTACTGGTAGTGACGTATAAATTGTTTCATGACTTGATGTACGGATGGGTTTATGATGGATATATTGCTACGGGGTTATATATAGAAGGCGTTCGTTTTGCCAACTTACAACTGGGGGGCCACTTCTTGCAGTGTGGTAAAGCTGTGAAACTCACTATTATATTAAAATGCCGAAAAAATGGCTAATTACATCCATTGCATGGAAATTTGGAAAGGGTAGCATGGAACGTAAATGTTTTTTGTGATTTTTTATTTGTTTTGAAGATGCATGTCCGAAGGCAGGTTGCCTTCTGGCCTTGTGAAAGTCATATCTAAATTAACTTACTAACATTGACAACCACCAAGTCAGAGTAATTTCCAGATCCCAAAACACATCCTACAACATAATTTGCCAATAATTTCTGGCTGATGATTTCAAACATGACTTTTATGTTCATTTTCCATTTCATATATGGGATGTCATCCTTCCCATTGACGAACTCCATCATTTTTCAAGATGGAAAAGTTGCACCACCAACCAGATTTGCCATTGTGGCCATTGAATATGTTCGAATTGGTGCCTACTAAAAGTTGATCCTGCTGGGATGCCTCTGGGATACCAAGGTGCCACCCGAACACCGTGCCAATGGTGAAAGCTTTGACCTTCCACAGGCGCGAGCATAGCGTAGGGGCGATTGAAAAAATGTGTGTTCGTTTTATAGGGTTTCATGGATGACTGTCCTTCAATAATTGTCATGATGTTCAAATGTTCATAGTTTATTTTGTGGGATTTTATGATGTGTTTTTATGATGATTTGGTTTGCCACTGTTTGCGAAAGCGGCAAAATACTGCGCAAAACCTGGGAGTTTGCTCACGAATTGAGCCGGTGATTCGATCCTATACACATGACAGGAAAGCAAACTAAGTGCATAACAACAACTGTTTTCCCTGAGGAATTTCATCGGGGAAGTATCTAGAATCTAGAATCTAGAAAGGGTTTTCAGCGCCATGAAAATGTACAGTAACATACAGTACCATAGTTTGATGGCTTATGATCTAATATATGAGGTTCATTGTTTTTCCCTGAAAAATGGAACATTGTTCATACCCGGTTTATACCGCAAGATACGCCATGGCCACAGGGTCATCCTTGGAAGGATCGTTCAGCCATGTTGGTCGAACCATCCGAAATGACATCCGAAAGGTGCACAGATCCATTTAAGATTGGCTATTATCAAATGATGTCCCTGTATATCCATGTATCCCAGTTGAATCATCATTAGTACGGTTTAAACCACTGTAAAGCCACTATAGTCATCTTTCTTATATGGTTTCAACGGCTTAAACCAGCATATTTACTGATTTGACCCCAATGTTTAAAAGGCCATGAGAACGCCTTCCTCGCCAGGTGAAACGTGCCTTGGCTGCCGATGGCCGTGAGGCACGGCGAAAGGCGCGGTTGGTTTGTGGCGTGGGGCTAGTGGATATGGACTATTGGGAAGTCATATATGCCGGTTAATAAAATTAACTAATACTTAGTAAAATAAGTGCCAGTTAATAAGTGCCAGTTAATATATACCAACTAATATAAGTGCCAGTTAATAAAACTTAACTGCTAATATGATATTTGATATCCTACTGGATCTGACTCAGCAAGAAGATATACCGGAGGGTAATGGTCCCAAATGGTGAACACCAATGTTGCGACAGGTTCAGTCAAAAAAAGGATGATCCTGATGATCCTGCGAGTTTGGAGGATATCAACTCAAGAAATATTCCATTATCATTCACATCTAGTTTGATGTCTAAACGGTTTACAAGTACTGTGTCGTTGTTCCAACTTTCGGTGGATTATCCCTTTTGAGGTCTCTAACCACAACAAAACAAAACACATGTCAACGAATTATCCTAACTATATTTCAAGCATGTATATATATATATATATTATTCATATATATATATATATATCACCTCAACTAATTATCATAATAATCATGTTGTTTTATCGCCTCAACTAATGATCAATCATTTGCCAGTGTTTTTATTTACTTGTTGGTGGTTTCAAACATGTTTTATTTTCCATAATATATGGGATAATCCTTCGCATTGACTTTCATATTTTGCAAGATGGTTATTGCTCCACCAATCAGATTATTTCCAGGTGAAATGATTGATAATAATGTTGTTTGATATATTATCATGATATATTTTTGATATATTATTAACTATTAAACACTAATTATCAAAAATATATAAGCAGCTATATATATATATTATAGATAATCATGTAAATAGCAGCTTATTTTTTTTTAAAAAAAAAAAACTATCATCATGTTTTTATCAGTTTATCAAAAAAATATATCATTTTTATTTAAAAACAACTATATATATATATATATATCTATTATCAACTAATTATATATTTTTCTGGTGGAAAAAAACAGATTCCCAGTACCAGGTGAAGTTGGAGACCTTCGGCCACATCCGAGTGCTGCGCTATGAGGAGCTGTCAACATACGGCTGGAAATGGTGGAGTTTCACCGTGTTTAACCGTGAAGAAATATGGAAAATGGTGGGTTACCCATCAACAAATAGGGGTTTAACGGGATTTCATGGGATTTAATGGGATTTGATGGTACTCAATGGGATTTGATGGGAATTTATGGGGTTTATGAGGTAATCAAGCGTGGCTGCAAAATCCCCGAGCTAAATGCAGGTTTTAATTAGTGGGAAAATCATTGAACTAATTGGGGGATTCTCCGGCAAGCTATGTTGGATGACAATGGAGGATATGAGCAAAATAATCCAATGGGGATATTGAATAATAATATATCATCGAAGAATATTATATATGCATGTGTATGTCATATATCCCAATGTTCAAGTATTCATCCAATAACTATTCGCTGTAGTTAGAAGACCCAGCCAACAAAGATCATTGGATTAAGATCTAATCAACAACTAGCATACTTGGGATAAACTTCGGGATACCATTGGAATGCAAAACCAAGATCTCATAGTGGGATCATATAGTTGGGATGTATCAGCAATAATCATGAACCAACGGAAAATGGATGGAATGGATATCTGGGTCAACTGACTGGATGGTATCCCCAAGGTTGGTTCCAATTGAGCATCCCTGCAGGAACCCACCTGTGGGCGTTTGGTGGTGCAACGCTGGCGTCCTGGCTATGTGGACTTGAAGGCAGCCCAAGGGGAAGCGGATCCGGATGGATCCTCTTCTTGTGTGTTTGATGGGTGTGATCCTAATGGATTACCAGTATTGATTAAGTTGCTATATCCGAATGTGAGTCCCGGTATCCGAATGTGAGTCCCCATTTGGCACTGAAGTTGACGTAAGATGTCCTTCTCCCACCAGACTGTGCTTGGTTGGACCGCCCTGGACGCTGGACCATCGGAAAGCTTTCCATGTCTGCAGATTCAACTTCCATTTTCGTCTCTTCCGTGTTACGGATGGCAATGGATGTGCAATGGCTGTCATAGAGCAATGGATGTCACGAAGCAATGAATGTCACAGAGCAACGGGTGTCGCAGAGCAATGGATGTCAAAGCAAAGAGATGTCAAAGCAAAGGGATGTCAAAGCAAAGAGATGTCAAAGTTAAGAGATGTCAGGCTTCATTTTCACATCTTCGATTTTCAGATTTTGAGGGACTTCTCGCACAAAAACTTCGTTTTCACATCTTCAACTTTCACTTTTTGAGGGAAGTCTTGCACGAAAGCTTCGCTTTCACATCTTCAACTGTCACTTTTTGAGGGACTTCTCGCACGAAAGCTTCGTTTTCACATCTTTAACTTTCACTTTTTGAGGGAAGTCTCGCACGAAATGCGTTTTTGAGAGATAGCGGATGCACGAAATGCTGCGTTTTGCAGGACAAAACGTGTCCTGCAAGATGAATGGGGAAGCTTATCCGGCGGACGATTTCGGAACACGTTCGTTTGAACCGGGATCATTCTCGGATCGGCCCTGCAGTGGAACTGACAGTTCAGGCTTCATTTTCACCACTTGAGCTTTCAAAATTTGAAGGAAGCCTCGCCCGAAAGCTTCGTTTTCACATCTTCCAATTTCACTTTTTGAGGGACATCTCGCACGCAAGCTTCGGTTTCACATCTTTAACTTTCACTTTTTGAGGGAAGTCGCCCACGAAAGCTTCGCTTTCACATCTTCAACTTTCAGATTTTAAAGGAGGTCTAGCACGAAAGCTTGGTTTTCACATCTTCCACTTTCACTTTTTAAAGGAAGTCTCGCACGAAAGCTTCGTTTTCGCATCTCAACTTTTACTTTTTGAAGGAAGTCTCGCAAGAAATGCGTTTTTCCTATTGTGGTTTGCAAGTATTGGAATGGCCGCGTGTTGGAATGGCTGCAGCAAGGCTCCAATAGTGATTTGTCAGCAGCAGATTTTCTGAATTTTGGCGCTGCTGATTTTCCATTAAAAAATCCTTTTAAAAAGTGCTTCAAAATCGTCTTTTTTTTTGCTTTGGCGCCGAGATCCGGTTTTGGAGCTGCAATTTCTGATGCCATTGCGCGAATTTCTATTGTGTTTCGCAACTCCGTCTTTGCAGATCGCATTGTAGTGGCTGCGTCAAGGTTGCTTGGCGCCGCGGCTGCGTGCATAATACATCGTAATACTATCGTCTTTTGCAGCTGGACATGGTAAATCGTCTTGGAGTGGCCGCATCAAGGCTGCGATAGTGTTATGTTCACCAGTTGGCCAGAATCCTATAAACTTGAAAATCAATTTATTTGTGAAAAAAATGTGAAAAAATGTAAAACAAAAAAGCAACCAAAAAAAAAGCAAATCAAAATGCAAAAAAAAATCAAAAAAAAAAGCAAAAAAAAACAAAAAAAAGCACCAAAAAAAATAAAAAATGAAAAACAGAAAAAAAAAGATTAGATTTACAATTTGTAAAGTTCTACTACAATTACTATAGTTATAATTGCAATCTCTTCAGAATAAGTAGACAATCACAATTATAATAAGTAGACACAACATAAAGTCACTAGCTGGATGTGAAATCCGCAATATCAAATTGGATATATTATATCTGATATACAGATATAGTATTGAAATACAGATATCAGATAGTATACTATAAAGTATGTAGCAAATGGTATACAAAACATTTCATTTTTGAATCAAGCCTGGCGTCACAAAATTGCTTTGTCGCTTTGTGACATATTGGAAAAATTGTTTTGATGTTGTCAACTTCCCAAATTGAGGAAGTCTTGCAGAATTGCTTGATTTGGGAAAACAGAAAACATTACACAAAATTACAATGATCAGTACTACAACAATCACTACTACAACTACAACTGCGCTCCACAACGCCGCTACAAGAAAATTACAACTTCAACCTAACCTACAACTACACACTATACAACCACAACTGCAATCTACAACCTAACTACTACATATCATTACATTACAACTACACCTGCAAAATACAAGACCTACAACTAGAAACTACAGACGCAACTACAACTGCAATTGCTGCAATTGTAACTACAACTTCAACCACAAACCACTACCACTACCCCTACAACAACTAGAAGAAAGAGTTGTGGTTTGAGTCGACTTGAAGTCATTGAAGGTGTGAAAGAATTGTGTACAGTGTGCAGTGTACAGTGTTCAGTGTAATGTACAGTGTAGTGAGTCAGTGTGTGAAAGGTTGGAGGCAGGAGGGAGGCGGTGGCAGGCATGCAGAGCAAAAAAACAAGAACCACGCACACACACACACATAGTGCCACGGGGCACAACATAGCGTTACCAAGGCAAACCAAATAAACTGATATAATTTAGATTTTAGATATAATATAACTATTTTTTTAATTTTAAACAATGGTTACCGGTTTAGATAGTTTAGCTGCTTAGTTTTAACTGATCTAGTTGGTGATGCTCATATGTGGGATAGTTACCTGATAGTTGATGTTGTGATTTTTTGTTATATGGCTAGCGGCTAGCCAGAAAAAATGAAATCAAACATAGCTGAGAACCGATAACCGTTATACCAAGAACCTCATGGAACATATTTTTTTGGACCATGTTTTTTTCATGTAATTTGTAAATGCAGTCATGTGGTGTCTTAGACTTAGACATCTGTCCAGGTGGTGGTGGTGTATTTTCAGATTTAACCTTTTTTTTGGCCATGGTTTTTTGCATGGATTTATTTGCATGGATTTACTCGCATGGATTTATTCACATGGATTTATTCACATGGATTTTTGTCGCATGAACAAATTCCTGTTTGCAAAACCGCAACTTGAGTGAACTAAGCTGAACTACAACTATTTTTTTTGACTGGGACTGTTTGGTGAGAAGAGTTATATAACTGGCCTGCCTGTCACGCGGAGTTTTGGCAACCAGCACGTAGCTGGGTAAGCGATTTTTTTTGAACAGAGATCTCAAGGAAAGAACGTGAGCTCCAGCTGATCGAGTACTGGTTGCCAAAACTCTGCGTGACAGGCAGGCAGAGATGTGTGACTACCTCGTCGAAGAGGAGTCACTCCAGGGCAACTTTTTTGAGCTCAAAAAAAAACAAAAAAAAAACAAATCCGAAAAAATATGCCAAAAAAAAACAAAAAAAACAAATCGAAAAAAAAATGCGAAAAAAATGCAAAAAAAAACAAATCACAAAAAAAAATGCAAAAAAATGCGAAAAAAATGCGAAAAAAATGCGACCCAACCAGAGCAGCAAAAACAAAAAGCAAAAAAAAAGGGAATAAAAAGGGGAAAAAAGGGAGCTCACCACTGAACCGCCTGGACGCACGTAGAAAAATTTGTCCTTAAGCAAGGATGTTCCCTTAGCAAAAATTTTCCCTTAGCACAAATTTTCCCTTAGCACAATTTTTCCTTTAGCAAAATTTGTCCTTAAGCAATTTTTTTTCCCTTAGAAAAACGTGTCCCTTAGCAAAAATTTTCCTTAAGCAAACAATTTCCCTTAACATTTTTTTTCCTTTAACAGAAATTGTCCTTAAACCAAAATTTTCCTTAAGCAAAATTTTTCCCTTAGCAAAACGTGTCCCTTAGCAAAATTTTTCTTTAAGCAAAAAAAATCCCTTAGCATTTTTTTTCCTTAAGCAAAATTTGTCCTTAAGCAAATTGTCCCAGGACAAAACCCTTTACTGAACTGAGGACACCAGCACAGAAGAAACAATACAGATCTAGTTTTTTTCTGACCTCAAAAAATTGCAGCACTCCAGTTTCCAAGGCAGACCTCAAATTTTTTTAACTCGCCAGGCAAGACTCCCAGGACAAAACCCTTTACTGAACTGAGGGCACCAGCACAGAAGAAACAATACAGATCTAGTTTTTTCTGACCTCAAAAAATTGCAGCACTCCAGTTTCCAAGGCAGACCTCAAATTTCTTAACTCGCCAGGCAAGACTCCCAGGAAAAAACCCTTTACTGAGGACACCAGCACAGAAGAAACAATACAGATCTAGTTTTTTCTGATCTCAAAAAATTGCAGCACTCCACTTTCCAAGGCAGACCTCAAATTTCTTAACTCGCCAGGCAAGACTCCCAGGAAAAAACCCTTTACTGAACTGAGGACACCAGCACAGAAGAAACAATACAGATCTAGTTTTTTCTGACCTCAAAAAATTGCAGCACTCCAGTTTCCAAGGCAGACCTCAAATTTCTTAACTCGCCAGGCAAGACTCCCAGGAAAAAACCCTTTACTGAGGACACCAGCACAGAAGAAACAATACAGATCTAGTTTTTTCTGATCTCAAAAAATTGCAGCACTCCACTTTCCAAGGCAGACCTCAAATTTCTTAACTCGCCAGGCAAGACTCCCAGGAAAAAACCCTTTACTGAACTGAGGACACCAGCACAGAAGAAACAATACAGATCTAGTTTTTTCTGACCTCAAAAAAATGCAGCACTCCAGTTTCCAAGGCAGACCTCAAATTTTTTAACTCGCCAGGCAAGACTCCCAGGAAAAAACCCTTTACTGAACTGAGGACACCAGCACAGAAGAAACAATACAGATCTAGTTTTTGTAAAGAAAATGGCAAACTGTAGCAGCGCATCTATAGAGCTAGTCCCTTGGGCCCTGATTGTAATTTTGTAGGCACAGATGCAACTAGATTTTTTTTATATGATCGGACTGGGAGTGTTTGACAACATGCCCTGCCAAGACAAGAGGCAAACGTCCAGAGAATCTAGAGTCTCTAGAGTCTAGAGTTAAGCCGTGCAGAGCTGTCCCACTGCCAACTGTGACAAAGTTCGTGAGCAATGGCCGGTTCATCCAGGCATTTCATTTCCGTCATTTCCTTTTTTTAGCCTTGTTGCAGGGTGACCGGTTCCCAATTTGGACTTATGGTTGTGCAGTTTTCGTTTCTATGGTGCTCCTATAGAGTTATAATTATAACTCGATTATAATAACCTGTAATTATAACTAAGTTACTAAGTCATAACTTCTTAGCTAACTTTTCGTATTTTTTTTTGCTATTGCTTGCTGCTGGTAATTTGAATATTTGTTTGCATGAGGCCAGGTATTTGCTTTTGCAACCAAATACAGATTAAGATTTGAAGTTTTGCTTCTTATATGTTCCTTTTGCCTTTGCTTTTGTATTTTGTTTTGTTTTGTTTTGCATTTTTTTTTGCATTATTTTTGCTTTTTGATTTGTTTTTTTTTTTTCTGGTTGCTTTTTTGGTTTACATTTTTTCACATTTTTTGAGGAAAAAAAATATTCCATTGTTTTATAGGATCTGGCTGGAAGCGGTGAACATAACGATAGTGATTTGTTAGCAGATTTTCTCAGTTTAAAAGCTTGCTGTGTGTAAAAGCTTCTGTCTGCAAAAGCTTGCCTGTTTAAAAGCTTCTCTGTAAAAGCTTGCTGTGTGTAAAAGCTTCTGTGTGCAAAGCTTCTCTGTGTAAAAGCTGGCTGTGTGTAAAAGCTTCTGTGTGTAAAAGTGTGCTGTGTGTAAAAGCTTCTCTGTGTAAATGCTTCTTTGTGAAAGGGCTTCTCTGTGTAAAAGCTTCTCTGTGTAAAAGCTTGCTGTGTGTAAAAGCTTCTGAGTGTAAAAGTTTGCTGTGTGTAAAAGCTTTCTGTGTGTAAAAGCTTCTCTGCGTGAAGGCTTGCTGTTTGTAAAAGCTGCGTAAAAGCTCCTCTGTGTAAATGGTTCTCTCTGTTAGGGGTTCTTTGTGTGAAAGCTTTCCGTGTGCAAAAGCTTCTCTGTGTAAAAGCTTTTCTGTGTAGGAGCTTCTTTGCGTGAAGGCTCGCTGTGTGTAAAAGCTGTGTAAACGCTTCTGTGTAAAAGCTTTCTGTGTGTAAAAGCTTTTCTGTGTAGGCGCTTCTTTGTGTCAAAGCTTGCTGTGTGGAGAAGCTTCTCTGTGTAAAGGCTTCTGTGTAAAAGCTTCCGTGTGCAAAAGATTTTCTGGGTAAAAGCTTGCTGTGTGCAAAGCTTGCTTTGCGTAAAAGCTTGCTGTGACTAAAACTCTGTGTAAAAGCTTCTGCGTGTACAAGCTTATCTGTGCAAAAGCTTGCTGTGTGTAAAAGCTTCTCCGTGTCAAATCTTCTCTGTGGAAAGCGCGGGGGTTGCTTGCTTTGGCGCCGAGGTCCGTTTTTGGAGCAGGTTTTGGGCCAGAGAAAAGGTGAGATGATTTGAGAGTGCGCTGAGAAGAGCTCAGATGAGGTGAGACGAGCTGACAAGAGCTGAGTTCAGCTGAGTAGATGTGAGAAGAGCTCAGAAGATGTGAGAAGAGGAGAGAAGACACATAAGATGAGCTTACTTGAGCTGCGGAGAGCTGAGAAGAGTTGATAAGAGCTGTGAAAACCTGAACGGCTGAGATGAGATGAGAAGAGCTGAGAAAGCTTAGGTGACATGAGAAGAGGTGAGAACAGTTGTGATCAGCTGAGAAGAGCTGAGAAAGGGAGAGAAAACATCAGATGGGATGAGGTGAGATGAGGTTAAAAGAATCAGAAGACATGAGATGAGTTGAGATGAGGTGGGATGACACAGACTGCGGTGACAGAGGGATTCAATGAGCAATTTCCAAGGGAAGCTGCGATGCGATGAGATCAGATGAAATGAGAAAAGATTCAACATTCGAAAGACATGGCATCAGGTTGACAAGTCAAAAGTTTGTTGCTGCGATCCACAGGAGGCTTGCCTGTCACCTATAGGCACGGTCTTTGTTCCGCTCTATAGGCTTTAAGCGTTTCAAATTTGAAACTTCCGCCCCGGGCTTGCCCGGGAACTACTTGTAGCATGTTTATCACGTTCGTCCCCATTCTTGCTACTTGGCAGTGGGGAACTAGATCGCAACAAATGGGGACAGCTATAGACAGACAAACATCTTGATTTCGTGAGCATTTTTTTGCTTCGTTGCTACCAGGCCCCAATGCCCAAAGAAAGCGAAGCCACCAGCACCTGGCAGGGAGGACAGACGTCATCACCAAAGGGGCGAACTTTTTTGAGGGTGAATTATGATGGGCTACTGATGGTTGATGATGTTTCATGGTTTACTTATGTGTAATGATGTCAGATATATCCAGAGGGTTTAATGTGGTTTAATGGAACGCATGACAATGACAAGTTTAAGTTCTAAAGGACCAGATTTGTTTGGCCCCAGATTAAGCATACCATCGAAGAAGCATCAGCAATCAAACTTGACCATAGTTCGAATCCCTTTTTTGGCCCACTTTCTTTCGGTCCACTCTTTCTTAGATTCTTCCAGGCAGTAGTTTGCATCAACTCGGCCTGACAAATTGGGTATGGGCAACTTGAAATGGCCCAAACTAAGATACACTTTGGTTCGCGAGGCAAAATGGAGCCGACAGTGCGTAACTGCAGCAGAACTCCTGCAACCACAGTATGTGACATGTGATGATTTGCTGATTATTTGCATTGGAGTACCATGTGCAAATAATGCGTGCCAATCATGGTGATGTTGCCCAATATTGTTTGCTGACATCTAGAAGGATCGTCTTAGTTTCCATGCAGCGCTTCTATTTTGCTGGTGAAACCCCATTTCTTTCCTTCTTGGCAGGTGATATGGCCATTTTCTGTTGTTCAAAAACCCTCAGTTCATGCCAAATCCATTAATAGTAGATGATGAACCTCCAAAAACTGTTCAAAGTTTGTGAATCAAAAAGAAGCACAACGTTTACATCTTGAAACATCCTCCAACCAAAGGCACTTGAAATTCACCCACATAGTTCGATGACCAGCGGAGGGAAAACCGAGTCACCGAGTCACCGAGTCTCACCGAGTCCCAGGATTGCGGAACAACGTCTGTGACAACCTGGTGACCTTCTCGGGCGTCTTTTGAGGCAACCCGTGTCGGCCAGTGGCCATTTGTGGCCGGGGCCCATGGGGCCCATGGGGCCCATGGGGCCCATGGGGATGGCCAGATTAGGTTGGTAAAGTTAATGGACCGAAACATCGGACGGAAATAGAGTGATAAATGGGATAAAGGTTGGTAAAGTACATGAAGTGTGGAATTTTTTGGGGGGAGGTGCTATACATCAGTATAACTCCCATGCATTTTTTTCCGGTCGATACCCTCTGAGATGGTGTTTCGACTCCAAGTGCCAAGCCCTGAGTGTCTCAGAAGGTGTTTGGAGCTGCAAGGAATACCCAACTATGGAGATTGAACGTTACCAACAATTACAATATCAACCAACATTACCACTGACCCACTATTGACCACCATTATATAACCACTAGATTATTAATACGGTGGCAATTACTATGCACAATAAATCACCTATTAACCATTACTATTATATATACCACTATTCTAAAACACTGGCAACATTTTTTCAACCTTTTTTTTCACCAACAAAAACGTTTTTTTCGCGGAAAGAAGATCGACGGTCTCTCCAGAAGACCCGGATTGGAAAACGGTGCTTTGGTTCGTCGGGATCTGGGATCCCATTGTTGGGACACGGCAACGTCGCAACGACAAAGACATTTTGAAACCATGGGAGACCTGGAAATATTTAGCAAATGTCATCCTGGAAACATCCTGGAAACACTTTTCTATCTCTTTGGGGGTTGCTATAGATCTATAGTAACGGTTTTCACAGCTAAAGACTGCAATGCAGCCGTCACTTTTTACTTCCCTGTAGCAACGATCATAGTAATTCGTATTCATCATGTGATATTCATGTGATGTTCCATGGCGGCCGTTCCATCGCCATGGTAATATATTCACTCGGAGGTTTCACAAATCTTGGGGCTCTCCATGCAGTTTCTGTCATTATCAATTTCATGATAGGTAGCCCCCAAAAAGATTGAACAGTAATTGCTAACAAATTTGGTAGAATCTTACGTTCCTATCTTTCTGTTGCTGTATCCACATGATGATCTGGAGATTCACTATACATAAATGGGGTACCCCCACGTTTGATGGGGGGTAATGATTTTACATGCCCCAAATGTATATATATATATACACATACATATTGTTACTGTCCGGTATGTCAAAAAATTATTTTGGTTTCGAACATCTTCAAAATTCACTCACCATGTTACTTTCAATCCCCATTCAAAACATCACCATGTTTGACCTTGTTTTCTTCCCGTGACGTTGAGGTTTCTCAGCAGAGCTGAGAGGTTTGGTGCAACGATGTGAAGGATGCCATGATATCATGATTGGTTGGGGCTTTGTATTTGCACTCCTATATCCAATACATATCCAATACTATTCTAAGTAACAGATATTTTAAGGACATAGTTATTTTCAGAGATTATCTTAGAAATATATCACAGATATCACAGATATTCTAAGTCAATGATTCCTCATATACCGTCCGGTAAACTAACATAGCTATGGAAAATTACCATTTGTAATGGGAAAATCAACTACAAATGGCCATTTTCAATAGCAAACTGTTAAATTACCAGAGGGTATTTCTAAGATCATCGAATGTGACTTACGAAAACAGCTCTGTTTACGTAATCAACCCAGGGGATCCCATCCGCTGATCCGCGGGAACGAAAGCGGCTAAGCGAAAAGCGGCGCGGCACTTCTGGGCGCCACAAGGATCTTGCTTCAACTTCAAGGATCAGCGCAAGACTTGCGCTGATCCTTGAAGTTGAAGTAATATTAGTAATCGAAGGCGAATCGAAGGAAGTTTAGAAGTCAAACTTCCGATAATATGGACAGATGAAAAGTAGAGATGGGAAGGGTCACAGAAGAGAGAAGGTCAGAGAAGAGAAAGAGTCAGAAGAATGAAGATGCAGATGCGCGAAAAGGTAGGAAAGTCGCGAAACACTGTGTTTTTCCAATGAGTTGTGGCTCCGGAGGGTCGAAAAGTAAGCTCGCTAAACCGGCGGGTGCGGAGCCAGCTGGCCAGATGAGAGATGAAAAATTGCACGCCGTTGTGGCGCGAAGCACATTTCGAAGTCAAAATGAACAAAGCACACCAGGTTCGGACCACTTTTGGAAGTTGAGATGTCCAAAAAGTGCACGCCGTTGTGGCGCAAAGCACATTTCGAAGTCAAAATGTACAAAATTTTGAAAGTTGAGATGTGGAAAAAGTGCACGCCGTTGTGGCGCGAAGCACATGTCGAAGTCAAAATGTTAAAAAGACCAGGGGTTCGGACCACTTTTGGAGGTTCAGATGTCGCTTCGCTTCGCTTCACTACACTACACTCCACTACACTAAATTACACTACACTACACTACACTCCACTACACTAAATTACACTACACTACACTACATTACACTACACTACACTCCACTACACTACACTACATTACACTACACTACACTCCACAACACTACAACTACAACTACAACTACAACTACACAACTACACTACACTCCACTACACTCCACTACACTCCACTACACTCCACTACACTAAATTACACTACACTAAATTACACTACACTACATTACACTACACTACAATACATTCCACTACACTCCACTACACTACATTACACTACACTACATTACACTGAATGACACTGCACCACAGATAGACGGGCAGACAGAAAGACAGATAGATAGATAGATGGATAGACAGATAGACAGCTAGACAGATAGACAGATGAAAGCGAGAGAGAGAGAGAGAGATAGACAGACAGACAGACAGATAGATAGATAGATAGACAGATAGACAGGTAGACAGCTAGACAGATAGACAGATGAAAGCGAGAGAGAGAGAGATAGATAGATAGATAGATCGACAGATAGACAGATACATAGAAGATAGATAGGTAGGTAGATAGTCAGAGAAAGAGAGCGAAAGAGAGGAGACCTCAAGCACCTTTCGGTCCATCAGTGGATTCGCTCTGCCATCCCTGATTCACAACAACCAACCTCTCCTATAGGTTTCCTATTTTTGAAACTTCCGCCACCGCCTTGTGCGGTACTACTGGTATTATTAGTATCTATAGTATATCTATAACATCTAGTACTGTTTGATTTACTATTATAGATGCCTGATTTACTATTATAGATGTTACCCTCTGGTTATGACTAACATAGCCATGGTATAGCTGGCCCATAGAAATAGATGGTTTACCTATTAATAGCATGGGTGGATTTTCCATGGCTATGTTAAATAACCAGGTGGAATTATTATTAGTAATTGTAACTGGGATATATCTTGATATAATCAACTTGCACCAGGTCTATTGACTTGTTATCCAATCTATTTACCAATTCTGTGTGAACCTGCTAGGGTGGCTTGAGTTGTTGATATCTAGCAATGCCTCTCTTGTACGCACTATGCCTTACAGCGACAGAGACGGAGAGAGATTATAGATCCATATAGATCCGATGGAGAAATCAAAGCATAGTTTCCATTTCCCTTGCATCGATATTTGCAGGTCAGGTTGCAGATGGTTTCTATTCCCCTGTTCGATGGTGAGAATCTGAGGGGGATCATCCAAAAAAATAACCAACCTTTTGAGATTGAAGAGATGACGACATAGTTTTGGAGGAATTGAATCTTTTGAATTGTGTGATTTATTATGATTTATTTGATTGTTACATGTTTAAACCCATGATTTTCATTTGTTCCATCCATGTTTTTTTTTAAATTCAAGCTCCGTGCTTCGTCGGCCATCGGAACTTGGATCAGCAAAGTCCGCAAGGCAAGATGGTGGACTCAAAAAAGCACACTCCTGCCATGGGGAGGAATTATACGGACATATGTGATAGATGTATGTTTATATGTTTAAACTTACTTTTCTTACGTACAGATATAAACAAATATCTACATATACACATGCATATATATATATATAGTCATGTCTATGAGTCTATGCTTTGTTTGAGCTGCAATGCTAAAACCCAAAGTTCTTCTGCAGACACTGGAGACACTGGTGAAACCAGGAGACATTCCCTGCAAGATGTTGCAACCAGAGAACTGTTGGCGGCAGTATGGTGAATGAACCTTGAAACATATATCCTCTGGAACATGGCCATTTAGTTCTAGTTGATTTACCATCATTTACCTACTTTAAATGGTGGTTTTCCATAGTTATTTTAGCTGAGGGTAAAAACATCCAAAATCTGGACAGCAGCAACTCTGCGCCGCCATGTTGAGGCCTCGTGCCAATTGGGCGCCATGGGCCATGGATAGTCACGATATGATGGGGATCTAATGGTGTTTTAATGCGGATTGAATGGTGTTTTAATGGGAATATACCCAGCAATCATGGGATACAATATGATATAATATGATTTAATGTGATATAATGGGAATGAACTGCACTACTCAGCAATATTTTTCATGGTAAATGACAGAGGCTAAGATTTGATGCAGCTCTGAGTCAGCAGGTCACTGTTTGTTCAGCAGGTCACTGGTCTTTCTCCTGTTGGAGGCAGGGGACATGGTGGTACCATCAACTGACAAAACCAATCCATGGGTGTTTGAAAATGGCGATACCCATAAGATTGTAGTTGATGAGGAATTATTTAAGCAACTTGTGCACCAGCAAAAGGTTGCTGACAATCCTTTTCTGCTCGGAGTTGTATCTTACTCGCCTTTAGCTCTGCTGAACTCCTTGAGAAGGCGATGAAGAGAGAGAGAGAGAGAGAGATAATATTATATATATATATATGATTATTATGATTGTAGTTTGAATGGGGAAAAGGTGATCATTAAGTATCCACATGTATCAACTTTAAGGACATCCTATGTGACGAATCAAATCAGATGGTGCCTGTGGTGCCACACCGGGGTGACCTGGGTGACCTGGGTGACCTGGGTGACCGGCGCCTGGAGGTGGCCGTGGGGTCAAAGATCCCCACCATCCTTTGGGGACAAAAACCCGATAGGCGCGGGGTTTCCCGGGGGGACCGGGAAGTGCTGCTATTTTTCCATGTTTTTTATGGGGACTTAAGTTAACTTAAGCATTTTTTCCAGCATATGTTGGGCATATAATACACTATACTTAACCATAAACCATTCAAAGTGCTGTATTGAAATCTTCCGATTTGCTGAGTTGACTGGTTGTACTACTTCAGGATCAGGGAAAACAGGGGAACCAGCTCGTCTGCAGCTCGGGATGTTTTTTGGATGGGCGGTTCAACCACCCAGGTATAATCACGATCAGATGTCACTCATGGAAATTTAGCGACCAGGAGCCACACCAACTAGCTCTCTAATGCTCTCTCTATATATATATAATTAAAAATGAAAGTATAATTAGTGTGTATTGTTTCTTCAACACTTACGTATTCTTGTATTTGAATGCCACCACTCAGAAGAAACACAAGACATTGGAACACCAAATAATTATCATATATATATATTCAAATATAATAATATATGATCACATATTATCATATGTCATCCAACAATTCTAACATTTAACCTATGTACCCGGCGTTTTTTTCATGTCGCTTCGTCTGTCGTTGATCTCCAGGCTGTACTTGTCCTTCCCGCTGAAGGATGTGAGAGAACCTGAGGTGGAACTGGAGGATCGCCGCCACGAAAAAACCGCTGGCCTGGCGATGCGAACATCGCGGGAGAATCCTGATGGTTTGCGAACTGGAAAATCACCATTTTATAGTTGGGTAAATCCACTATAATTAAATCACCATGTTCATCCATTTTCAATAGCTTTTTGTTATGTTTACCAGAGGGTAACTGGAATGATGGCTTTCATGGGCTAACTATCCCCAAACGCCCAGCGTTAGTGAATTCTTGGAACCCGAGATGGAGAGACGCTTGGGGAAAACAAACAACGAATCAAAGGGCAGAGATCGACAAATCAACGAACTAAACATGGATTAATAGTGGATTTTCCCATTAAAAATGGTGATTTTCCATAGCTATGTTAGTTTACCAGAGGGTAAACATGGTGCTATGTTCGAAAAAATGGGTTTACTTCTGAGAAAACCACAGGGGGCAGCACTCCCTTTCTTCCAAACCGGTGCGTTTTTGCCAGGAGAGAAGGCTTTACTTCAAGGGCATTAGTCAGGGACATCAGTACGAGGCAGGGACTTGGTCGATGCTGGTTGCTTTTGGAGATGGTCAAAAATTGTGCCCCAACTCTGTCCCCAAAGCCGCAAAATTGTGGCCCATACCCCGTGGGAAAAATTCGATGGACATGGATTCTTCATAGATAAAAAGGAAAGTGACATCAGCAGGTTGGGTTTAGCAACGGTAAACCATCCCCAATAGAAATTTCTATGGGTTTCTAAAATTGGGCCACGTCCCATCAGCAGTTCCCCAGCATCCATCAGCGTCCCACGACAGGTGGATTTGAAGCTCTTGCGCGGCATCAATGCCGCTCGAAAAAAACATGGGGAAAACACCATCGGTTTCAGAACTGGTCATGCTGGAGGTTTCCTAAGTCACGGAGGTACCACAAATCGTCCAATCGTCATGGATGGCCATGACTTGGTATTGAAACCCATGGTGACGACTGGGGATCACCCATTTTAAGAACCCATATCAGATTAATGTCCTGTGGTTACTGATCGTGAAATCATGTGAAATCGTTCGTTCTAGATATTTTTAGATGTATTGATAAATGTCATGTGGCAAAGCCAATGGTAAAAACATGTAAAAACCATCCGTAGAGGTTTCAGAATTGGGAGGCCACTGCAGCTGGAGCAGATTCCCCTGATGCTGGCACCATCAGGGCAATGATCTGCCCCCTAAAAAAAAGACGTGAAACTTGAAAATTGCGAAATTACAATTGGAACATCATTTGACAACCCACGTGTCAGATATGTTAATTTTCTGATTGGATATAGTTGAACACTTTATGTTTATGCTATTTTTTAGTGGTTTTCCTGCGAATCTTCAGAAGCCATCTGGTAGGTTTCAGCATTCGTGGGTTGATGGCCCTATCCGATGGTGTCCCAGGTATCCACCAGCAAGTACGACATGGGTGAAAAGGTGGCCCTGGCAGTACCGTATTGTTGGTAGATGCGGGTTTTAACATGTTTTAACCATTGTTGATGGCAGTTTTAAGGGCCAACATATGCGGATATCATTTGAGATATTTGAGATATGATGGCTGGTTGTTATAGGGGTTATTCTAGCCAGTTTTGTACACTAGGTGTTGCTATTACCCATGAACTGGGATCCCTTATAAAATTGCCAGCATATTGGGATTGTATGATGCTGGATGTCCCATTGATTTTTCTCATTTTGAGCACCCAGTTGTCATCTTCTCATCTGTTGACAACCCGTTAACTTGGGTGAGTGTATAGCCCCGTATCTTGCTCACTCATGAAATGTAGTTGAACATCAGTGTTGAACAGCAGTTTTAAAAATATATGTGGAAGATGCTGACACCTAGAACCCCATATTTTGGGTTTGTCCAAACATACGGAATAGTAGCCTAATCCTGTTTGATGTCCGCTCGCTTTTTTTTCGACCGGGGTTTTTGGGCAGCCAATCTGGTGCATCACTAGGGAGTACATACACCGACCTCAATGTAGCATAGTTTTTGGTATGTCAGTTGTTTCACACAGGTTTTCCGATGCAGAAACATACCCCAGTTTATGTGAATAAAACAGTGCGAACGATGATGATCCACCATGATTCATGGTGATGTTTTACCATGTTTTACCATCTTCGGACAATCCATGGTATATCTATATCTCATAAATGAATGATATGAATGCCTTACTTTTCCATACATTTCCCATACTTTTCCCCTGGGATCCCGTTTCAGGCGGTCTCGTTCGACCTCCCCAAGTTGGCCAATGAGCCCTGCTGGGAGCCCAGCTGGGTCATAAGAGTTGAACTGCCCCCGTTTTCGAACGCCACCAGAGGTTGGAAACGCCTCACGCGCAGCAAGAAGCCGGGGCTCCAGCTGGGAAGCAGGGCGGTGTGACCTCGCCAGTTGGGAAGTTGAATGAATCTGACCATATCTGACCTCGGTTGGGAATTTGAATTCTGACCAACAAAAATGGGATACGATTTGGGAAATCAATGGTGATCACAATTAATGTGATCCAATGGGATGTTTCCCTGGGCTTTAGTAAGTCGGATGCATTTTGCCATCGGTTCGTCCACTATGACTGAGGAGTATATTGGCAAGATGCTTGATTTCTTGGTTGCCTTCCATAGGCAGATCCAAGAAACTGGTTGAAGAATTGTTGATGAGCCAACGTCATGGTGGGTGATGCTTCAGCCTAAAACCCCAGAGTCACGCAACCAATCTGGCAATTTGGCTGTGCAGGAATCATCCCAGTGTGGTCCTAAGTAAGGCAACTCTATCTATGTTCTTTTCCGGAGCTGGCTGCACTATCCAAACATAGATCCCGAGCAGTTCAAATTGTCCAAATATGTTATAAATCTGTTTAAATCCATTTATATAGATCCCATTAAATCATGTTTTTTTTTTTCTGTTGGTTAACTCATCATTTTTCATCTCAGACCCAGGATGCAAGCCTTCATTAAGAAGGATCAGCACGGGGGGGAACTTTGGAGTGGAAGTCGGCTGTTTTCGCTTAAAAAAGTAACGGTTGATAGTGGTTGATCATGGATGGCCCTGCTGGGGATGTCGAAACCCCAATCCGTATATCTTGGAACTACGTTGGAACATTTTTTGAGGGGAAAAGCACTGGGACTGAACATCAGTAACAGATGTTTTGTTTGTTTCATCCATTGGTAAAGATCTGGTTGGTGGTTTCAAACATTTTTATTTTCCATAATATATGGGATGTCATCCTTCCCATTGACGAACTCATATTTTTCAGAGGGGTTGGTATACCACCAACCAGAGATGTTCTTGAACATCAGCTATACATCAGCCTGCCTTAAGCGACCCGTAACTGTCGCCCTGAAAAACAAAGCACGAAGTCATTGGATTCGCCAGGACAACCAGCGGTTGTACCCGGAGGAATGCTATCGACAGATGCTGCAGTGGAGAGAAGTCAGGGCCACAGATGGAGCCACAGATGGAGCCCTGGGAAATCCTGGGAAATCCTGGGAATATGGATGAAGTAGCCTCTGGTTATGACTAACATAAAACAGATCCTTCGGGGATCTATTTAGAGGTACAACGTGTGATTTACTAGTCTATAGACTTATAGATGTTTAAGATTTACTATTATAGATGTTACCCTCTGGTTATGACTAACATAGCTATGGAAAATGACCCATAGAAACAGATGATTTTCCCAGCTAGAAACCTCCATTTATTTTGGGGATTTTCTATAGCTATGTTAAATAACCAGAGGGTGTGTCCCTCATGGATATTTCCGAAAGTTGAGCAACACCAAGGACCTAGATGTCATTAGATGTCACTGTTTCATCATTTTGATGAAGATTTCCCACGACCGTGCTCAGCCTGTCGATGGTCCTGTTTGGTGGGAGAGGGATCAAAAAAAAAACAAATAAGGATCAAAAAAAAACAAATAAGGATCAAAAAAAAACAAATAGGGATCAAAAAAAACAAAATCCAGAAAACATGAGAAAACACAAGGAAACTATCACGAAATGAAGGCAAAACCCATGGATCAAAAAAAAACAAAATCAGGAAAGGAAAGAAAGAAAGAAAGAAAGAGAAAGAAAGAAAGAAAGAAGTAACCTTCTCTTGAAAAATGAAAGGAAAGCTTCCTTCTCTTGACCCCCCCACCCGCTTTTATTTTTTAGCCGGCTCCCCTTGCTACCTACTATTCTTTTTTTTTCACAAGCATCATCGTTGTTTATTTGGGTTCATTTAATCTTGATTGATATCCATCGCGACTTGTGCCTATGTACTTCTTTCTTGGTACGCATTGCGGGGGGAGGCGCTGCGCCCTCCCCCCTGCACCCCCCCACCCGCTTTTTTTTAATCGGTTCCCCTTGCTACCTACTATTCTTTTTTGTTTTTCATCAGCATCACCGGTTATTTGGGTTCATTTTATCTTTATTGATATCCATCGAGATTTGTGCCTATGTACTTCTTTCTTGGTACGCATTGCGGGGGGAGGCACTGCGCCCTCCCCCCTGCACCCCCCCACCCGCTTTTATTTCTTAATTGACTTCCCTTGCTACCTACTCTCTTTCATTTTTTTCATAGGCATCGTTTCTTTGGGTTCATCTTCTCTTTCTTAATCTTTATTTATATCCATCGAGACTTGAGCCTGTGTGCTTCTTTCTTGGTACGCATTGCGGGGGAAGGCGCTGCGCCCTCCCCCCTGCACCCCCCCACCCGCTTTTATTTTTTAATCGACTTCCCTTGCTACCTACTCTCTTTCGTTTTTATTCATATGTATTCCCAGTTGTTTTTTTTTTGATCCTCCCTTTCCGCAGTTTCTGGACGATTTTCACTACGATCGTCCTTATTTGTTTTTTTTTTTGATCCTTATTTGTTTTTTTTTGATCCCTCGATTTTGTTTTTTTTTTGATCCTTATTTGTTCTTTTTTTTGATCCCTTAGCCCTGTTTGGTCATGTGGCGAAGACATCCTTAGACAAAGCTGTCAACCAGGCTGACGCGGCCGGTTTTGCAACTTTTTGCCATCGTAGTTGGGAAGTTATTCGTACCCACGTGTCTATATATAATATATATATATATATAACTGTAAATAGATGATACGCCGATACGCAATAGATAGATGATGATAGATGTATGGGTTATCTATCAACTGGCCGTGACGCGGATGCCATCGGATGCCACTGACTGGCCATGACGCAGCACTGGCAGCGCTCAGCGCTCAGGCCTATTTCTATCGGAAGTTGCACCCCGAGGCTCGATGAGAAGTGAGCCATCCATTTGGGATGATATTGGAAGGTATATCATGGGTATATCCATCATTATCCATCCATTGTTTGGGTTATTAGTAATATAAAGTAATATAGAATAATATAGTGGTAATGTATGGTAATGTTCAGGGATTTTGTTTTAAAGGAGTCGCCAATTCTGACCCATTCCTGACGACGCATCGGCAGAGACTTGTGCATTTGTGATAGCATGCAAGGTCCAGTTGAACATGCTCGAGATGTTTCCTTGGGCATGATTTTCAGTCAGTTTTAGCCATATCTAGAGCACACGCCTTATGTTCACTTCTTTTTTGATTTTATTTTGGACAAGCTTGGTTCACCCGAGAGCACATGATCATAAATGCGGATGATATGAATATGGTGAGACCGCTTTATAGATAATTTCCTGAAAGCATGGGATTTCCCTCTATGATTCTATCATGTGGTGGTGCTGCCGGTGATGGCGGTTTCGGTGGGTGTTCATCGCCTGTCGAGTGTCCAGTGGGTGATTTGACCCCTGCGCTTCGCTGAAGTCGCAGGTGAACTTGATGCCATCCAAGCGGATGATGTTTGATATTCGATCTGGATTCATCATGATTCATCTTCATCCGGGCTCAAGTGACTCAAGTGTGCAATCCTGACCCGTGTTGAAGAGTAGACAGTTTGTTTGAACCTCAGAACTTCTCTCCATGCGCGCTTCCTTTCTTGTTCTGAACGTTCTGAACGTTCTGAATGTGGTCGCTGTGCGACCCTCCGTGGCGCCTCGGCAGGTTGATTGGGAGCAACTCGTCAACTCATGGATGCCAATAACCGCAGTAACCGGTGAACCAGATGGCCAAAGATGGCCAAAAGCCATGGGGTCCTTTTCAATATGAGGAATTGCTAGAGATGACCCGGATAGTCAGATAATCAGGATGACTCATCTCAGCGATGTTCAGTGGTTCATCAGGGTTGTTGATATCTGGGATATCTCAACACTTTGTCCCGAGTCTATCTGGCTATCACCGGAAAGCGAGCACGATTCTTGGAAGACTCATTCGAAGAATTCTGCCCAAGTCCTGCTTAGCGGGGTGACAACCCATATCCATTCGTATCCGATTAATGATAATGATATATCCCATAGGATCCATGTATGGTATATATGCTAACATAAAGGGGGTATATTGATGGTAAATGTTACCATATATAGCATACATGGATCCTATGGGTATATTCTTACCATTATCCATTCGACTTCGACTTTCCTTCACCCAGGAAAGCTCGTGGAATCCTTTCGCTTCACCCTGCGAAACGGTGAAGTGCAACGGTGAGCACTACTGGACCGGCTACGACTTGACCTACTCTAACTGCAAACTCGAGTTGGAGTGGGAGAACGGCAAGCAGGGGCCAGGCACAGGGTCTGTGGGTCGGTCAAGGGCTGGAATTGGCAAGGCAATACCGTCAATACCGTTTCGAAAAAACCGGTTGAAAGATGTTGAAAGATCATGTGAAACAAGTCTCAGATCACAGATGCGCGGTCCAGACTGATGTGGCAGCTTGAATCAGTTTCATGAGTGTTCTCCTTAGTTTCCATCGCAGATCCCGTGGACTTTCATGGCATATTTGGGGACGACGCATTCATGCTCAATGTTTTTCCTCTGGTAAACACCAGGTGATACATGCGTCCATCCTACATAGGTCTTTTTCCGACGATATGACTGCCTGACTGAGCCGCCTGAGCCCCCTGAGCCCTCTGAGCCCGAGGCATGTACAAAAGTGATGGCAAAGTGGTCAAGCCCAGTCAAATCAATGTCCTTGGCTTCTGCCCCGGAAATGAAGACTGCGATCTGCCAGAAGGTGGTGGCTACGTTTGCCGAGAGAGGTCTGGACCATACGGCCATGGCCAACTGGGAATGACCGACTTGGATCCACTTGTCATCACTTGTCTCTTTGTGAGCTGTTAACTAAGACAAAACCACCGTTTGCGTGAGATGTTAGCCTCTACAGCGGGCTTTTTTTTTGAGTTTTCAGGTATCTCAATGTCAAAATCACCTTGTCGATCCTTGTCGTTCTGTCAGACTGTCATCAACGGCCAGTCCCCGCCGTCCTGGCATGGCAGGTGCGATATCCACCGAAATCCCAAAGTCGTGAAAGGCAAAAAGACGAAGCCCGCCGATGCGAAGGGTACCATGGTGTACCGCACCGGCAAGGCGAACGATCCTCGGGCTTGGATTCCATGGATTCCATGGATTCCGATCGTGAAATATTGGGACCCAGCTGTGTCGAAGAGTCATAGCCCCTTAGGTATCTTGATTATTAATGAATATTAATGATATTTAATGATTATTAGGTATCTTGATATTCTTGATTACCTTGGATGAATGAAATCTGCGGCGGATATCTGATGTTCTTTCGGTATTCATGATGTCGCCAGCAAAGGGCCATCTCAACAGAGGGACTCCTCTGGGATGGCAGACAATTGACATGCCCGTGGTGTCGAAATTCCAGCGGCCCTTTTTGGGGTTTCCCGACCGAGGATGGAAGGGATCCACCTTTGTGCGTCTTCCTGGGCGCCAGCTTTTACTGAGCCGAGCAGGGCCGCATGGGTGCTGCAGAGTCGGACGTCGATCCAAGGTGAAAATGTCCGCACGATCACAGCACAACATAGGACAACCAGGAATCTCATTTGGGAGGCAAAAACCTATCCAAAACCCCGGAACACCGATGAAAAAACCAGCAAAAACACCCACCATCCTCCCAAAAGCGGAGTTCCCCCCAGTGTCACACCATCCCTGTGGCTGCGGTGCTTGGAGTAGCCCGGGGTACCTTCATTCTATCCTTATATCTATGATTCTACTGATATATTGATTCGCCCCAAGTTTTGCCATGGTATTCCATGATGTCCCCATGATCTCCCCAATGGTCGGTTGATGTTGGGCGTGCGAGCATTTACCCATGGTTTCTCCACCAGGAAGATGGCTCCAAGTCTGAGGACGCGGGATTTTCCATGGGAAGCCCATTCCAAATCATCACCATGGTTTATGGCTAAAAAAAAGACCATCCCGGAATGCACTGGGAATGCTTGTTGAGTGGGAAAAAAACGTAAAATGATTCGAAATGTCAGGGGGAACAATGGGATGATGACCGCGAGTAGCATCGCAGTGGTGATCGTTCGTTGCTGAGCAGTGGATGACTTAAGCGACATGATTTGGGTCAGATTGTCAACCCCCAAAATGGATCCATTTTTGATCCATGACTATATTGCCCCAAAAATGGTGAATACCTCAAAATTGCGATGTTTCCCAGGGAAAAAAAAACATAGAAACATATAGAAACGATGTAGGCATTTGGCAATACCTTGGACTTGGAGGTACCCCTTTGATCCCAGTTCCCCGAAATCGGGGCAGGAGTCCAAAGTCAGCTCACGAGACGAAGAGAAGCCACTGGGTGGCGTTTTCGGCATGCGAACGGCGAATGGCTTTGTCGATGTCAAGTTTCATTGGGTTGGAAAAAAAGAAAAAGTTGCAGGAAAGGTCCCTATTCTGGCGATGAAAAGCCAGGTTTCCTGCTGATTTGTTTTTTTTCTTCAACCCATTGAAACTTCAAAACTGATGAAATCTAGTGGTTGTAGCCAGAAACAATTGAATCTGGAAGCTGGGCTTCCTGCTAGACATTGCCTTGGGGCTTGAAGCCAGCACAGTGAAGCTTGATGGATGGTATCCCTTGTTTGGGATCTCCAAAATGAACAGATCTCACTGAGCTTAAGAGTGTGTGCTATTCGATTTATATGGTGCCTTATTATTCATATAATAGTTATAATACTATGATGATGATCAGGTATTAGGAGGTACTTTACTATTATAGATGCTACCCTTTGGTTATTTAACAGCTTGCCATGGAAAATCACCATTTTAATAGGTACATCATCTATAAATGGGTCATTTTCCATAGCTATGTTAGTCATAACCAGAGGGTAACATCTATAATAGTAAATCAAACATCTATAATAGTAAATCACACATTGTACCTCTATAGATCCCCAAAGGATCTGTTATAGATGTTATTCTGATCGATTTGGGGTGACCCTTGGATTCTTGCGAATCGCATCGGTTACCCACTCTGCGGTGACCATTTCTGTTCGACGCGGTGACCATTTCCGACGCCCCAGGAAGAATTTCGATGAACAGCTGATGGAGTTGCGAAAGAAGGCCGAATGGCATCAGTGGTCACCATGGTACTGGGAAAACTGACGATTCAAAAGTTTTACCGTTTGGTTATTTAACAGTTTGCCATGGAAAATCACCATTTTTAATAGGTAAACCATCTATAAATGGGTCATTTCCCATGGCTATGTTAAATAACCAGAGGGTATGTATTTCTTGGAGCATCTTAATTCTAACACATCAAGAATGGATCAATTTTCATCACGATATGGATGTTTACATGTTGCGAACAGATCAATTCTACCATGTTGTGATCGCCGATGGTTTCACGACATTTCACCCATAGGTGATCTCTGTTGACGTCTGCATGTGGGTCCTGCTTAGGTCAGCAATCTGAATTTCTGGTTGAGAATGTCATGTTGCCCTCTGGTAATTTAACATAGCTATTGAAAATGGCAATTTTAAATGGGGAAATCAACTATAAATGGCCATTTTCAATAGCTATGTCAGTTTACCAGAGGGTAGTGTTTTCTAGACTATTACGAATCTCCCTGACAAACGTTTGACTTTCAAGTATTTATGTATATATCGAATAGCCTCTGGTAAACTAAGACTTTGCGAACTGGAAAATCACCATCTTTAGTAAATCAACTACTTTCTATGGGCCATGTTAGCTGTTAGTCACAGCTGGTCACGCCAAGGCAGTTCCTCGCAAGTCCAGGCGAGAAATGGTGAAACATGGTGAAACTTCACCACTGTGAGGTTTTTTGAATGGATCTTGATGAAAAGTGATTCAAAACTCACGAAAAATGAAAAAATGAAAAAAAAAATATGCAAACAAATGGCCTCTTACAATAAGAGAGTGAAACTACATGAAACTGCCTTGACTTCTGAAGCAGAAAGCACTTGGCAGCACTTCCCATTCGGAGTGGAGTGGAAACTCTGCATGTTTGGGAAAGATGTCTATAAATTAGATTTGAATTCCATTACGAACACTTGAAATGAACTGGAGTCATGATAGAATCATAGTTCTGGAAATGTACCTGCAAAATCCTTTGAATTACTATAATTGCTGTAAGATTGTAATGCCTCATTGCTATGGTTTATACCATGAAAACATCCAAAAAGATAAGCAGAGTTGGTTGTGGATGGAATCTTCCGCGGCCAGGAAAAAGAAATCCAAGAGCGGCTTGAACGAGTTGTAGCCGTTTTTTTGGCGGGGGCGGCATGATGGAATATATGGAATGTGGGTGAAGGTAGAATGTAAAAATAAGGAAGTGGTCAACTGCATCCAACTGTGCTTTGTTTCATGTTCAGAGTGGCAAAAAAGAAAGGCTTTGTTTCACACGCCGACGGCAGATGTGAAGGAGAGACCCAAGGTTGGAAGGACTGGACAAAAATTTGTGTTTCATTTGCTGGGTCCGGAGAGGTTTGTGTCAAAATTGCGTTTTGACTTCGGCCACTTTGGGAGGAAAGCACTTCTTGTGCCAGAAATCTTGATCGCATGCCCAATGTGGTGGATTGCACATGATTGTACAACATATGAATTTTTGCAGCTTTGTGGATTTTGTGGGCCGTATGCTTGCACTAAGCGGCTCAACAAGGCCAGCAAATAGGCCAGGTGAATTTGTAAAGTCCAAAGTTCCACTGTCTTTTTTGTTTTTTTTTGGGGGGGCAGGGCGGGCAAACAAATGCACGACTAGAAACCACCAAAAAAGATTAATTAAACAAAAAAAAATGATTTTTTGATGATACTCCCCCAACAATTTCTAGGTGTCCAACGTTTCCATCCAAACAATCCAAACAATCCAAACAATCCGGGGGTTGCTGTTCAACATGGCCAAGTTGATCCAGTCGCGTTGTACAGCAACAGCCACAGTCATTTATCAGCCGCCGAAGAAGCGATGGATCTCCCGCCGAAGTTGCGGAAAGTCGTTTTATCAGCATGTCAGGCCCGATGGGACGAACAGTTTGGGGATGAGTCGGTTTTTCCGAATGCAAATTCTCTGGCGCCAGTGGAACAGTGGAATATTTTTTGACACTTTATCATACTTTATCGCTGATATTCCCATTTGGAAGGGAACAAGGCATGTACAAAAAAGAAAATGTTGGTTTATTAAACCCAGTTTCACTGATGATTTCACATGTGTTTGCTTTTGGTGGTGCCTTCCTCCCCATTGTTTGTTTGTTGTATGCTGGTTTTTCTCCCATCTTATCCCATTTATATTAAGTTTCATTTGAAATGAACACATCCCCCTGTTGCAGCCGACGAGTTGACAGGCGACCAAACTACTGACTGCAATTTTCGTCGCTGAGTTGACCAAAACGATGGTGGGAAACTGCTGAAGCTCTGAATGGTTGGGTACGTTGATGTTTTCATGTTTTTGTTTTACACATGGGGGGTATATTAGACCATAACATCCAAAACATATGTAAGAATGTGATAACACATGGGGTTTTTACACATGGGGATATATTGATCTAAGCAGTTTTAGGCCATGGATATTTCACAACCTGTTTCAAACGATATTTGTGTTGTTGACACCGCGTTCCCAGTGGCATCAGTGGCAGGGGTCAACGTCGCCAGCAGCGGCCTAGGTCCATAGCACATGGACTCTGTGTTGTTTTTTCCTGGCAACTTGAGCAGCATTTTTTGACGTTTTTTGACGTGCCAGTGCCTGTCTAAGATACCCTCTGGTATAAAAAACTATATGGCATATCACCATTTTTCATGGGAAAATCAACTTAAATTACCAGAGGGTATGCTGGGTAATCCTCGAACTAAATGGAGGTTTGCTGGGAAAATCATCGAACTAAATGGTGGATGGTGCAGCAAGCCATGTTTGGTTGCATGAGGATAGGATCATCAGTGTGTGTTCTTTGAGTATGGCCGGTGACCTGTCCATATTTGGACAAATTTGATGATCAAAATGCAAGATAATACAAGCACAAAGTTTTTTTTTGGGCAAGGTGTTGGGCTTTTCAAATGGTTCTTGAAGTTTCTTGATCATTATTCCTGTTTTTTTGGATGATGGACTCCAGTGATGTTCTTTTGGTTTTGGGGATCTGTTAAAGCTATCGATACCAACTGTATCCAAATGTCACGGTATGTTTTCCATGGGCGATGCGAAAAAGTGTAGAGAGCCCATCAGTGCGCCATTGAGGAACTCTGACTATGCAGCGAACACACCAGAATTGGATATGTATTACTATAATATACAATATGTGTATATATATGATATGTATTATGTATTGTATAATATATGTATGCACACCCATTCATTTACGCACAGAGTGCATCTCGTTATCTTTCGAAAAAAAATAAAAAACGTACATAGTATACTGATATTATGTGCTATTTATGTTTTGGTGTGGTTTTTGTTTGGCATTTGTTTGCACAATCTGTTCACACCTTCAAGTTAATCTGTATGAAGATCAGCCAACAAAAATGTCTGGAAACACTCAGTGGAAATCAGAAAAGAGAGCCATTGGACGGTGTAATTACAACCACATACCAGAGGGAGCAAGGCCTAGACAGACAGCGATGCAGATTGGAGGGGCCTACTATAGTGGTGCATAGTGAGGCCAAACAGGCCCATAAAGCTAATAATGTATCCTGGATTTTCCTGGTAAACCTTTGCAAATGGTGATTGAATGAGTCATGTTTGGTCGTTTTTTGCCGTGTTTGTTGGCTACAAGCACCATGTATTGTTGGCTGTCGTTTATTATGTACCTATTTATGTGTGTAGGCATAGTGAAAAAGTCATGAAAGCGTATCTTCCCAAGACTTTGATGCTAATTGAGCAGAATCTATTTTTCAATCAGTACAAGCTCCAATATTACATGTTAGCACGTCGCTGTGACACTTCTTGGGGGAGTCTCTTCAGGGGGCCAACCCTTCGTGTGTATAACAAGGTATACAATATACCCCTTGTGTGGCGTCAAATTTGGCCAGCTGTGGACCCTCAATTTTGGGCAAGTGGGACCTTAAATTTGGGCAAATGTACCCAAAGTACCCAAAAGAGGGCAACATGTTGGTTTAAATTTAAATATCACCTTAATGAACCCAAATGAAGGTAGCATTGTGGTGTAAAGTATCACCTTGTTGTAGCCAAACTAAGGTAGGATGTTGGTACAAAGTATAACTTTCTCATTCCCAAATCAAAGTAACAGTTTTGGGTATATAATTAAGGTAATGCCTTGGGACAAAGAAAACGTGTTAGAGCCCCATGCCCCATTAAGAACTAACACTGTCACAGTACATCATATTACACCCTCATTTAAATCCGTTATATGATGAGATATGACATGTATAAAGTGATGATGTACATTTTGTTTTTTATGGTTTTTATTATATAGTCAAAACACATATTCCTGCATACCCTTTGATACAGTTGCATCATGTATGTAGATATATTGATACTACCTTTACATATATCTTTGTATATATATATTAATATATATATATACATAACTATATTGATTATGTATATATATATATGTTATATCCCCATGGTTTGTATCTCACAGTCGCCCCATGTCGTTTTTGAGGCCCTGCTGCGCTTCCGTGGGGAGCACTGCGACGGCGTGCAGTTTCTGGAGGGTCACGTGACGCACGCGCGGAGCCTGGAGGCGAAGCACAGCTTTCGCTACGGGGTGCGTGGCTGGGCGAAGATGGGGATGGTGGAGATGGGTGAAGTTACCCTCTGGTTATTCAACATAGCCATGGAAAATCACCATTTTTAATAGGTAAACCATCTATAAATGGGCCATTTTCCATGGCTTAAAACATGACTGGTTGGTGGTTTCAAACATGACAAAAATTTTGTCCATAATATATTGGGAATGTCATCATCCCAACTGACTGACTAATATTTTCCAGAGGGGTTGAAACCACCAACCAGTTATAGTCATCCCCCAAATTGCCTTATTTATATATAGATGATGTACCTATTAAAAGTGATGATTTCCATGGCTATGTTAAATAACCAGATGGTAATTTGAAATAGTCATCTAATTTTTAGTCATAAATCACCATAATTATCCATAGACCAATTATAGTCAGTCATCCCTAAGATGGAAAAGTAAATCCCTACTAATTTGATGGTGAAATCCATAATAAATGTATGTATAACAGTAGACCTATCATATATTATGGGAATAATAGGTATATTATGGGTTGATTACCTATATACCATGATATACCTATTATTAATGTGATACACCATAATAATATACCTGTAATTAGTATATACCATGATATACCATCATATAGACCTATTATAAGTTCATCATAACCATGTTTTTTTTCGGGAATAACCATCCAGCGACATCCAGCTATGACTTGGGGTACCGTTTGGGTAGGGTTATTGCCATACTTGAGGGGAATAGCCATCTATTAACCAGCTGATCAGTGATATTCTTGATAATCAAACAAAAATAAGGAATATCAGTGATTAGCTTGTTATGGTGGTTCACGGGGGAATTTTCGCTATTTTTCACTATTGACGGTATCATCCCATTCCACCAGGTTCCACGTGGTTCCCTACGAAGTAATGGTGAAGGTTTATGGTGGATAACTGATTGGTGGCACCGGTGGATGGAGGACTTTTCTGGCTGAATATGGTTTTATTAGGTTTTATTGGTCCAATGTTTTTTGGTTGATTACCTATATAACCCATAATATACCATCATAACCATGATTTCATCATATATATAACCATGAGTGTTTGAAAAAAGAAACATGGCAGCCAGTTTTATGGGACTTATGGGACTTTGGGCCATGTTACAAGCCCAGTTCTTCAGTTCGGAGTGGACTTCCCCCGGACTTGTCCACTTCCTATTGACAGCATGTTGTGAAAAAAGCTTAGCAAAAAAACGACCTGTAAAAGTAACATAAGTTAGGTCTCTATCAGATCTCCCCCTGGGTTTCGATCCAACATCCATGGTTTTGCGACATGGCAAATTTTAATGAGACCTCAGGGGTTCGATCATTCAATAGGTGATGGTTGGTGAGGATTTTTTTCATCACCCAACATTTCAGGTTAGTGAATGATGACATAATTCAAGCAGCTTCTATGCCAGATTATATTGGGTTCCTCATTCCGTTTTATGGTTGGTTGATATATCATTGTCCTGGAGATTCACCTACTACATAGTTGGTTCAACCCCTGCTTTACTTCCATAAATCATCAAAAAGACATTTTGTTGTTTCAACCACGAATGAAAACAAAAACCCGATTTTGCTTGCTTGAATCACCACGAGTGTAGTCAGGAATCCCTGCACTTGCTGAAATCTCAGTTGGACCATGGTCTGACAGGGATTTTCCCATGGATTTTCTCAGAAAAACTATGGATGTTCCATGGATTTTCTTAGAAAAACCATGGATTTTCCATGATTTTCTTATCAAAACAGGGATTTTTCCATGGTTTTGACAAAAAAATCCATGATTTTCTTAGGAAAAACCCAATATCCATGGGGATTTCAGTGGATTTCCCCAGCCTTCTGCGCAGCGTCAGGTATGGCGTTGATCGATTTGGATCGTCCACCTCCCTGGTGGTCGGCGGAACCCATTCGGCGGCTCACTGCGCAGGAGAGAGGTGATGGGATGAGAAAATTGGGTCATTTGCCATCAGTACATGATAATATTACATAATATGTATATAATATATATATAGAGACCTCATATATATTTACAGCAATTTAAGGGGATATGTCGATACATATATATATATATATTGGGAATGTAAGCAACAAAAATGGTGGTTGAATTGGAATGTAATGGGTATTTAACGGATATATGACACATTCGATTAAATTGATTTTCATTGTAGATATTGTAGTGTATATTTGATTCATACCAGTTGTAATCGAATGAGAAGCGTTTTTATATATGAATTATCTAACTTTGAAAGGGTTCATAGTGATTATAATTTACCCAGAATAGTGGTTCATAGTGGTTTAATAGTGACCATATTACTGGTCGGTGGTTTGGAACATGGCTTTTATTTCCATTTCATATATGGGATGTCATCCGAAACCCATTGACGAACTCATAATCATATTTTTTAAGATGGAAAAGTTGCACCACCAACCAGTTAACATGTATTAACCATTGTTAACCATTATCAGCACTGATTAACCACTATTAACAATGATTTACCCATGATTAACCATTATTACCAGAGGGATTGGTATGGCATGTTGGACTTGTCCGAAGCGACGATCTCACCTGGGGAAGTCCACCATTGAGGTCACGGTCATGGTTGCCATGGTTCACTGCCATGGGGCGATGGTTTCTATTCAGAAAACCCCCGCAACACCCGAAAGACCCGAATGATTTGTTTACATTGAACCACCAACCCATTAACTTTCCAGGTTAGGGAAAATCATGTTGTAGAGTAAATGAGTAAATGAGTAAATGAGTTAAAGGAAAATCATTTATCTGCTGTTACTGGGCGGGGGGTAGATCGAATATATATATATATGTATATTAATTATTATGTGGTAAACCCAATAATAAATCCCCTGATTATCGCTATAAATGGATTAAACAAGTATCCCCAGCCATGGTTTATATAGGTTTACGGCATTGGGTTTACCACTGAATACACAGGAGGTTCGAGAGGCCGCCGGAACCCGTGGGAATGTGAAGTTGCTCACCAGCCCGGCAGCAGCACAGTCACTGGTCGCATGGATCGTCGTTGAGGATGTTAATCTTTCATGAATCGGAATGTGTTTACCATGTGTTTACCATGTGTTTACCATGCAAATCTGTTTCATGTGTTTTGGCAAGGTGGACCTGAAATTTGTTTGGTCTTCAATTTTTTTCCAACCAAGTAACCATAGAAAATGGTTGCAATGCTTTGGCGAGGTATGGGAAATTTGCTCTGAAATCTAATCAGTCAAAACATGCTTGAAACATTAAACATTGAGATTGTTTTTTCCATCAACATGGAATTACTAAGCTGCACAAATGGAAATTGACACCAAACAATGGATATTTTTTATACATATATATATATATCTGTGTGGGTATGGGTATGTATGGGTATTATGGTACCATAGATCGTCTCATATACTCAACTGGCCTGGCCCTAGCAACCTCTCCCTTTTGCGGTGCCCGATGTAGACCATTTGGAGGTTCAATGTCAGATGTCAGTAATGCATTTCACCCCACATTTCCACTTCTAACCATATCGTAGCCATTGCAAAGCAGTAAAATGAACAATCAAAACAGCGTCCTTTTTGCGGGGGGGCTTTGTTGAGCAAGGATCTATTGAAATAAGGATCCTTTCAACCGGCGCTGAGGTATCATCAGAATCCCATTCAAATCTATTTCTGCGAGGACAACGGTGAATTTCATGTGGGTGTTTGTGAAGTGACCAACACGTCCAGCCGGCCTGTTGCAGAAGGGGAAGATTTTTAGACTTGGAGGATATCAATGAGATAACCTTTCCTTGAATGCTGAGGGGTCATCTTCCAGATCCTTCCAGAAATAGCAGTGAATAGATTAAATTAGATTAGATTAGGTTAGGTTAGATTCTACATGTTAGAATTGATTAGGTTAGAATAAATATAGATATGTTATAAAAAAATATGTATAGTGTAATATATGATGTGTGTGTTTTAAATATACATATCAGTAGTACCGCACAAGGCGGTGGCGGAAGTTTCAAGGATAGGACACTATAGGAGAGGTGAGTTGTTGTGATGCACGGATGGCAGAGCGAATCCACTGATGGACCGAAAGGTGGTTGGAGTTGTGTTTTCTGGAGTGGTTGCAGTGGTTGCAGCCACAACGTCTGGATATAGTGTGATGTAGTGCAGCTGTAGTTGTAGTTGTAGTGTAGTGGAGTTGTAGTTGTGTGTAGTGTAATCAGTGTAGTGAAGTTGTAGTTGTAGTTGTGGTGTGGTGTAATCAGTTTAGTGTAATGGGATGTAGTGTGCTGTAGTGTTGCGGGCTGTAGCGTAGTCTAGTGTAGTATGCTGTAGTGCTGTGTGCTGTAGTGTAGTCTAGTGTAGTATGCTGAAGTGTTGTGTGCTGGAGTGTAGTCTAGTGTAGTGTAGTGCAATGAGATTAGTGTATATAGTGTAGTTGTAGTTGTCGTTGTAGCTGTAGTAGTAACCGTAGCTGTAGTTGCAGTTATAGTTGTCTGTCTATCTATCTATCAATCTACCTACCTACCTACCTATCTATCTATCTATCTATCTGTCTATCTGTCTTTCTGCAAAATTGAAAACAAAGCTATTCTGCGAGGCCTCCGCAATTTTTGAAATTGGCAACATCAAAAACGAAGCAATTCTGCGAGACTTCCTTCAATGATGGAAAGTTGAATGCAGAGCTGACGGTCTCGTACCAATGCGTTTTGCGATCTTTCCAGTCCATAACTCTGAAGTATTTTTCGCCTGCCACGAAAAAGTGATGCAAGCTTATACAAAGTGCTGCACCTGTCACGCAAAATCATCTTCCCAAAACTGAAGATTTGATGCCCAAAATGCAACCCCTCTCAGGAAATCAGCCCCAGTGGCCTCCTAACATCTCTGATGAACATGTCTCTTGCACTGCGCCTGCCACGGAAAATGCATCTTTCCAGATCCTCTTCAAATGTCCCACGCCTGCAATTGTTTTTGGACATGCTAGAAAACCCTCACGTTTTGCTCTTTTTTGACAAGGTGCACAATCCCTTGTACCTGCCACGAAAAACGACATCTGAACGTCCAAAAGTGGTCCGTACCCCTCAGTTTTTTGCTCTTTTGACTTCGACATGTGCTTCGCGCCACAACGGCTTGCACTTTTTCGACATGTCAACTTCCAAAAGTGGTCCGAGCATGGTATGCTTTGTGCATTTTGACTTGGACATGTGCTTCACGCCGCAACAGCGTGCACTTTTTCGACATCTCAACTTCCAAAAGTGGTCTGAACATGGTTTGCTTTGTACGTTTTGACTTGGACATGTGCTTCGCGCCACAACGGCGTGCACTTTTTCGACATCTCAACTTCCAAAAGTGTTCCGAACGTGAGATGTTTTTAGCTTTTTCACTTGCAATGTGCTTCGCACCACAACAGCGCGCAACTTTTCATCTCATCTGGCTAGATGGCTCCGCACCCGCCGCTTTAGCGAGCCTACTTTTCGACCCTCTGGAGCCACAAATCACTGGAAAAACACAGTGCTTCGCGACTTTCCTACCTTTTCGCACACATGGATCTTCTTCTGACTCCTTCTCTTCGTTGATCTTCTCTCTTCTCTCTTCTTCTCTTCTCTTCTCTTCTCTTCTCTTCTCTCCTCTCCTCTTCTCTCCTCTCCTCTCCTCTCCTCTCCTCTCCTCTCCTCTCCTCTCCTCTCCTCTTCTCTTCTCTTCTCTTCTCTTCTCTTCTTGCCTCTTCCCACCTCTGCTTTTCATCTGTCCATTTTGTCGGAATTTTGACTTCTAAACTTGCTTCGATTATTCGATCTTTCAGAAACAGCCACTCCAAGTAAGCCCTCATGCTGGCCAATCATCAGCAATGCTGGTCTTCACCAACTGGAATGCTGTACCTGTTGGCGTCATTTCTTCTGCTGGTTAATCAGTTAATCAACATTTTTTTTACGGTTATTTAATGAAATATTATAATATTATGGATTATGGCTGTCACTTCGTCACTTTTTGGCTGTTTCAGCTTCATTTGTTTTTTCTCCTTTTGCTTGAGCCACCATGTCTTGTACCAAAAACGTGTTGATGTTGATGTTCCATCCTACCAGGGATCATAGTCCCCAAAGAAAACTGCGATGTTTGTCTCATCCACCAACCATCCATCGCCGTCCATTTTTGCGATGTGTGCTGATCACATTCCCATTTTGTGTCCCACAATTCCCTATGATAGTCAAGTCATGTCAAAAACCCTTTGTTTTAACTCCACATGTTTGGTTGGTTTCCAGTTCCTATCCATTTTTGTCCTGGTCAACCCCGCGAAGGATTTCTGAATACTTGGAGAATGATGATAATCCCATATATGTTCCCATTCAATATCTCAATATAGTAATAATAGCAAATAGACATAAATGACAATGACAACACATTCACAAGGTACATAACAAATAAAAAAATACATGATGATAAATGACAAAATTGACATCATAAGAAAAAAACAAACAAATTGACATCATATGTAGGCATTATGATAGGTGATGAAAAAATACCATTCGTCATGCCCAAAAGGGAACCGCCATGACGTCTAAAAGGTGCTGAACAACTTGGGAACACCGCCAGGCCTTGGAACCACCATGTGTTCTTCGTCTTTCGCCTTGAGGGCGATGAGAGACCAAAGCCGCGGCCTGGCGTAAGCGAAACGTGCGAAACGAATGGTGACTTAGTCACCTTAGTCAGGGTGACCGAAACGAATGGTGACCTTTAAAAAGGGGAATGTGATGTCAGTGATGTCTGCAGAGGAGTGTTGACCATGTCACAAGTCAATAAAACCCATGTCACAAGACGTCACAAGTTCCAATTTGCTGGATGGTCCTAAAACCCATGACGAGGAGATACCTCCATTTCGATGTTTTTTTAGGGAAGAAAACCCAAGTGCGGTGATGCATCCAATAGATTGGATCCATGCTATGGGTTAAGATAACTCAAAAGGACATTTCTGGGACAGGTTTAGGCATTTTTGGTTTAGTTTTTGTTGTTTACCATTCCACTATACGCATGCAGTGACCCCCCATGCTCACCTTTCATGTGTGGGTTTTAAATCATGTTTCTTGGGATAGAGACCTACTTGTGCATTGAATTCTGCTGAAATTCACATGTTATGGGTCTCTAGCTAGTGGTAATAACCTTTTTTGGTTTGACCTCCTCCAAATTCGCATTGCTCAGGGCAGGAACAGTGAAAAAAACCGTTGGTCGATGCGATTCCAATAGAGATCCTCAATGGGATATCGATCATACCATATCCCCATGTGTTTGTTTGGTTAAGTTATCTATCTCCCATTGCATATACCTATCCGTTAAATATCACCATGGAATATGCCAGTATCATGGTTGGCTTTTTGAAAAACATCCCCATGACATGATGTCCAAAAACAAAAATCACAGATGACACATCCATTTCTATTGTGTATGTATATATACATATATATATATATATTTATATTTATACCCGCTATATCCCACTAAATCTGTATACCCTCCGAGAATCAAACGTGGCAATTGAACACCCTTCCTTCATCGATTTTACCAGCTATTAACTTCCATTTATCGATAATTTTCCAGCCAGCCACGCTTCATTGCCAGAGGATATTCATATCTATTCATAGGTATACCGTATTTTTAACCATGTGAAAAACCTATAACCAACCATGAAAATTAACCACTATCTATTAGCCACTATGATGAATTTGTTGCCATAAAGCCAGCAGTTCACTTCACCATTCACCGAGTTCACTTCAGTAGGTTGCACGTGTCGCCTCTCATGGACCTGAAGCACCGCTGGAGCCTGAAAGCCACCAGTCCCGCCGCTTTGCAGAAGGGGCCTATGGAGCCTTGGCCCAGGGAGTCAGGTGGAAAATCACCACGATTTTGATGGGGTTTAATGGGATTTTATGGTGGTTTAATGGGATTTAATATGATATACCCTCTGGTAAACATTCACAGTTTGCTATTGAAAATGGCCATTGAAATAGTTGATTCACTCATTAAAATGGTGATGTTCCATAGTTTTTTGTATGTTTACCAGAGGGTAAATGGGAGAAACAGCTGATGGATATCGTGGGGACAACAAGTAGATAAACTCCACAATAAGTTACTAAGGCATTCAAAACCAATTAATCTTATCCCAACTGACTTTCACTCCATCATTTTTCAGAGGGGTAGGTATACCACCTGACAGATATACTGGATATGGATATTACATATTATTACTAATTACCATCAAAATCAGAAGAATTTGGATGTGCTGAAACCAAAAATCAGAAAAGTGCTGAAAAAAAGGCCTCATGACCCATGTGAAACCACCCAAATGGGCGGTACTTGTTGTGGACATAAACTGCCTCTTTTTTTCTGGACGTGCATCTGGATATTTTTTTAGAGAGACGATGAAGCTTATCAACTTGATACCAGTATCCAAAAATTGGCTCCATGTTGTTCTTGGAGAAACAACCCTCTGGTAATCAAACATGGCAATTGGACATCCCATATATATATATGGAAGTTTTTAGCTAGGAAAATCATCGAGCATTTTCCATAGTTATGGTAATTTATGAGAGGGATGCAGAGGGTATATGTCATTATTTCCCATTACAATCCCATCATATATTTCATTAGACCCATATTAAACCATATGAAATCCCATTACAATATATTACAATCCCATCATATTTCATTAAACCCATATTAAACCATCTGAAATCCCATTACAATCCCATCATATTTCATTAAATCGCATTAAACCATCTGAAATCCCATCTGACAATCCCATCATATTTCATTAAATCGCATGAAATCCCAACAACCCAATGCGACTCACCATGTCATGGTGATGGTTTAACCCCACATCCACGGTCCACGGCCAGGAAGTCTCCGTGGATGTTCTGCCGGGCCTCGAAGGCACATCTGAAGCGTGACATGGCAAGGCTTAGTGATCCAAAATACAGCTGGTTGGTTAATAATGGTTAACAGTGGTTAATAGTGGTTAATAGTGGTCAATAGTGGTTAATAATGGTTCATAGTCGTTAATGGTTAATAGTGGTTAATAGTGGTTAATAGTGGTTAATAATGGTTAATAGTGGTTAATAGTGGTTAATAGTGGTTAATAGTGGTTAATAGTGGTTAATAATGGTTAATAGTGGTTAATAATGGTTAATAGTGGTTAATAGTGGTTAATAATGGTTAATAATGGTTAATAGTGGTTAATAATGGTTAACAATGGTTAATAATGGTTAATAGTGTTAATAGTGGTTAATAGTGGTTAATAGTGGTTAATAGTGGTTAATAGTGGTTAATAGTGGTTAATAGTGGTTAATAGTGGTGAATAGTGGTTAATAATGGTTAATAATGGTCAATAGTGGTTAATAGTGGTTAATAATGGTTAATAGTGGTTAATAGTGGTTAATAGTGGTTAATAGTGGTTAATAGTGGTTGATAGTGGTTAATAGTGGTTAATAATGGTTAATAATAGTTAATGGTGGTTAATAGTGGTTAATAGTGGTTGATAGTGGTCAATAGTGGTTAATAATGGTTCATAGTCGTTAATAGTGGTTAATAGTGGTTAATAGTGGTTAATAGTGGTTAATAGTGGTTAATAGTGGTTAATAGTGGTTAATAGTGGTTAATAGTGGTTAATAGTGGTTAATGGTTAATAGTGGTTAATAGTGGTTAATAGTGGTTAATAGTGGTTAATAATGGTTAATAGTGGTTGATAATGGTTAATAATGGTTAATAGTGGTTAATAATGGTGGGTTAATAGTGGTTAATAGTGGTTAATAGTGGTTAATAATGGTTAATAATGGTTAATAGTGGTTAATAGTGGTTAATAGGTGGTTAATAGTGGTTAATAATGGTTAATACTGGTGAATAGTGGTTAATAATGGTTAATAATGGTTAATAGTGGTTAATAGTGGTTAATAATGGTTAATAGTGGTCAATAATGGTTAATAGTGGTTAATAGTGGTTAATAGTGGTTAATAGTGGTTAATAATGGTTAATAGTGGTTAATAGTGGTTAATAGTGGTTAATAATGGTTAATAGTGGTTAATAGTGGTTAATAATTGTTAATAATGGTTAATGGTGGTTAATAATGGTCAATAGTGGTTAATAGTGGTTGATAATGGTTAATAGTGGTTAATAGTGGTTAATAGTGGTTAATAGTAGTTAATAGTGGTTGATAGTGGTTAATAGTGGTTAATAGTGGTCAATAGTGGTTAATACTGGTCAATAGTGGTTAATACTGGTGAATAGTGGTTAATAATGGTTAATAATGGTTAATAGTGGTTAATAGTGGTTAATAATGGTTAATAGTGGTCAATAATGGTTAATAGTGGTTAATAGTGGTTAATAGTGGTTAATAGTGGTTAATAATGGTTAATAGTGGTTAATAGTGGTTAATAGTGGTTAATAATGGTTAATAGTGGTTGATAATTGTTAATAATGGTTAATAGTGGTTAATAATGGTTAATAATGATTAATAATGGTCAATAGTGGTTAATAGTGGTTAATAATGGTTAATAGTGGTTGATAATGGTTAATAATGGTTAATAATGGTTAATAATGGTTAATAATAGTGAATAGTGGTTAATAATGGTTAATAGTGGTTAATAGTGGTTAATAGTGGTTAATAATCGCTAATAATGGTTAATAGTGGTTAATTATTTTTAATAATGGTTAATAGTGGTTAATAGTGGTTAATAGTGGTTAATAGTGGTTAATAGTGGTTAATAGTGGTTAATAGTGGTTAATAGTGGTTAATAGTGGTTAATAATGGTTAATAATGGTTAATAGTGGTTAACAGTGGTTAATAGTGGTTAATAATGGTTAATAGTGGTTAATAATGGTTAACAATGGTTATTAATGGTTAATAGTGGTTAATAATGGTTAATAATGGTTAATGGTGGTTAATAATGGTCAATAGTGGTTAATAGTGGTTAATAATGGTTAATAGTGGTTGATAATGGTTAATAATGGTTAATAATGGTTAATAATGATTAATAATGGTTAATAGTGGTTAATAATGGTTAATAGTGGTTAATAATGGTTAATAGTGGTTAATAATCGCTAATAATGGTTAATAGTGGTTAATAGTGGTTAATAATGGTTAATAGTGGTTGATAATGGTTAATAATGGTTAACAGTGGTTAATAGTGGTTAATAGTGGTTAATAGTGGTCAATAGTGGTTAATAATGGTTCATAGTCGTTAATGGTTAATAGTGGTTAATAGTGGTTAATAGTGGTTAATAATGGTTAATAGTGGTTAATAGTGGTTAATAGTGGTTAATAGTGGTTAATAGTGGTTAATAGTGGTTAATAGTGGTTAATAATGGTTAATAGTGGTTAATAGTGGTTAATAGTGGTTAATAATGGTTAATAATGGTTAATAGTGGTTGATAATGGTTAATAATGGTTAATAATGGTTAATAATGATTAATAATGCTTAATAGTGGTTAATAGTGGTTAATAATGGTTAACAATGGTTATTAATGGTTAATAGTGGTTAATAATGGTTAATAATGGTTAATGGTGGTTAATAATGGTCAATAGTGGTTAATAGTGGTTAATAATGGTTAATAGTGGTTGATAATGGTTAATAATGGTTAATAATGGTTAATAATGATTAATAATAGTGAATAGTGGTTAATAATGGTTAATAGTGGTTAATAGTGGTTAATAGTGGTTAATAATCGCTAATAATGGTTAATAGTGGTTAATTATTTTTAATAATGGTTAATAGTGGTTAATAATGGTTAATAGTGGTTAATAATGGTTAATAGTGGTTAATAATGGTTAATAGTGGTTAATAATGATTAATAATGATTAATGAGATATTTGCTTGGTGGGGACTGGAACATGGCTTGATTGTATGACTTTCCATATTAATTGGGAATGGAAAAATCATCCCAACTGACGAACTCACTCCATCATTTTTCAGAGGGGTTGGTTGAAACCACCAACCAGACAGTGTATCGGTTGAAATTGTGGGGTGCAGGACGAAAATTCGGTGGTGACACATGGTGAAACTGCGGGCATCGACTTACGGGGTGTTTTTTCTTGTTGGGAAACAGCCCAGCGAGGCAAAAAAGGTCACCTCCATGATTGACACTGTCATATATTCTCTAAGGATCTAAGTCCTATTTGGCCTATTTGGCCTATTTGTTGAGCTGGACCCACATCTCACATGGGGCTCACCAGAAAGGAATGGGTCCACAAGTTCTCCGGGCTGAAAAAACATTTGGAGTTGTTTGGAGTGGAAGCAGTGGATTTTCCATCCAGTAGATGGTACCGACCCCTCGGGTTTGGTATGTGGATCAACCTTGATGAAGAGAAGCGGTTAGTCTCCGTTTGCGAGACACCCTGAGGATCTATAATATCATAATATCCAACGAAACAGAATAGTAAAACTGAATCTAAGACCCAATGCGACCACAAAACAATACAAAACATCTGGTGGTTTCTGTTGGTGGCTTGGAATTACTGAGGATTTTCAAGGCGCACTTGAAGTTGGAACTCAGCAATTTTCCCCATGCTCGTGCTGAGCATGCAGGTGTGGATTTTTCCCAGCCCGGTCTTGGCCACCAAAGATTGGGATTTCACGTGTAAGTTACTTTATGTTATACTGATTGGTGGTTAATAATGGTTAATAGTGGTTAATAGTGGTTAGTAATGGTTAATGATGGTTAATGAAATATCTGATTGATGGTTTGGAACATTTTGGAACATTTTTCCCATCATCTTGGGAATGGAAAAATCATCCCAACTGACTTTCACTCCATCATTTTTCGGGGTAGGCAAGTCTATACGTCAACTCCATGCCAGGGAGGTTTTTCTATTTCTGGATCCATGGAATCCATGGTTTGGTGGGGACCAAAATCTTGGGGAAACCGGTGCACTGAAAGTGGAAACCAAAGAAATTCGAATCCTATGGGGTTTTCATGGGTTTTCCCACATGGTGAAACATGGCTCCACAATGCTCCAAGTGCATCAAAACCTGTGATGGGACTTGGGGATCTCCATGGGTGCCATAGTTTTCCAAGCGCATTCAACCCTACCCATGACAGATCCATGGTGCTGCTATATATGGTGTGCCATGGATCCCATCAATATACCCCCTTTATGTTAGCATATATACCAGCACCATGGATCCTATGGGCTAGAAACCAGGTTCCCTACGGATGTTGTGGGACTTTGGTTTCCAACCGCAGCGCACTGCGCTACGGATCTACTGGAACGCCCTGAAGCTTCTTCGTGGGGAAGCCCGGCGTTGGTTTGTCAGCGAGAGAGTGCAGTGTTCGGATCCCAAAACGGTTTTGGTTCAGTTTCCCTAATCGTTTCCCATGGTTTTTGTGGACACGGTCGAAATTTCTCGTGATTTTTTTGTTCAAATGGGTGAAATCCAAGAAAAATCGTGCCATATCCCGACGTCGTTTCGCCGTTTGGGCAATTTCTTTGGACGTCAAATTTCAGGAGCGCTCCTGAACGACATGTGACAATAGCCGGAAGTAGGAATTGCTGAGTGTCTTTGAGGATGGCTGTCCAACCAAAGATCATTTGAGCCTCAGAATCACCTCTTCATTTTATCCAAGGTTGAACAGCACGATGGATTCGTAGGAGTGACAAGTTCTAGGTAGTTCTAGGTTCTACATCAACCAACCCATTTAATGAAATCAACCAAGTCCCCAACTGGTTGGTGGTTTGGAACATGGCTTTTATGACTTTCCATATCAATTGGGGATGTCATCATCCCAACTGACTTTCACTCCATCATTTTTCGTAGGTGGCTCAACCACCAAGTCCCCAAAAAGACACCAAGCCGCGATCCTTTTTTGGGATCGTTCCGTGGTGGTTTCATCCTCGATTCACCGGAGTCACCGCCAAGGGAAAGGAGTTGCTTTCAGATCGCATCCGTCACCGCAGTACAAAGAGGACGAATGGGTCAAAAAACGGGGGCCTGGACCTGGTTGGACCCAGTTTCATCCGTGGACATCCCAATAAAGGAACGAATATGGTGGAACTATGGTATACCAGTTTCATCCAATTTCCCATGTATGATATTTATGATATTTATATTTTAGGCCCAACGAGGGTAGTAATTATGGAATTGTCTGAAGCTGGTGGGAACAAAAGCAAATCCACTGGCTGCCAATACGCAATTTTCAGACACATATTTTAGACTGCATATGGTCTTCGCAACATGTTTCAACCTCTAATTCTGGACATTTATTTTGTAATCGGGCAAAAATGCTTTAAGACTGGAATTGTTTATTTTGGGTCGGGTACAGGGCAATTTATCTTTGGCGGAGTAATTTGATGGATAATAATGGCAACAAGGGTGAATTTTACCAACAAAGATGGAAGATGTATACCAATATCAATGGGTAAGAAGTGGACGGATCATTGCAAAGGGATGGTCGTGGTCAAAGCTTGGATGGGAAATCGGTTGCCATGGGAATATTCATGAACCAGTTTAAAAAAGGATGGTAGGATTGGCCAAGAAAATTGGGCACGCAGCAAGTCTGTGGCTCTGGGGATCTTCGGAAAGCCGGGGGGGGCAGGTCGGCCAAAAAATGTCAGAAACGATGAACAAACTATGAAAATGATTGAAAACTCTGAGATAGAGGAGGCTTTTGCTAGGGACTTCTTTCGTTCTTTGTTTTGTTTCGTTTCATGATTCGGTCATCGGATGAGACCCAAGGGGTGAATCAACCCATTTCAAGCACTTCTGGATCTAAAAAATGATCTGATTATGTCTTCTGATTAAGATCATTTGCCCAGATTAATACTATCCCCGTTTTTGTTCTCTGTTTTTTTAAGCAGAACCCCAAGCAGAAGCCCTGCGGATCATCAGTACTGATTCCCTTTTGTCCATCACCGTTGGTGGATTCGCAATTTACCACACCATGAATCGATTTCTAGACCAACTTGAACACACAGATCCAGATCCAAAAACAAAACATATTTACAATTATTTACATGTTCGAAACCATCGAAACAAAACTGTTATAGGTGATACCATTTACACCTTTCACAGAGTGAGTGATTTCATTCATCTTGATTGTTACTATTGTTTCTGGGTATTATCATTATCATGATACTTCATATACATACACACTATATATATAGTATATATATAGTATATACTATATACATTTACCCCAAAAAAAATATAATATAAGCATATATAAGACATATATGATCATATATGTATAGAAGCCCAATCATGGATCCATGGGATTTCCATGGATTTCCTCAGGAGGTGTTGGAGGCTACCCAAAGGAGCGGTGCCACGAAGCCCTGGTGGCGCGACAACCAGCGTTTTCCTTGGAACAGGCGACGCCGTTGATGACATGGAGAGCTGGGCCCTGTCGAAAGTTCGCTTAAAGGCCATAAAAAGGTCACCATGGAAATATATGGAAATTAGAATTTCAAAGCAAAAACCTGGTCCAATCTTAGCTCCTGTAATCTGTAAAACGTGTCCATGATGTTTTCAAGGCTGTAAATCTACTATGATCATGTACCACTTTGGCTTTGTCACTCAGTCGTCTCAGGGAATGTCTCAGGGGTGAGTCCGGTATCGAGCGAAAGAATGCCATGTGTTTTTGAGGTAGACTCACTGCCATGAACCATGCCCACTTGGCTTTAGAATTTCTTGGGTATATGATCAGTTAATACCATACCAATATTAATGATATATTAATCTACATTGACCATACCAAGATTTGGGATGATGTAGACTCACAGCCACATTTTTTTGGTTGCTGGGATGGTCACCTCCGAAATTGGATAGGACCGATAACCCACGGGCTTTGACCCCATATCATTACTGCCCATGGTCTTGAGTTGATTTGAACAGCTGTTTTCACAACAGGGACTGCTGTGTGGCTGTGTGCCTAACTCTCGCCGGAAGAGGCGAAGTAGTTACTTCACTTGTCCCATTTGGATAACCACAAAGATCAGAAAGGCTCCAATGGAGCTCCGCTATCGCCGAGAACCAAGAGTATTGATCACAAAAAAAAAAGATACTGAGGGAGGAAACCATAGGAAACCATAGGAAACCATAGGAAACCATAGGAAACCATAGGAGACCATAGGAAATATGCAGGGAATATATGGGAATATCATCCGTGTCACATCCTGTGTTTCCACATGTTTCCACTGTTCCGCATGGGGACACAGGTGACGAATGGTGACCAGCGACACCTGGGGACCTGGTCCAAAAAAGATGGGACTCTCGGAGGATGGATTTTTCAGTTCGTAATGCGGGCGGCCATAGAATTTTGGGTGAGTAAAAATCCCAATGATTTTTATGGGATTTGGGGATTTTATAGATCAATTTTGGTTGACTCTATATATATATATATATAACTATCTCACAGAAATTCTATATATATATATAACCAAGTTCAACCATGTGAATTTCTCTGATTTGCTTGATGTTGCCGTTGGTTAAACGTAGATATCGCCATGGGGCTAAACAGCCATCTGGGAGTGTGGTGTACCTGTGCTGTGATCAATGGATGTGGGTCACCCAACGTGTAGCCTCTATCCCTCTGAGAGTCTATACCGGCAACGAGAATATCTTTTGATAAGCATTTCTAAAAATATGTTACAAATAATGTTCTCTATCAAAAACCAAGTGATTTGCCAACACTACAGGCCTGGCCGACTGGACACCCCTTAAACTAACTCAAGATGGAACCCCAAAAATCAATAAAAATCACCGAGTCCATGAATCAGCAAAACAATATCCTTTGGAAGCAATGTTTCAAGATGTTTCAAGTTCCAGCCGCTGAATTTCAGGAGCTAACCAGAGTGAACCCAAATCGCTTGGTGAATCTTTAACTCAGACGGATTTTGATCAGATTCGATGTTGGCTTCTAGTTGGTGCAGGTTTAGACAAACCTAAGAATCTAAGAATTCAGTTTTCAATTTGTAGTCCCAGTGTTTTTCAATTCCTCCAACCCACCTGCCGTGCATTCGACAAAAATCCTCACCTCGCTGTCTGGCTCAGCTGCTGAATTTTTGAGGGCCGATTTTGCCATGGACTGCCCTCGCTTACCACGGCGGCCCCGGCCGCCTGTGGCTTGCCTTGCGCTTGCTGCTGTAGCGGTGGTGACCTTGGGCGGTAGATGGCCACTTGCAGGGCTGGCAGTGCCGCGGATTCAAGGGAGCGACAAAATCGGAGATCATGGGGATGATTGAAGTGGAATAGTTGTCTCTTTAAGTAGAATACAATATAATGAAATATATAATATAATTATGTATGCAAACAATACAGTACAATACAATAGAATAGAATACAATACGATACATAGATACATAGATACATAGATACATAGATACATACATACATACCTCAAAAATATAAGATATTAAGCTACCATTTTTATACCCCATATACTATGTGGTTGGTTTTTTGAAAGCCGTTTTTTCAAGAATCAAATAGAAGATACTATGTCAAAATAGTACCAAAACCAGGGTCGGAAAGGATTTTGGAGCCCATTTGGAGGACCTTGCTGCGGATCCACTTTTGGTGACTTCTATGTGATCGGTAATTTTTGACCCCCATCTTCTATTTGATTTGATCTTCTATTTGTCCGGTCGGGGTGTTATCCGCAGCCAAAACAACATAGAAAATGTTATTTTCAGGGCTATTTGGTATCCTGGTCTGATATGCCAAGGCTCTGGAAGACTGATATTTAGAGTGTTTTCACATTTTCACGATCGAATAGCACATATCAATTAGACGTAGTAGCTGGTAGTCAAGTAGTAACAGATAGTGGCAGGCAATGGCAGGTAGCGGCAGGTAGTGGCAGGTAGTGCAGTGGCAGGCAGAGACTGGCAGGTAGTGGCAGGTAGAGAGTGGAAGAAATTGGCAGGTAAGGTAGTGGGAGGATGTGGCAGGTAGTTGCAGGTGGGTAGTGGTAGGTAGAGGTAGTGGCAGGTAGGTGGCGGAAGAGAGAGATGGTGGTAGGTAGGTCGCAGCAGGTAGGCGGTAGGAGGACGTTTGTGAGTGACAGAGAGAACAGGTAAGTCTGAGTCGCAAAGAAAGGGGAGGGCACCTGAAATGGACTGGTTTTTTCGACTTTGTTTGCCAAACATCGAGCAAATCCTTGAGTTTTTTTGGTGCCTGGGCCTGGGGAGGTGATGTTGGTCAAAAACCAGGGTTTCAAAAAACCAACCAAATGGAAGATATTCACCGGAATTAACTTTCAATTAATTATTGAATATCTTCTATTTGGTCGGTCAGTTTGTACACCAATATCATCTATTTGATTGGTTTTTTTCAACCTGGTTTGTGACCAACATCACACCCAAAAAAAAGCCAAAAAGAAACGATGTTTCTTGCGTTTTTTTCAGAAGAAGTCCAAAAAAGGACCCGTCGCAGATGGTCCTCCTCCCGGGGAGGACCTCTTTGCGGATTTGATTTTTTCTAATATCTTCTATTCGATCTGGAAATGTGAAAACACTGCAAATACCAGCGTTTCAGTGCCCTGGCATATCAGAAGGTGTGTGAGTTAAAACCTAAAAATTGATAAACATGGACACTAAATAACCCTCGACAAAGGCTCTTAGAGGACCCTTTGCGACAAGGACAATCTTCTATTTGGTTTGTCTTTTTTACACCACCAATTTTGCATCTTCTATGTTGTTTATATATATATAATTATTTTTCTATTTTTGTGGTATGTAATTATGTAATATACATAGATAGATGGATGCATAGATACAAAAAATGCATAGATACATAGATACATCGATAGATGGATACATAGATACATAGATACAAAAAAATGCATAGATACATAGATACATAGATAGATGGATAGATAGATACATACATAGATACATACATAGATAGATAGATAGATAGATACATAGATACATACATACATACATACATACGTACGTACGTACGTACGTACATAGATATATAGATACATAGATACATAGATACATAGATACATACACACATAGATACATACATAGATACATAGATACATAGATAGATAGATAGATACATACATACAGACATACATACACACACATACACACATACACACAGACACACAGACACACAGACACACAGACACACACATACACGCATACACGCATACACGCATACACGCATACACGCATACACGCATACACACATACACACATACACACATACACACATACACACATACATACATACATACATACATACAGACAGACAGACAGACATACATACATACATACATTTTGTATAAAGTCCTCCAAGATTAAATATGGTACCTGTTAGAGTTGTCGCTCAAGGTGGTGTCATTTCGATGGCTGGGGAATCCTGTGGTTGGCAGGCCATATCCACTAGAGGTAACATGGGGGACCCAATGGTTTTACTGAAAGGATCGTTGTTAACGGAAGAACTGTCAACAGGTTAGCAGATATAGCGAACGTATTGGATGTGGATGAATGTATGGCATGTCCACCTACATATCCCCATATTTCACGTGAAATTGAAATGCTGTTTTTTTGTTTTCAGCCATTCCACCCCTTCCAAGCCGACTTTATAGAATTCCTTGAAAGGAGAACTTACAGCTTAAACATTGAATATATGAAGATTATGAAGGAAGAACCCCCTGGTTTCGATGGAAAAATCCGTGAATCGGGCAGCCTTTGGGCTATTTGAGGTGCGTGATCCACGAGCCGAAGAGTCTGCGAGTCAAAAGGTCGCAGCAACTGCCGGTGGCACCTGTGGCGAGGCCCCGGGCGCCGTCCATTTTTTCTGTCAAATATGACGTAAAGAATAAGAATACACAAACACAACTATCATATATATATTTATATATAATAAAGGTGTAAATATATATATATATAGATACACATTATATATACATGATATAGTTGTAAATACACATGAGATATATATATATATATGTTAGGCTATCTCTCCCCGGAAAGCCTAAGAAGTTCATTTCGGGGCTTCATCAGACGGCCTTGACGTCCAACAGCACAACTCAACAGCTCCCCGAACTTGGCCCCAAAAGCCCCAAAAGTTGCCAGTTTGCTTTGATGATTATAATATAATATATATATAAGTGGTTTCAAACATTACTTTTATTTTCCATCATATATGGAAACTGTGGGGCTGAGCAGGTCAGCAAAGGATCATTACTGGTTGGTGGTTTGGAACATTTTTTAATTTTTCCATATATTGGGAATGTCATCATCCCAACTGACGAACTCCATCATTTTTTCAGAGGGGTAGGTATACCACCAACCAGTATATATATATACTATAATAGGTTGAACTATTTGAATATTTGTATCTATTTGTTCTGTTTTAGTGAGCAGGGATTGAGCCGGGTTAGTCCATGGGGTGGAGTCTGGCATTTTGCCATGAGACATGGGTAAGTCAAGACACCGTTCCCCCGAGTGGAGTCATTTTGATACAAAGTCATGTTATGTCATGTTGATGTATTCTGATGAGATTCGAAAAATCAACATGTTCTCAGTCATCTTCATGAAATCCAATGAAGTCAATTTTTTCCTGGTGAAAATGTTGATGCAAATAGTGGGAAGGCCCTGGTGGCGGGGCAGCAGCGCTTCGAAAGCGCCAGACAGCAATGGCTGGGTGACTGCAGCTTGGAAATTGTGAAGCCGCCTGAAGGGTGACATGTTGAGCCATCAATATGGAGGTTTCCATCAATCAGGGGTACCCCGGAAATCATCCAAGTCATTAGACCATTTCAGTTTTTTTCAGCCCATGGTACTGGGTATCCACTCCATTTTTTGAAACACCAATGGCCATTGTGACGACTGGGCATCATTTTTACGTTGGATGTTGCATGGATGTGACCCATTCAAATGATAACCTCTGGTATTTTATCATAGCTATGGCAGCTATGGCAGGGACCTGGGATACTGATGATACTGTGGAAAATCACGGACATATTACATGATAGTACATGATTTGGGCATATCATTCAACTCTTCATTGGGCCATTTCCCATAGCTATGTTAACTTACCGGAGGGTAACCTAAGTGTTGATGAGGTATTAATTTGGCTGGTATTACCCAATAATACCTGTCCTATTGGGTGGGGATTATGACATAACCAATACACAACCCATACTTAGCTAACAGGAATCTTTACTAACCAACCAGTAGAACGGGGCAAACACCTTGGCAATTCTTAAGTTATACCCAACATCAGCTTGGTTGGTTTTGAAAGTTGGGAGTTAGCTGCTTGATTGGTTGGATTATTGATCTCGGATGGAGGCTATTGAGATCTATTGAGGGATTTATTAGGATGGTGATAAAATTTCAGCAACGAAGAAATGTTGGAATTTGATGTTGCCAGAAGAAATGGAGGGACTTGACCTACGAAGAAATGGAGCAACTCACCATGTGCTGTTGCATTTTGTGAAACATCTCCATGTTTCTTGGTCGAGCATCCACAATAACGAGAAAGAATTCCATTGGGCGAAATCAATGTTGACCCCGCTGATCACCCATACATACCCTGCAAAAGATTAGTACTTAGTTAGCAGTATGGCTAGTTTATACCCCGTTCATAGCTAAAATAGTAACCCCCACAACAAAAGAAATGCCAGATCCAAATCCAAAACAGTGGTAAACGGTTCACGTTGTTTGCATCTTTTCTTGGGTTGTTGGCTCTCTAAACACAAGGTGTGTACAGGGCTAACCTTAGATACTGGACAGAAAAAACATGTTTAGATATGTTTAGCTAGTTAGCTGAATACCCCCCCCCCATTTATAGCAAACAAATAGGTCTTACAGCCAAAACTATCCATCCCGCTGGTTTTCTCAGTCACTTATGGCAGCCATGAACTCCCATGAATCCCCCTAAGAATTGTGGATGTGGCACATCACGTGATTGCGCAGGCAGCCGTTTCGAAACAGGATATTGACACATATGGACTATATCAAGCAGGAAGATCTCAGTGTTTAGAGAATAGAATGCAGGCCACATGATGGTGGGTTTTTTTGCACATGGCTGTAAAATCCAGAGTCCTCCTAACATCAGCTACAAACGATTGCCAGGTTGGATTTACTCGAGGGTAAACCATTGAAACCTTTGACAGCGGTGCTGTCATGAGGACAGCCAGAGAATGAGAAAAAACTGTATGGTAGAAGGATTGCCTTTTTGGTAACTAGATAGGTCTTCAGGAAGAAAATCGAACAAAGCGGTGCTACAAAAAACTCGTCCAAATATTTTCTCCAAATTCTCCACTTCATGAGCTTAGTCCCTGACGGAACTTGAGCGCATTGGGATACACCACCACGAAAAAGCATCCCGTGCTGTATCATCATTTTGTCCCATTCAAACTGCTATAGAATTAATATAAAAACTAATAGAATTAATTCATATAATTAATAATCAATGATATAATATGAATAGATTAGTAAAACATGAACATATTAATACACTATGCTTCTTGATGTTTCTTGTCTCCGTTCACTTCCCCAAAGCTGGTCAAAACCATCCCATCAGAAGTCGCATGTCCTTCCCAGCTGTTGGATGATATGTGTTACCACACGTCTCCCATCCTTGTGATTCCAATCCCCATGTTTCTTACAACCAAAGATCTCTTCATTTTTGAGGGGCTGATGTACCGTGGTACTTCTGGTGTCTTTCTGGGGAAATTAGAACGACCTCACAAGACCCATCAAGACCCTCACCACACATGATGATAACAAGATGATAAGAGGTTTGTAAAAAAAACACACACAACTGCCAGTTGTGACCCTTTTTTAATTTCTATGATATAACACCCAGTTTTTGCACTTTTCCCCAAACACCGTAAGCTTGGGGTCTTCAGCCAGAGTAAAGGTCCCGGAGCAGGTCGGAGCCGCCAAAATCCGGATTCCCAAAGTTCCCAGGTTCCCAGGAAGAGGTTCCCAAGCAAGGTTCCCAAGCAAGGTTCCCAAGCAAGGTTCCCAAGCAAGGTCCCCAAGCAAGGTCCCCCAGCAAGGGGCGCAAAGGTTCCCAGGAAGAGGTTCCCAGGAAGAGGTTCCCAGGAAGAGGTTCCCAAGCAAGGTCCCCCAGCAAGGTTCGCAAAGGTTCCCAGGAAGAGGTTCCCAGGAAAAAGTTCCCAGGAAGAGGTTCCCAGGAAGAGGTTCCCAAGCAAGGTCCCCCAGCAAGGTTCGCAAAGGTTCCCAGGAAGAGGTTCCCAGGAAGAGGTTCCCAGGAAGAGGTTCCCAAGCAAGGTCCCCCAGCAAGGTTCGCAAAGGTTCCCAGGAAGAGGTTCCCAGGAAGAGGTTTCCCAAGGGTTCCCAAGAAGGTTCCCAAGCAAGGTTCCCAAGGTCCCCAAGCAAGGTCCCCCAGCAAGGTCCCAAGCAGTTCCGAAGCAAGGTTCCCAAGCGGTTTCCAAGCAAGGTTCCCAAAGGTTCCCAGGAAGAGGTTCCCAAGGAAGCAAGGTTCCAAGTTCCCAAGGGTTCCCAAGAGGTTCCCAAGCAAGGTCCCCCAGCAAGGTTCGCAAAGGTTCCCAGGAAGAGGTTCCCAGGAAAAAGTTCCCAGGAAGAGGTTCCCAGGAAGAGGTTCCCAAGCAAGGTCCCCCAGCAAGGTTCGCAAAGGTTCCCAGGAAGAGGTTCCCAGGAAGAGGTTCCCAGGAAGAGGTTCCCAAGCAAGGTCCCCCAGCAAGGTTCGCAAAGGTTCCCAGGAAGAGGTTCCCAGGAAGAGGTTCCCAGGAAGAGGTTCCCAAGCAAGGTCCCCCAGCAAGGTTCGCAAAGGTTCCCAGAAAGAGGTTCCCAGGAAGAGGTTCCCAGGAAGAGGTTCCCAAGCAAGGTTCCCAAGCAAGGTTGCCAGGAAGAGGTTCCCAAGCAAGGTTCCCAAGCAAGGTCCCCAAGCAAGGTCCCCCAGCAAGGTTCCCAAGCAAGGTTCCGAAGCAAGGTTCCCAAGCGGTTTCCAAGCAAGGTTCCCAAAGGTTCCCAGAAGAGGTTCCCAAAGATTCCCAAAGGATCCCAAGAGCGGGTTCCCAAGCAAGGTTTCCAAGCAATTCCGAAGCAAGGTTTCCAGGCAAGTTTCCCGTTCCCAGAGGTTCCCAAGCAAGGTTCCCAAACTTTCCCAGCAGAAGGTTCCCAAGGTTCTCACAGAGAGGTTCCCAAGCAACAGGTTCCCAAAGATTCCAAAGGTTCCCAAGAACAGGTTCGCAAGAGCAGGTTCCCAAGAGCAGGTTCCCAAGCAAGCTTCCCAAGCAAGCTTCCCAAGCAAGCTTCCCAAGCAAGCTTCCCAAGCAAGCTTCCCAAAGGTTTCCAAGCAAAGTTCCCAATCAAGGTTTCCAAGCAAGGTTCCCAAGCAAGGTTCTCAAGCAAGGTTCCCAAAGGTTCCCAAACCAGGTTCCCAAGCAAGGTTCGCAAAGGTTCCCAGGAAAGATTCCCAAGCAAGGTTCCCAAAGGTTCCGAAGAAAAAGGTTCCCAAAGATTCCCGAAGGTTCCCAAGAGCAGGTTCCCAAGGTTCCCAAGCAAGGTTCCCAAACGTTCCCGGGAACACGTTTCCAAAGATTCCCAAAGGTTCCCAGGAACAGGTTCCCAAGAACAGGTTGCCAAACAAGGGTTCCAAGAACAGGTTTCCAAGCAAGCTTGCCAAAGAACAAGTTCGCAAGCAAGGTCCCCAAGCAAGGTTTCCAACAACAGGTTTCCAGGAACAGGTTACCAATAACAGGTTCCCAAGCGAGGTTACCACGCAAAGGTTCCCAGCAATGATCCCAGGAACAGATTTGCAAGCAAGGTGTCCAGGCACAGGTGTCCAAGCAATTTTTTGTTGTTCCCGACTGATGGTCAATCAAAGATTTATCTCGGTTTATCTCAAACAGCTCTCAAACATCATTCCGACAAACATTTGTTGACTTTTTCATGTCGTTGTTGCTGTTGGGGATATTCTTTAGGTTTTTCTGATTTTCTAACAGTTCTTCATTATGTTGAACTAATCTCAGGTTCTTAAAGAGATCCAAGATCTTTTACCCATATTTTCACCCCCTTGGAAGCCACAAAAACATGGCATTCATGGCATCCATGGCATCGACGTCCCAGGCACCTCCCAGCGTCCCATTCTGCTGGGCTCCCTGGCGGAGCAGACAGAACTCTTCGCGCTGAACGCCTTCGATCAGGTGGCCGGCCAGCGGCACGGTCGCAGACGGCGGAGAAGTGGAGGGGGTTGGCTGGCAATGTTTCTTGGGAGCCAAAAAAAATTGGATAAACTATAGATCTACTATGAATATACTACCAGATAGTGGCCGGAAAAGGATGAAAAGGGACCGGTAAGTTTGGAAAAGATGTGACAACTAGAACGAAGATGACCTTTTTTGGGATGGTGATATGTTGAAACTTTGCCAGGAAGAAATCAACGAATGAAAGGCGCAATGAAGGATGGAATGAAGGAAGGAAGGAAGTAAAGAAGGAATGCAAGGAATGCAAGGAATGGCTGAAAGAATCAATGAATGAAAGAATGACTGAATAAAAGAATGAATAAAAGAATGAATGAAAGAATGACTGAATGAAAGCATGCAAGAATACTTTAGATCTTCCCATGTCACTACGGTTCCATCTGCCAAAGCTGCAGCAAAACAAATGCATGCAGCATAATTATTTTGAACATTCCTGAGCTGATCTTGGACTCTGGAGCTGTTACCTGTTGACCAAATGCGCGTGCCGCGCAAAATGCCATTCGACACCTGCCGAAACATCGCCAGATATTGCGCCTGCCAGATAATATGACATTCTCATAATGTATTGCGCTTGGCACACATTGCTGAACATCGAAATCCCCCTGGCGCGTTGCATCGGCCACGACCAAAAGAAATCATCTGAGAGAGACATCACTTCAGCCAGTCAAAAAGCGTCGGAAGTTTTGCACATTTTGCACCTGCGCCTGTGGCGCAACCTGACATTCTACAGCTGAAATGCCGCCAAATGCAACATTGTACCCGCCAGAAATCACATTCTTTGAACGTTGCCATCATTTACGCGGCAATTCCAATGTAAATGTGCAAAAACACACAGCACCAGCAACGTGGAGGGAACACGGGTCCACAGTCCTTGACCCCCAGATATAAACGAAAACCATTCGGCATTAACCGAAGGAGGGCTATTTGTTTGGTGTTATTTGTGTTTTTTTTTGTTTTCCAGCCTGATTTTGTGGCTTTTGTGTGGCTTTTGTGGGTGTGTGGCTTTTGTGGCGTTACCATACTTTACCTATCTATCTATCTATCTATCTATCTATCTATCTATCATCTATCTATCTACCTATCTAATCTAACCTAATCTAATCCAATCTAATCTAACCTAATCTTACCTTATCTAATCTGATCTTATATATCTAATCTATTTAATTTATCTAAACTATCTATCTAATCTATCTAATCTATCTAATCTATCTAATCTATCTAATCTATCTATCTAATCTATCTAATCTACCTAATCTATCTAATCTATCTAATCTATTTATCTATCCATCCATCCATCCATCTATCTATCTATCTATCTATCTAATCTATCTTATCTACCTAATCTATCTAATCTATCTAATCTATCTATCTATCTTTATATACACACCTTGTATCCCTACATGTACCTTAATCCAACCCTCAACAGACTTTAAATAGACCCTAAACCTACCCTAAATAAACCCCAAACCAACCCTAAATGAACCTACACCAACCCTAAATAAGCCCTTAAATAAACCGTGAACCAACCCTAAAGAAAACCTAAACCAACCCGACATAACCAACCCTAAATAAACCCTAAACCAACCCTAAACTAAATAAACCCTAAACCAACCCTAAATAACCCTGAATAAACCCTAAACCAACACTAAATAAACCTTAAATAAACTCTAAACCAACCCTAAATAAACCCTAAACCAACCCTGAAAAAACCCTAAACCAACCCTGAATAAACCCTAAACCAACTTTAAACAAACCCTACACCAACCCTAAATAAACCCTAAACCAAACCTAAATAAACGCTAAACCAACCCTAAATAACCCTGAATAAACCCTAAACCAACCCTAAATAACCCTCAATAAACCCTAAACCAACCCTAAATAACCCTCAATAAACCCTAAACCAACCCCAAATAACCCTGAATAAACCCTAAACCAACACTAAATAAACCTTAAATACACCCTAAATAAACCCTAAACCAACTTTAAATAAACCCTAAACCTACCCTAAATAAACCCCAAGCCAACCCTAAATGAACCTACACCAACCCTAAATAAGCCCTAAACCAAACCTAAATGACCCTAAACCAACCATAAACCAACCCAAAATAAACCCTAAACCAACCCTAAATAAACCCTAAACCAACTTTAAATAAACCCTAAACCTACCCTAAATAAACCCTAAACCAACCCTAAATGAACCTACACCAACCCTAAATAAACCCTAAACCAACCCTAAATAAACCCTAAACCAACCAACACGATGATAGCAACCAATGCCACTATTTAGACCCAACACAGTTGTGCTTCAACCTATATTCTACATGTTCACCAGGTGTATGTTATGCATGGAAAAATCGATTGAAACTATGGAAAGATCCATTGAACCCATGGCAAATTTTAGCTCCAAAATTTAGCAAAGTACAGGTTTTTGCTCCAACATGTAGCTAATAGCAAGGAAAAGTGCCCCAGACTGAAAAACAAAAAAAACACACAAACAAAAAATTCTGCACCCCTAACCAAATCTTGTATATAGGCAAATCGAAATCATCGTTGAGAGATGGCTCCCCGAATGTTATGATTTGCCCAAATGGGTTGCCTCCAGATCGTGCTGGTAACGCAGGCGGTCGCCGGGCAACCGCGACCCAAGTGAGCGTCCTGTTCAGTGCATTCTTAATTTTGGTTGGTGACTGTGGCGAAATTTCCAACACGAACATAATTTTCATGAACATGAAAACTTGGAAATTTGGATCATTTTGTCCCCAAGTCCACGTGTTGATGCAAGTCCTACTTTTTGAATGGTCCACTGCCGTCATGGCCGATTCGGCGATACGGCGCCTTTTCTGAGGTCCTGTCAAGCAGAACGAAAAGCTTTGCAAGATGCCATCCGGAAAGTCGATTGGACGCCATGGGACTGGGATCGTGATTTCTTTGGTAAACTAATGGGATTTTATGGTGGTTTAATGGGATTTAATAGGATTTACCCTCTGGTAAAGATACAAAAAACTATGGAAGGATCCACCCATTTTGTAGCTGGGAAAATCAACTATTTCGACTGGGCCATTTTCAATTGCTATACAAATCTGGTTGGTGGTTTGGAACATGAATTTTATGACTTTCCATATTGGGAATGTCATCATCCCAACTGACTTTCATATTTTTCAGAGGGGTGGCTCAACCACCAACCAGTGTATGTACGTGTATAATATGGTGAATAACGTATATAGTCATGGATTTAGGTTATGTTAGGTTTTCTATTCCCTGACACTTCCAGGGAAACACGGATCTGAAATGATCTGAGCATTTTCATAGCATCAATCATCCATTTTTCAGGGCGCCCAATTCTGAACCATACGCAGTTGAGATGAAACCGGTCCAGATTGGTGTGGGACCCTGCAAGTTTCCCATTTATGAATCAAATTGTTCATGTTTTCAATAATGGAATTGCAGGATATGTGATTAGCACATATTAGCATTATTGTGGATTATTGTGGAATATTGTTTATACAAGTATTTATCCGTATACCTTACTAGGATATCCAGATTTTCCGCGACATGTATGGTTTTTCCAGGTGTTCCATCATTGTTTTAAAACAAATTATGGGATAAGATTATCCACGGTCGGCGTCCACCTACATCTTCCAAGTGGATTTGTCTTATACTTGGAGAACTTGTCACACACATGTTCCATTTGTCCCACGAAAATGGTATATGTCATTCATTTGCCCTTTGGTAATCAAACATGGCAAATGGAAAATCGGGGATTGCCCAGCCAGCCATGTCTGATTACCAAAGGGTAATCATATATCATATACCATATAGAATCATATCATGGTATATAATATATATATATATATCATGGTGATATGATTATACCATATGATACTCCCTATCAATCATCATGAATCCCACTGTTTGTTGCATCCATATTTTTGTATAGCATGTATTTGTTTCCCTTCACCATCAATCCTAGAGGATACCTTGAAATATCACCAGCTGATATCACCATTGCCCCAAGGACGTGCTGTACATCTTTCAGCTGCAGCGTGTCATCGCCGAACGCCAAGCACTTGAGGAGCTGAATCGCAAACTCGTGCCGCGGTGCTTCGAACGATGGTGTTGGTGGTTTTGTCCCGGAATTTTCATGGGAAATTTCACCTGCAAATTGGGATCCTTTTCAGAAGTATGATGAAATGTGATGAAATATGCAAAAATTAGCTTTCGACTCTGAAATAGTCAAAATTTATCAAAATTTAGTGGAAACGAATCTTGAAAAAAACCTATTTGGCAGAGTCTATGTTAATTTGCTGGAGGGTGTAATAGGTTTAATATGCAGAACCAAGAAAATTGAATGTTTTCAATGCAGCTTGAAACACAAGTTTTGTGTATTCAATTATATAGGCATACACATTGGACATAAGTGGAATATGTTGAATAGTGCTGGGCATTTTTTATTTCGTCACCGCGACTTCACAGGGACCTCACTGTAAATCATAGCTGGTAAGTAAAGGTAATCATCCCAAGCATATTGCCATGGGTTGATGAGTTAATGGTTTGGCCATATGATATCCTAAACTACAATAAACTACATGTGTTTGTTGATGGGAAATGTACCCTCTGGTAATGACTAACAGTTTGCTATTGAAAATGGCCCAGTCGAAATAGTGGATTTTCCCAGCTACAAAATGGTGGATCTTTCCATAGTTATGTAAACGTTTACCAGAGGGTAAGGGATATAACCATGACAGTCGTGGGAGGGACTCCATGAGATGTTTCGCATGGGATGCCATCAGCTACTCCCATCCAAGTGAGATGTAGAGAGTTGCCAAATTCGGGTGCATATCTCATATGATATATGAATATGTATTAACATGTATTAACATACTATAAATATATAGAATTATATATATATACATAGATTATATGATTATTTGAGATATATATTTTCATGTGTATCTATTTATTATACGCATGGCTTGAAATCAAACATCCGCCTGGTGTCCGCCCGGAGCATGTCGGCATTTATCGAGGTCAAGAAGATGACCCAGCGCGGTGCCGCGACAACCGCTGTGGTTCAACGGGAAACTCTGGGGTTGAGCAGGTCAGCAAAGGATCATTACAATAATGGTGGTTAATAATGGTTAATGAGATAATAGTGGTTAATAATGGTTAATAGTGGTTAATAATGGTTAATGCTGGTTAATGAGATATCTGGTTGGTGGTTTGGAACATGTTTTTTTCCCATTCAGTTGAGAATAATAATCCCATTTGACGAACTCCATCATTTTTCAGAAGGGGTAGGTTGAAACCACCAACCAGATCAGAAAAAAGGTGGAGCACCTCAGACTAAGCAGATCAAGAATGAATCCCAATGCGAGCAGAATCGCGATGAAAAAACTACAAGTTCGTTCAACAGATGTGTGTGAACAATACGCGTCCGAAAGAAGCAATGTCCGTGTCCCAGTTTTCCAGTGCCTATTGAATTTGTGGCACCATTTCCCCAATGACTACTGTGACCAAAACCTATGAACTCCATCCAGGTGACCTGCCATCGTCCTCTTTTTATCCAAAGCCAATTGAGGTCTATCAATTTTCTCACTTAAGAAACATACAAAAAATCTTGGAAAAAACGGTGGAAATGATGGAAAAAACAGTTGGTTTTTGATGGTTTTTGTACATCTTCGATGACCAAAATCCACGAGGGATCCACGGTATTTTTGTTGGTCATCTCCATGAAGAATCACCCCGAATCATCTTATTCCCATGACATAGGCAGCCAGGCGTATGATTGGTGGTGAACTATCCCCAATACACATATAAATATATATATACACCTATGAAACATCATAGTACCCGGTAATGAAACGCATACCATACAGTACCACCATAGTACCGCCCATATTTACAGACGATGTTCCCACTATCACTAAACCTCCATATGCTAGTGGCTTTTGTCCATATGTTTCCATGTGTTTTCCCCTAGATTTTCCCATGGTTTCGGGGATTTGTCGTGTTTGAGGTGGACCTTTGAGGATCCAAGAGAAGATCGATCTGCTGCAGCAGGAAGTGGAGGTCGACATTTCGGGAGCTGTTGGATGCTGGGAACAGTTGGATGGATGATGGGAAGCCCAATTTTTTTGCGCTAAGTTAACTTGGGGTATCCCAAGTTCTCTGGAGAGTTTGCATGAAACAATCGGAAGTTTTCCCTCTTGAAAAAGATGATGACTGGGGGTAGCCGGGTAGCCCTATTTGATGTGCCAAATTATGCTATGATATGATGTGTAATGATTTGGCCATATGTCCCCAATTATGGTATTACCACATGACTCATATGACTCTATAGATGTGGCAAAAATGATGTGGCTTTTGATGTCCAAATATCTAAGACCCGGCTGTGACCAGGTCACTTCTCAAACTGGCTTGAAACGTTGAAAGCATCAGCCGAAACCATGGGTGCTCTTTCTGTTTGGATTCTACAACTTCTACAATATCAATCAATATCATCCATGATAATTCCATGGTAATTCCCAATTATGTCGAATTATGTTGATTTTCTCATGAAAAAACTATAGCTTTGGCATGCTTTTCCAGCCAGTCATGCTTGTTTTCAGGATGCTGGGGGAAGCTATGGTCACCTCAATGGTCGGTCAATATTGGCTGGTGACTATATTTGTCAACAGGGTGAAGACCACAAACCGGAATATGCTACACATCCCCTATCGTGGCCAATACTTATAGATTTTGATGTTTTAGACATCTCCTAGCGATCTACTTCTAAGTGTGGCTGCCACTTGAAGCATTTGGTTTGGACTAGATCCCACTGTCGAAGCACATGTGGGGCTTCTGGGGAACCTTTCCCAATCTGCACGTGGTCAGTTTCAAGACAACGGACAGAATGGATTAATAAGGGTGCCCCCCCGAAAAGTCAACCATGAAAGCCTTGTGGAGGGCTCCCTAAGCCCTATCAATGATATCAATCCCTATTTTTTTTGCACCGTATCATTTGGGTGACCTTTGGATGGATACTGTTGGATTTCCATAACAAAAGACTATGATTACGCCCAAAGTTTGAAGCGGAAGATCCCCCAATCTGAGCCATCCGGAAAAATACAGGGCATGGACCCCATTCCACTGGGTTTTTGTTTTTGTTACTTCTCTTCAAATCTTTCCACGTGAGTAAAGTTTAACATCATAAACTTTACTTGGATGCGTTATGGGATTGAAGTTCAGATGAATTACATTTTACCCTCTGGTAAACTAACATAACTATGGAAAATGGCCATTTTTAGTGGGAAAATCCACTATAAATGGTGATTTTCCATAGCTATGTTAGTTTACCAGAGGGTACATTTCAATCCCGTTTTTGAATGAGCCATCCCGTTACAGCTTCACAAACGCCAGATCTTTTTGTGACAAACGCCATCGGATCATCCCATTTCTGATCCCAGAAATGACTCTCATGTTGCGGTTGAAACCACTACTGTGAGGTAAAAAAAATAATCAACTGATGGGTCCAGTCATGATGGTAAAATATGGTAAAGATATGGTAAAGGATTTTTCTGATAACTTGCGTCATGTTGGATATGTTGTTATATCCAAGTATTGGGCTAAAGAATAACTTGCACTTAAGCCTTCAATTGGAGGTAAAAACATAAAAAAAAAACAGGGCTTCTATAGGGTTGATTTGAAAACGACCCAATTTTCAGCTCCGCAGACACTGTTGTAACGTTGGCAAAAGATGCACTGGTGAATCGAGATGCACCAAGTTACGGACCAAGTTGAATTCCCATACTTTCCAGGAATTGTTTTCTCAGTCGTTTCCATAGAAACAGTGGATGTCCCATAGTATGGAAAATATGGAAATTATATGGAAACTATGGGGAACATATCGACATTATATGGAAACTATGGGGAAAATATGGACATTATATGGAAACTATGGATATAGTTTCTCTATAACTTAGATGATGTTCCATAGTTTCACCCAGTTTTGTAGGTTTTTATATACCATTTAAATGGAGCATATGGGATATAGTTTCTCAGTTTCCATAGAAACAGTGGCTGCCAGGCCTATAAATCCTCGGTGCAGCGGCTGCTGCCGTCCTGGGCCAGCGACATGGGCGACCCCGCGCAGCAGAGCGCGGAACGACATCTGGGGGAGCTGCAGTTCACCATCGAGGTGCAGAACTCGGGGAGTAATAGCGAACTTGAAAATGGCCAGAAATACCCTCTGGTAATTTAACATAGCTATTGAAAATGACCATTTATAGTGGATTTTCTCATTGAAAATGGTGATTTTCCATTGTTATGTTAGTTTGCCAGAAATAGTTGATTTATGTTGATTTACCTCGTAAAAAATAGTGATTTTCCATAGTTGTTGATGGAAAATGGATGGAGAAATGGTGATTCAACCATGAAATTCATGTGGATAAAAATGATGATTGATGTAGATGGAAATGGTGATTTAAGATGAGTTTACCATGGATTTCGCTTTTTGGTGGGATGAACATCGATCCCAGCTATTTTGCTGTGAGCAGAAGTGGATTCCCTCAGGTTTTGACACAGCCACAGCCAGCAGCCCATGAATTTTGCTGGTTTTTTGACCATAGTTGAGATTCATGCATGTTCTCACACCTAAACACGGATATGTATAGTGATCGATAGCCACATGTGTTTGTGTAATACCCTCTGGTAATTTAACATAGCAATTGAAAATGGCTCATTAACAGTTGATTTACCTATTCCAAATGGTGATTTTCCATAGTTATGTTAGTTTACCAGAGGGTGACTATAACGTTCTATAACCAGCTCAACGTTAAAAATTGGTTGCAGGGCTCCCCCCAGATTTGGGGTATTTGCGACGAATTCGCGTCAAAAGGCAAAATTGGGATGGTGAAAACCTGGTGGTCAAACGAACATAGACTACCTATGACTAGCTCAAAATTACGAGAGATGGTTTGGGGTTCTCAGATGCTGAGGTACCCTCTGGTAATTTAACATAGCTATTGAAAATCACCATTTTTAATGGGACAATCCACTATTAATGGTCATTTTCCATAGCTACGTTAAATTACCAGAGGGTACTGTTCGTCTCGCAATGGGATCATTTAGTCGTCCCCACTTTGGACGACTTAGTGGATGAGTTGGAGATTTCATCATCGTTCAACAGGAGGTCAACATGGGTAGGTTGGGAGGTTCAAAAAAAAGCATCAGCTATAAATCAGACCGGTGAATGGATAAGCACTCTATGGGGGATGTTCCAACCATAGGAGATCTTAGGATATTGAGTGACCATGAAGTGGGGACATAGTTTTTTTTCTGTGCTGGGGAAACCAGATGGCCGATGGATGGAACCTGGTGGCTTAGAATGCAGAGATATGTTCAGCAACAATCCCTAAATGCGGATAGATTCGGGTGCAAAAAAACATACCCGGCCTGGTCATGACATTCACAGTTTGCCATGGAAAATCCACCCAGTTTTAAGTTCGGTAAACAATTTATTTCTATGGGCCATTTTCCATGGCTATGTTAAATAATCACAGGGTATATCCCAACTCATCGTTATGGAACCAACCGTGCTGTAGCCTATTCCGAAATGATTTGCAGATATATTCGAAGGAAGTGAAGCAGCAACCAGCAGATCAGCAACAGCCCAAAATGGGAAGCCAGTGCCATACTCCAGTACGGGTCATTGTGCCCTTGGGACACAAGGCTTTTACTACTTTTGACTGGGTTGTGCCGGACATAGCATCCACCCGGACATAGCAGGGGCAAAATACCAAGTAACAGAAGATTGTAAGGATACCAGCTTGATTTATTCAAATTCGAATGCAGTAAAACTATCTTCCATAAGTCTTTGCACTCTGCCACTCGGCCTTTTGTGGATAGTCAGGCTATGTCAGGCTATGTCAGAAATTTGCCGTTCACATTGCCATCCCAGGAGAGCGCTGAAGGTCAAGCCCTGCAAAAGCAGTGGGAAGACCAGAGATTACAGGAGCCTCCGATAGCGATCGCTGGGTTGGGACCTGGTTGGGACCTCTGGGACCGGCATCTGGCGAGATTGGAGCGTTTGAGATCGGAGATTCTTCACCCCCTAAAAATCTAAAAGATATAGGACTGAAATATGTTGACGATTTTCGTAGGACTTATGCACTTGAAGTTTTCTTTCGAGGTTGAGTTGACAAACCGAAAAATGAAAACCACCTGTTTCTTCCTGGTGTGGGTCAAGTTTTTCACAAGCCAAAGGATTTAAAAGTTAGGAACCATGCTTTGCAACTGAAACATCACCACCTACTGCAACAGATTGAGATCTTCCTAACCTACTGACCTTTTCCCTTGATTTGCTGACCACGATCGATCAGCAAATCACAGTCACCCAGCTGAATGGGATCATCCGACATATCATAACTTGTCAACCCTGCTTCCGGCGTTGCCGTCCCGCAGATCTCTGGGCCCTGGGCGACAACTGACTGGCTGCTAACCAATTGCCAGCTGTTGAATCCCGATAATCATGGCTTAAATCTTCCATGGCTTGTTTGTTAGTCAAATCTGCGTCCTTTACTGCTTAAATCTTAAGATTTGCATGGTCAAATCGCATGTTTCAATGGTTAAAGCATGTTAAATCCCCATTTTCTGCTGGTTATACGATTCCAAAGTTTTGATTGGCAAAAACACAAAATTCTGATGAACTTCGAACGCAATTTCGGTTCAATCCACAAATGTCATGCCATAAATTCTTCAGTCCTAATCCTCACGGTTAAATCATGTTAAATCCATGTAAATCCGACTTTTTTGTCATGATTCTCAGAAATCTGTCATTTGTTGGGTCAAATCCCATCAAATCCCCATCAAACTCAGCATGTTTCATGTTTAAACCATCGTTCTTTTCCCATTTTCTCCATGTTTGGTCATCCCCGGTGGTTTCACCGGTGCTTCGTTTCGGCTGTTCCTCGGCTGGGTCAAACGAGGACCTCATGAGCCGCCGTGCCTATGGGGTCTCGGTCTCCTTGGATCCGGCTCTGCGGGTGCTGATTCGCCCTGAGGGCATCGGAAATCTGCAGGTCTTCTCCGAAGGAGACGGCGCGAGACCGGAGACGACCACCGTGGCGGTGAGTGGTTTTAATAGTGGTTAAAATCACCCCGATCTTATGGTTTTTTCGAATGGTTAATGGTGGTGAATCACCCATTTATCTGATGGTTTATGGTAATGGTCAATCTTATGCGAATAATAGTGGTTAATGGTGGTTAATAGTGGTTGATAATGGTTAATAATGGTTAATGAGATATCAGGTTGGTGGTTTGGAACATGGCTTTTATATTTTCCCCAATAGTTGGGATGATGATCCAATCTGACTTTCATATTTTTCAGAGGGGTGGCTCAACCACCAACTAGATAGGGGAACCCCTAAATTCCTGAATCATCCATTTCTAGATGGGATTTTCCATGAAATAAACCATCCAGCTATAGGGGTACTGTACACCCATGACTTAGGAACCCACCATATGATGGGATATAGGGGGTTGAACATGCCGTAACATGGGATTCTGAGTTTTACTTCAAGTTGTGTATGACCAGATGGCTAGAGATGGGGAACCATGGAGGAATGAGATGTACCAATAACAGTGATTTAGCGTAATTGCTCAAGAAAATATGGGATTATCATGGGATTCACCGTCGACAGACAGAGGTTTTCCACAAGCAGATCACAAGGTGGACCTCTGAAGCTTCGGTTTTTTTAGCGTCCCAAAAATGGTGCCAGCTGGTGGCCTTGATGTTCTTCTTGTTCAGGATTTGATGTGTAGATTTGCCGAAGAGAAATTAATGATGAAGAGGAATGATGATGAAGATGAAAATGATGATGATGATGATGATGGTGATGGTGATGATGATGATGATGATGATGATGTAGATGATGTAGATGATGTAGATGATGTAGATGATGTAGATGATGTAGATGATGTAGTAGTAGCAGTAGCTGTAGCAGGAGTAGCAGTAGTAGCAGCAGCAGCAGTAGTAGTAGTAGTAGCACTAGTAGTACTAGTAGTCATAGCAGTAGTCATAGTAGTGGTTCTTGTTGTTGATGTTGTCGCTTGTTGATGAGATTTCGGCAGCCGTGCTATACATTTCTATACATGTCAAACAGGAACAACACACGTAAAGCACCACATGCAAAATTTAATAGTTTTGTTTGTGTGTGTGTGTTGGTCATTGTTTTTAGTTTTAGATGCAACTTTTCGCTAGGTGAAACCATATTTCTTAGTTATAAAATGTTATCGAAGGAAGTTTAGAAGTGAAACTTCCGACAATATGGACAGTTGAAAAGCAGAGGTGAAAAGTGTCAGAAGAGAAAAGATCAGAAGAAAGAAGATGCAGATGCGCGAAAAGGTAGGAAAGTCGCGAAACACTGTGTTTTTCCAATGATTTGGGGCTCCGGAGGGTCGAAAAGTAGGCTCGCTAAAGCGGCGGGTGCGGAGCCAGCTGGCCAGATGAGAGATGAAAAATTGCACGCCGTTGTGGCGCGAAGCACATTTCCAAGTCAAAATGTACAAAACACACCAGGTCGGACCACTTTTGGAAGTTGAGATGTCGAAAAAGTGCACGCCGTTGTGGCGCGAAGCACATTTCCAAGTCAAAATGTACAAAACACACCAGGTTCGGACCACTTTTGGAAGTTGCGATGTCGAAAAAGTGCACGCCGTTGTGGCGCGAAGCACATTTCCAAGTCAAAATGTACAAAACACCCAGGTCCGGACCACTTTTGGAAGTTGAGATGTCGAAAAAGTGCACGCCGTTGTGGCGCGAAGCACATTTCCAAGTCAAAATGTTAAAAACACGCGGACCACTTTTGGAGTTGCGATGTCGAAAAAGTGCACGCCGTTGTGGCGCGAAGCACATTTCGAAGTCAAAAGTGTAAAAAACTGAGGTTTTGAGCCTTTTTTGACGTGAAGATGTCGAAAAGTAGACACTGATTAACTTAACTAACTTGACTAACTTAACTAACTTCACTAACTTAACTACCCTAACTTCGACGACAAGCAACAGCAACAGCAACAAACAACAACAACCACAACAACTACAACTACACTACACAACAACTACAACTACAACAACTACACTACAACTACAACAACTACACTACTACAACAACTACAACAACAACAGCAACAACACAACAACACACAACAACAACAACTACAACTACAACAACTACAACAACAACAACTACAACTACACTACAACTACACTACTACAACTACTACTACACACTACACAACAACTACAACCACACAACTACAGCTACAACTACAACAACAACTACAACTACAACAACTACAACTACAACTACAAAACAACTACAGCTACAACTATATGACTGCAACTACACTACACTAATTACATTACACCACAACTACAACTCCACTACGCTACCACTACAACTACAGTTGCAGTACATCACACTACATCCAGCAGTTGTGGGTGAGGTGACCACTGCAACCATTGCAACCACTCCAGCAAACACAACTCCAACCACCTTTCGGTCAATCAGTGGATTCGCTCTGCCATCCGTGATTCACAACAACCAACGTCTCGTATAGGTTTCCTATTCTGAAACTTCCGCCACCGCCTTGTGCGGTACTACCGGTAAATACAGAATCCGTATCTATTCGTTAAAACATGACGACATCATGATGAACGCTGGATACGCTGGATACCAGCGGTCGTTTCCTCGGTGAATTTCCATGAATTTCCCCATGTACCGCAGGACCTTTGGGCCCTCCCAGCCACCCTGCGGATATGAACTTGGGCATCATGAACGATGGTTCCATCGCAGATGTCTACCGTGAACACCCCGTGTCTCGAATGGAATCTGGCGTGAAAAACCAATACACTAGGTCAATCTTACATGGGTACTTTAATCCTTTAGTCTTTTGGTATTAATGGGAATATCTACTAACCAGCAAAGAATTCTAAGATTGGCAATGCTGCCCCAGTATAATTACCCAATTTCACAATTACATGATGTACAAGTTGCCACTGATTGGCGCGAGGGTACACACATCAAACACAGCTTATCACATTTTGTTTTTGAGACCCCTTGTTGATGGTTCAAGATATGCACAAAACAGCTTTTCAAATCATGTTGGGCAATTTCCTTTGACAGATTCGAAAAAATCAACACAATGTGGTGTTGTATGCATGGGTGCAAATTATCCGAAACTGCACAGTTTCTTCGGCGAACCCCAACAATACGGAACAACAAAAATCTCAGTTGAATACCGAACAAATTGATTCGGATGATGATTTATGATACCCTCTGGTAAACTCCATAACTAATTATGGAACATCACCCTTTTTAATGGGTAAATCTACTATAAATGACCATTTTCAATAGTTTTTTGTATGTTTACCAGAGGGTACATATCATGTTTATTTTTTGGAATCCCATGTGATTCTTTTGGAGATATCACAAGATATCACAAACACGACCTCAAAAAATCCTCCGACATGGCATTCGCATGACATCCAGCGCATTCCAGCACCATGGTGCAACGCTGCGGCACGCGAGGTGCCACCCTTCTTGTCGGTGCAGCCAGCGGTGAATGTGAACTTGAACCTGCGCTGAGTTGGGCCGGATGTGGCTGGCACCGGGCGTTGGGGGGCATGGCGTGTTATTGGCCAAAAGGAAAATGGATAAAACGACATACTATCAGATACACTAATTATATCTCATTATCCCCAATTTTTGTGTCATGTTCACCATTTGAATGACTCGATGGCACAATTTTATTGAGAGAACATCAAAACAAGGGGATGCCCAAACTCTTTTTGCAGGCATGGTTGATTTCTTTGATATTTGTCCCCCAAGAAAGTCGTAAAAATTGTGGGTCACACCCAAACCCCCGTTGACAGAACGGTTCCGTCACCGGAACCTGGGAGTTGCAGAAAAACGATGCTGCGAGAACTGTGACGTGTAAAAAGGGGATGGGTAGGTGGCAGATACAAAGGAGATACGAAGGAGATATGATATGTCAACAACAATGGAAATAAAGGGTCGCGAAGATTGAGATCAACGAGCTAACCAACTTGTCATCATGATTCATGATGATATTCATGATTAATGATGATAATCATGATTAATGATGATGATGGGCTGGATGATGGCATGATGCTACAAGCAAAGTCAGAACTCACCATTGGATTCGTTGGACGTCCTTTGCTTACTTTCTGAGAGGGAAGTTCTCGTGCTGCCATCATGGTCATGTCGGTCATGTGAAGTCATCAAATCATCAAACCCATAGAGTTTGAACATGTGTGACCGCAAAGAAAGATGCGGGTGTAGGTCCACACCCAGTTCTTGATGTCCCCTGCGGTTGGGACGTTGGGACAATTTTATGTCTGGATTTACATCCCCAGACCTGCAAATGGCGAGATAATTATAGGCATGTTGTAGGCCAAAGTGAGTCCCCAAAATTGGATGACTTACACTGAAAATCACTAAAGTCTGTGGATCATATCTCCAGATTCTCCAGTGGATATACCCACTGCAAGCCATTGCCATTTATTCACTCTTTTTTCGCGCCATGGGATAGCACCATGAAGACCTCCGCATCACGATGCAGTGCCACCTGGCGCTAAACCTACGGCCCGGGGTCCGTTTGACAAGTCATGAGGTCTTGACGAGCAAAAACCCTGAAAAAATCCCGTAGAAAATGGGGGGTTCCTGAAATGGGGATATCCCACAATGGATGGTTTACAATGGAAATTCCTACTAAAATGGATGATTTGGGGGTACCCCTATTTGAGGAAACCTCCATATATTGATATTGGTTTTGTTTGTGATCGAAAGCGGTGTTGCGATTTGCGAGTGATGTAAAGGTCTTCGAAAACTCGTTTTCCAAATTCCCTTTTTCACCCTTTTCGCGTAATAGTGTGACGGGGCTGGTGAATTTGGTCCCTTCTTGAAGATCCTCAATGAAACATGTTGATCCCTTATTGAAATCTGTCAATATTTACCCATTAAATCTCCATAAATCTCCATATTTTTCGGTTTTTGGGCCATTTTTCCCCAGGGTTTTTCGGTTTTTCCCCAAGTTTTCCCCATTTTCTCCGCATTTTCCCATTGGTTTCTTCCCATTGGTTTCACCGAGGCCCTGGTGCGTTTCGTCTACGCCCGCTGCGGCGCCCAGCTCGCGCCGACGGCCGCCGTCAACGCGGCGGCGTCTGCGTTACCGCGGCGGCTGAGGGCGTCGGAGGAGGAGGGCCTGCGACGAGCGGTGCAGGACCACCGGTGAAAATGGAGGATTTTGGATTTCAGGCAGAAAAATACTGGTTGGTGGTTTGGAACATGGCTTGATTTTATGACTTTCCATATGTTGGGAAGAATAATCCCAACTGACGAACTCATATTTTTCAGAGGGATTGAAACCACCAACCAGAATAGGGATTTTACCAAGCGAAATAGTGACTTATAGTGAGTTAAGCCAGACACATAGAGATTGAATGGTGATTTAGTCAACAAAATTCGTGAGGTAGCCCACAGAAATAGTGATGGATCATGGATTTAGCCCTATAAATCCAGCAATCATGGTGATATTTGATGTTCGATGGTGAGATTTGATGGGATGTCATTCCACCACTATGAGATTTGGGGGACTTGAAAACTGTGGATGTGATGATCCGCAATCCATTGGCATTGGGTTGTGGGAATGGAAAATGCGAATATCTTACGAATTGGGTTGTGGCAATGCCGGAATTCAAGACGATATGATTGGGGATGATCCAAAAATATCCAAAAATAGGTTTCAGTATTCCACAAAGTGGTTTGCCTCGGGTTTGGGAAGGCCAAGGTCGCTGTGTGCAGCAGGACAGCTGGCCTGCCATCATCTCTCCTGAGGCTACAGGTGAGGTCTGTGTACCAATGATCAGTTTGGAGCGGGTGAAGCAATCATGTTTAAGCAAAAATTGGGAAAGGCATCATTAATAGTGGAAATCCAGCATTTACAGATGATTGCCATGTTTGATTTGCGGAGGGTGTTGGAATCTTTAAGGGAAATTGGATTTCGACCTCCGATTTGGACCTCCAAACTCTCAGCCCATTGCCAATGCCCCAGGCTCTGACCCATTTCTTCATCATCTTTAGTGGTATCCCAGTGAAATATCAGCGAAAATGGATGCATTTGTAGATATGGCAATGTGCGAGTTTGATTGAGGGTGTGCCTTCCAACATCGCAAATCATTGTCAGATTTTCTTGGAAGTTTGGGTCTTTGGGAGTACGAAGCAATTATTTTGGTATCCTCAAAATTCCTCGTACACCGAAGACCCAAAACAAAAACCCATTGGTTTCCTTGGCCGCAAAAGACCACCCATGTCCCCCGTCCTTCCATTAATTTTGGCACGGTTGGTGGAAAAGTTTGTGATTTCAAATCGTGGAACAACTTAGAGCCGAACAATATTAGAAGGAGTTGTAGTTTGTTTCATCCTTCCACTCCCTGGTTTCCAAGCTTGGGTTACATTGGTATTCACCTTCACAACGGGATTTAGATTTCAGATTGATGCCCCAAGCTGGTTTCCATGATGTTAGGGCGGTTCATCCTCCCAATGATCCTAAGATATGCTAAGTATATCTACCATCTGGTTATTTAACATAGCCATGGAAAATCCACCCATGCTATTAAGTTCGGTAAACCATCTATTTCGATTACGGCCATGGCTTAACCATGGCGAACTGTTAGTCATAACCAGGCCGGGTAAAAATTCCACTGCCCAAATTTGGGAGGATCCCACCATTCCAGGTGCATTGCCCAGTGATTTCTTGCAGCAGCTGCCAAAGTTGCAGCAATTGCGCGAGCTCTGCGGCCATCGTCAGGTCATCGGTTGCAACAGAAACGTGGGGCATCCGTCTGGAGGGCTTTTTCAGAAGATTTGATCAAAGATGATCTAAGTATATCTGGTTGGTGGTTTGGAACATTTTTAATTTTCCATAATATATGGGATAATCCTTCCCATTGACTAATATTTTTCAGATGGGTTGAAACCACCAACCAGATATGTATTAAGATATGTATTGATGAATGTTGTTTTCTTAAGTCAATCCAATAATTTCATATCATTTCATCAGCAAGGTGAACATGTCACATGTCTCACTATCTATAGCGAGGCTTCAGTATTTTTGTGGAATCGCAAGGGTAGTGCGAAGCAGTTCTTTGAAAATCTCCAGGCACAAATTAGAATTCTTGGTGGTACACCAGTTGAATCAATTCAATATCATAAATAAATGGTTGGTATATCCCCATATCCCCATAAAATCTCATAACAAATTCCCGTTGTCCGTTGATTGAGGTCACTGTGCGCTTGCCAAAGGCACCCGGTCCAAACGCTCCGGTAGTTTGTAAAACATGGGAAAAATCCCCCATGAAAAATATGGAGGTTTTTTGGTTCGCTGGGAATATGGAAGATGGGAAAAGATTGAGACAATCCTACAATATCCCATATAAATGGAGCATATATGGAACCATATCTACAATATCCCATATCTGGGTATCATGGCTGGAATATATACAATATAGTTCAACCTACATTATCCCAATATATCCCATATAAATGGAGCTTTAGGGGATTTTCCATCAATATATGCTAAATATCCCCCTATAAATAGTTGGGGAAAATAGGGGGAAATTATCTACACTTATGGATTTTCCAGCGCTACCCAGATTCTGCAACCGATGTCTGGGGGGCTCGGTGGCGCTCGGTGGTTTGCGGCTCCAGTTGGTCACAGCACTGGAGTAATGTTCCAAGATGTTGCGTCAGTTGCGGGGGATACTCACAAGCTTTCTTAGTTGGCAAAAATATGTTTAAAAATTAGCAAATGTGTTTTTTTAAACCAACACTGCCAACACTATTAGTCATTTTCGGCAAAGGGATGCAAAGGGTTTGAAGTGCAAATTGGCAACCGTTTTCACAGATCCTGCACCTTTTCACAACCCACCCTGCATCATCATTTTCTTCCATCAGCTTATCGTCATTCTTCAAATAGTTGAATGGTTTAACTTATTTCAATTTCCACATCATATCTTTATATCCTTTCTGTTGAGTCCCTTCGCCGCAGGCGCGTTTCGCCTCCTTTCCCCGCTGGCTCTCGCGGCATTTCGACGGCTTCGCGTGGCCTGCGGCGGAGCGACGGACCTTTGGAGACGTGCGAAAGAAGATGCCGTACGAAGACGTCGACGTCTTGGAACCGCGGCAAAAAGGGAACGTCGTGGCGGGTTGCCCGAATAGGCGGTGTAGGCCACCAGGTCAGGGTAGCATAGCGTAGCTGTATATGGGGTGTACCTTACATTTATTGAATCCACCTTTCACCATACAATACGTACTTGGTAGTTTCAAAGATGCTTTTCAACCTTCTTTGGGATGATGATTCAAATTAACGAATATTTTGAAGATGGGTTGAACCCCCCAACCAGATACAATCAGCAACTTGAATCTGAAGAGCCTCTATGTCCATGTAGAAGAAATCCCTGGATCCCTGGTGAGGGTTGGAGTGCACATCCTACAGTGCTATAATTCAAGTCTTTGAAAAAACAAGTACGTCAGAATCATCAGAACAACAAGCACCAAAACAGATCACGAGGTTTGAACGACAGAGGTTTCAAACTTGCCAAGATCAGCTCAGTTGCCCGAGCCCTGACTCCGAAACGGCGGGCATGAAATGCACCATATGGGTCCATAGGGTGGCAACATCCGCAAGCCATCGGGGAGCTCTGCAAGGGGTCTTCAAGTATCCCAAAAAAGTGTGTTTTATTTTAAGCGACCACTCATATTCCACAGAAACAGACAGAAACACAAGGACGAAAGATGTAGATGCTGTGGGTTTCTCCCGGAAAGAATGTTGAAGTGAAGAGAAAGGGCAGAGGATTTGGGGACTGGGTTTGTTTTGTCAGTTTTCATGATGTCAAAGAGTATGCGAAAGGTAAAGCAAATATATTGTATCACCTAGCGGGTTAACCGGGGTTAAGCCTGCTTTTGCGGAAAGATTCATAGTATAGGCAGTATAGGGGTTCCTTGCGGATATACCGTTCAAAGGAGCCGACAATGATGAGAAATGGCGGGGATGAGATATCCACTGATCATTTGTTCGAAGTCATCTGAGCAGATCATGACGAAAAATGAAACGCTTCACTATGGGAATGACGCCAAAAGAGGCAGGGAAAGGGAAGGATGGATTTAAAGCATCGATGCGGATGGCAGCAAGAGCGCAAGAAATAGAATATGAATATGATTACACAGATGCGAATGTGCTTGTGTGACAAAGCAAGGATTATGGAATTTGTCCTGAATCGAAAAAGCGCCAACTTCCCAACTAGCAAGGGAGACGCTGGGGTTCCATCAATGCAGGACATTGGCAACGGATATACCATACCTCCAACCACCCAAGAGAACGCATTACTGCGGTAAAACGCTGCATTCTTGGTGACATCGGCTCATAGAGTTTCTTACCCTCTGGTAAACATACAAAAAACTATGGAACATCATCATTTTTAATGGGAAAATCCACTATTTCTATTGGGGCTACTCCCAGGCCCTTCCGGCCAAGGACCTCAAAGACGTGATCGACGAGTTCTGCAACGTGCGGGCGGACAACCCGCGGTTCTATGCAGCCAGCGTTCCTTTGGCCAGGACGGATGGACGCCCAAATTTCAACCATGTGAATCTTGCGATGGGGGCATATTACTGGGATAATTTGAATAGATAAATAAAAAATGATAAATATATATATATGCACAAATAAATATAATATATATATATATAATTAGAAATACTAATACAAATCTTCATAGTAATACTAGCAGTAATAAGAAAAACATGAATAATAGTCTTGATAGTATTGACAATGTGGATGATATTTGTCCTAATATTACGACCATTCTTGACACAATCCCAAGTCACACCACGCGTTTTTGAAATGACTGCATCGCAGTCATTTCAAGCGGTTTTTTGCAACCAAGATGTGTCAAAGTCATTTGAAGATACCTACCCTCTGGTAAATCTACAAAAAACTCTGGAAAATCACCATTTTATAGCTGGGTAAATCAACTAATTATAAATGGCGGCTATTTGCAATAGCTATGTTAATTTACCAGAGGGTACACAAAACCCAGCAAGGCGTTTTTGGAACGCACCCTTTCGGAATAGATATGTTCGGAGCAACAATTTTTCTTCAGAAAATCCACTACATTCCACCCGTAAATTCAGTAACAAAATGTCAGTTCCAAATGTCAAAAGCATCCCAATGGGACCATATCAAGCAATAACAATAACCATACGTATATTGGTACCATATTAACCATATATGATATATGAACCATAACCATATATGGACCACATATATCAACCACCATATTAATATATTAATATATCTACCATCCATATTAATATATTAACCATATATGGAGCATAACCATGATAGACCACTTTGGCCCGCAATAACCAGTGAATTGCCCCCAATAGACTTCACCAGAAAAATTGCTTCAAAGACAGCTGTCCTGTTCGAAAACATGAACATTCATCGGTTTCCCATGTTTTGATCATTTATAACATGCAACACCACCATTTGGATTTTTCCGAAACTCTGGTATCCCAAAATGATCCGAAAATTCATCAGATGTTGTTGCCCTTAATCTGGCAATGGAAGATACACACATCATTTGCAAACACACCCGACCCAATAATTATGCCCATTTTAATCAGCTGAAGCCCCACGAAATTCCATGAAATCGCATTAAATCCCATTAAGTCCCACTAAATTCCCATTAAACTCCCATTTTTCCCATGGGGAGTAGAGCCCGCCTTTCCTTCAGCGGCCAGGGATCTGCCAGAGTTGGCGGAACAGCTCGGTCCACTGCGCGAGGCGCCACATATAAGTGGGTGCACTCCATACTCTCTGGTAAACATGGAAAAATTGAAAAAAGCAAAAAACAATGAAAAATCACTATTTTATAGCTGGGTAAATCAACTATTTCCATGGCCATGGTTTCAATAGCAAACTGTTAGTTTACCAGAGGGTATATAACCGGGGTATAACCCATTTACTAAATGGGATGCAACCCTCGAAGATTGGATTTTTGAGCCCCCACAAAATGCAATGAGTTGTACATGTGAAGTTAAAACCTGGCTCAATAACCATAAAACATCAATGAAAAAATAACAACACTTTGTGGCTAGAAACAATAAAACATGGAAAACCACATGAAATATGTTTGTTTTTTTAGTGACAAGGAGTCCGTGGATATTTTGTTGCGTTGAAGCCACCACAGAAAGGTACTGACATTTTGCCATAAAACTGATGCAACAGGTCCATGAAGGATGGATCCATGTCATTTATTCTATCGAAAAGTAGGATTTGGGATATTTGGGGAAAGCTTTCGGTTGTTCATCATGGATTTTGGGTCTTTGGTCAAGAATTCTGCAAATTCCTGGAACTGTTGGGGTTTTACTCCTGCAGAACGGTGTGACACATCGAAGAGCCTACTCCCAAGACATTGCAGTCAAATTTATAGATGGTTTTTGCCCCAAACGTATCTGTCATTCTGAGGAGTTTTTCAACATACCGAGTTGAAGAATGTCGCTAAACCCATACTGTAGTCCATTGAGAGATACTTTAGGCGAAGATTTGACACCAAGCAATACAATGTACCCAAAATGGGTTGTCCCGTTTTGGAAATGTCACACACACCCGAAACAATCCATGGGTGTCCCTGGCCCGACCAGTGACCTCAAAATATTTCAAACCATGGGTGACTGGAGGCATTTGCAAAAACCAAAAGTGTTGGCTGTTTCCAAAAGTGTTTCCTAGAAATGGATCATGGGTAATAATTAATGATGGTTAATGGTTAATTATATACGGGTTAATGGTTAATTATATATTGGTTTTTGTGTATTCGAGGGTAAAAAACATGATTTCTTATTTTGATGTTCCCTTTAATCGTCCCAAGGATCGTCACGCCTTTGTTGTTTCCAGACGCGACCAGTTAGGCTTTGGAGGAAGCCTTGCACCTGTCGGTAGGGCCACCCGTGCCCAATGCACCGGTGATGTATTTGGGTGGGGAACCCTGGGGGTGAACCGGTGAGAAAACATGGAGTACTATCGAAAGTCGAAAGATGTTTATAATATGAAAATAATTGAAGTTAATGGGCATTTTTCGAATCCCATCTTGACTTGAAATCAGTAGAACTATGGACTGTTTGTCTTCTTTAGATTCAATCGTGGTCCGTTGTAGATCTGGGGTGGTCCTGTATCAACGCATTCAATCCTCCAAAATTCAACCAACGCGCATGGGACAGCTGATTTCAGGATTGAAGTGGGAGTACCAGCAGTCCTTGATGTCCGATCAGATTTGGACATCAGAGGATGAATTTGGGAGCCTGATTCAAAATCATAGTGCCCATCCCAATTGCATGTGAGGGGTTGTGTGCCCTCGATGATTTACTAAGGTGCAGGTGAGCAGCGCACTCCTCTGCACTGTGTCTCCTGGTTCAATCGCGGATATCCTGGGATGGGAGGAAAAGAGGGAGCTGGCACGCCACCCCAGCTATATGAATTTTGCCGGTGACTCCCGGGGAGGAAAGCTCGTGGGGTGGGCCTCTTGCAAATGGGGACCCCCAACGTCACAGGGGTAACCCATGAGCCTATCCCTTGCGTATTTCGGGCTGGCTCAACCCAGTTAGTTGGGCATCAGTTTTCGTGGAGTCGATTCTTGGGATCCCCATTGGTATGATTTTGTGATGGTTTTCCAGTGGCTTTTAGATGATTGTCCAATGATTTTCCAATGATTTTCCCCATTTTTAAGTATGGTTTAAATGATTTAAATGACCCCCATTGGTTTGCATTTTGGGGATTGACTCCGTGGCGCACCTTCGAACGGGTTGGTGTGTAACAGGACCCTACCGAGAACATCACCTTGGTGTTGGAGGCAGGATTCAAATCATGTTGTTGCTTCCCTCTCTGTGTAATCACAAAAGATGCTATCTTAAGTCTTAATGTGGTTTGTATGTCCAATTGTTTCAATGATTCTACTATGGTTACAATGAAATTTCAAATATATAAGTTCCCCGTTTTGATGTTTGAACCCCAGTCGTCTGTTTTTTTGTTTTATTACTCGTGGTTAGGTTCCAGCATGATTTTCATGGTGGCTAGATCCCATACCCTCTGGTTATTCAACACCCTCCTCTGGTTATACGGTTAGAAGCCTCATGTTTGATGGAATATGATGGGATGGTTGGTTCAGAAAATCCGAAAGGTGCATGTCCATTTCCCATACTCCCATGGTCCATTTTGTTGGTTAGTGTAACCTCACATGTTCCCCATATTTAACTTGTTCTATTGTTGCTGATATCCACTACGTATCTCTCATTCTATCCCGATATCTCCCGCCTATAAATGGCCTCGACTGGAAGTACATCTATAGTTAATTGCCTGTGGCAAGCCTACCGGCCATACGGGCGTAGAGAGCGGCACCAAGGGAGTTTGATGAGCACACTAGGTGGAAGCCGGAGACAGAGGCAGAAGAGAAGAGAAGAATAAGAAGAAGAAAAAGAAGAAAAAGAAGAAGAAGGAGAGATGAAGACGAGTAGCAAGTGCTTCCTTTAACAACCCATTGACTGCATGCCAAATGGACCGTGAAAGTCCTGTGATTGGCACTGGTGTTTCACTAGCTACCCGCACTACCGGTGGGAAGAAGGAGGAGTAGGAGCTGGAGCAGGAGTAGCAGTAGCAGTAGCAGTAGTTAGTAGTTAGTAGTGAGTAGGTTAGTAGTTCGTAGTTCGTAGTTCGTAGTTCGTAGTAGGTAGTAGGTAGTTGGTAGTTGGTAGTAGGTAGTAGGTAGTAGGTAGTAGGTAGTAGGTAGTAGGTAGTAGTTAGTAGTGTAGTAGGTAGTAGGTAGTAGGTAGTAGGTAGTAGGTAGTAGGTAGGCCACGGAAGAACAGCAAGGCGTTCATTGAAACGCGGGTCCTTTGGCTGCTTCGTGCGGCAGTGCTCCGCAGCAAAGCTGCCTTCAGCGGCTTCATCCAGATGCTGGCGGACCTTCATGGTGCTCCCGCTGATCGTGAGAATGATTGCTACAGGTTTGAACACCATTGGCTGCTTCTGGAGATTTTGACCTTGCTCTGGGCACATGCACCCAGCATTGCCCTGACAACGTAGTGGCCACTTGATACCAAACATGCTCCTTGGCTGCAATGTTCATTTTTCTGCAGGCATCTGTTGCACAGTCTACATGCTGGCAGCTTGTGCCAGACTTGTTTCGTTTTCTATGCCGCGCGTGACTTTGTTCTGTGCCCCATTCCAGGCCTCTGTCGAGTTTCAGGCCGTGCTCGTGCAGGTTGTTGTCCCCCACCTTCGCGCGGCTCTCCATGCACAGCACTATGTGGATCACAAGTGTGAACATTGCGCAGTTCCTGTGGTCACCCTGGACGCGAAGTACGGGCTTACCTGTGCTTTGTGCAACCACCGCGAGGGAGGTGTGGTTGAGTTTCCGCAGGTGCAATGTTCCGTCATGTTTGGGTGCCAGAAGCCCCCAATGCAGTCGGGCCTTTACTGCTGTGACCACCAACCTTCAGCTGGTTGCGCTTCGGCCCGTGCTGACGCCCAACGGATTGTGCGGCATCGCGATGAGAACGGGGTTCGGAGCTACAAGGTCGATGGCTCCCCTCAGTGGTTCTCTTCGTCCCAGCTCTCAGTCCATGCACTTCGCGAATATGAGGGCCTGCTTGCAGAGAAAAAGACGCGGAAGAAACGTTGCAGAGGCCAACTTCTTGAGGCAGCAGGTGGCGACGGCCATGCCCCGGAGGACGCTCCGTACTTTGATGCGGTGGAGCCAATTATGAACCCGCAGCCCGATGATGTCAACCCGTGCGGGATTGACAAGGCTGCAACTCTCCCTCGCCGCAAGTACGGCGGACTGTTGGTGGCAACCCTGCCGTGCGGCAGTGTTTGTGCAGTAGCATGCTTGCAACCATTTGACCCCACTCTGACCTCATGGCTTTCCATCTTGTTCACGTACAACCAGTGGCATGAAGGTATCCTATTCTCATGCCCCCCGCTCCCCCAGCCTCTTTTGTTCACTACTCTTCTCCCCTCTGTTATCCCATCGGTTGCTGCGCCGTGTCTGCCGAGGTGCATCCACTGGCCCACGCCGAGTCGCTCACTCAAGTGTACAGCTTGCTGTCGACCTTGCTCCATCGAGGTGACGATGCTCTGGCGTATGCCATTTATGACAACGCTTGTGCTTTGGCCCGCTATGCGCGCCACCCGTTGCGTCGTGACAGAACGTCGGCGGCGTCGGCCATCGCTGCCCTCACCTTCGTCATCGACAGCTCCCATTTGCCGAATCACACGGCGTGCATCACTGAAGGCCACGACTTCTTCCTGCCCGAAGTTCGACGCGAGAGGCATCCCCAGCTCGCTGGCGTCAACACACAGACTGCCGAACAGTTCTTCTCTTGGGCCGACCCCTTTGTGCGATCCACGGCTTCCATGACACCAGCTGTTTTCCAGGCCTTTGTCCTGATCCTCGTGCACCTCTACAATTCCATTGTCTGCGGTGGCTCGCCACCGCGTCACCGGCATCGACCGAGCCTTCGTCGCAACCCGCCTGCTGCTGCAGTGCCATTGCGTCCCAGGGATGCTCCTTCTCGGGACGATCCCGGGCATCTTGCTGCAGCGGCCCCGGCGCCGGTGGTCGTCCTGCGCTTTCGGCGCAATCCTCGTGTGATTGGCCTTTGGGGCGCTGGCAAGTACCACTGGAGTCCAGATCCAGCGGCCCCACGACCTCCTTGCAAGATTGTTGCGTTCGAGACATTGCCCGAAACCATTGAGGTCGTGGCTGAGGACATTGACTTCTTGCCGGACGTTGGCTTCGTTCTGCATTTTGCCGGCGCGAAGCATCAGGTTTGCCGCACCTGTGCGTTCGCCGCACGCCACGCCGGCCTTCTAGTTGATTGAGGCCCGCTTTCTTATGCCACAGCCTGCGTGAAGAGTTACTTTGCGCAGTGGCAGAGGACGCCACAAGAGTGTCCTCCCTCTGCTTCTTGACGTCAGTGCTTTTCGGACCATGGGTGAAGTGTATATACGCCGCTTGCCTCTGCCTGATGCCACAAGTGTGTCAGCAGCTGCGTTTACAGGGTGAGCGATGAATGTGTTCCAACGCGGCAAAATGTTACGTCCTGCAGCTCATGTTCCTCTTCTGTGTTTTGCATGCCTCACTTTGCAATTCCTGACCCGTTTTCTGGATCGTTTTTCAAGGTCTTTCTGCGCTTCACTTCCTGCCTGCCTCACTGCCACCGCCCGTGCTTGGCGACACGTTTCTGCGTGCGTCTCGGCCCGCAGGCCTTCTGTGTGAGCTCATCCCCCTTGTCGTGCTTTCCTTCCTCTTGGCTGGCCATGCCTTCCGCTGCGCGTGCTCCATCGGGTCCGCCTGCGCCGCCAACCGGGGAGAAGGTGGACGAGTTTTTCCAGCTGTTGGAGCAGCAAGTGCCTTTCCCTGCGGCTGAGTTGGAACAGCTTATTCCAGCGGCCCTCCTCCAACATTGGAAAGACTTGGGCGCGACGCAGAGCGTCGCGTGGCCATGGGTCATGCTGTGCGAACTGTGCCTCGTCAGTTTTCTGACACCCAACGCACGGTTCCTGCCGCTGCCCAGCTTCGCAGTGTACTCCCTCACCTGGACATTTTTCCTTCACCCGGGCTCATGCCACACCTCGAACCTTCTGCGGTTGTATCACAATGACCTCCATGGTCTGGAGGACAAGGCAAACGAAGATCGGCGTGCAATGCGAGCTCGCCTGAGACAGCATGCCATGCCCGGTGCCCAAGGCCAAGCAGCCTTGAAGGGACGCCTCAAAACATTGCAGGATATCACCTTCCGCTTGGGCACAGGCTCATTGGAAGGCATTGGCCTTCGGATTGCATCCTTTGTGGGCTGGACCGCAGCTAGCGGTTACCTGGTCGAGGGCACGCAGTTCCTGCAGTGGTTGCAAGCTGAGTTCGGAGTTAACAAGGCCATTGCAACCCAATTGTGGGAACGTATGTCGTGGCAGCGGGATGTCATCAACCTTCAGCGCTCCTTTTCCATGGCGTATACCCTTTCCTGGGCGTCTGCGGCGCGCTTCACCTGGAGGATATCTGGCCGCTCTATGCACACGCAGATCCTCTTGGGCTGCGAGGCCGCCTTTGTCTCTTTTACAGCCGCCCCGTCATGAAACGGGCGCGGGAAATTGAGGCTGCTAACGAAAGACTTGGAAACACCGGCGGCACAAACCAATTGGAGACCTTGCTGATTGACCGCTTCTACCGCGTCTACCAGGCGCATGCTCTGGAACACCGTGACGAGGCTGTCTTCGTCCATCATCTCGGCTACCCCTTCCTCAATTACACTTTTGCTGCGGACAACAATGAGGAGGCCAAGCAGATCTTTGTGGCCCACTTCGACCATCATGGAAACATTACAGGAAGAGAATTACTTGGTCCAGCATGAGGCTTCCAAGCGCCATGGGAAGCTCAAGGGGAAGCACCTGCGCCTTGCACTCAACTGGGCAAACTTGCAGAGTGCCTTTGCCGCCACGGAGCCAACAGCCTGGCCCACCACGGTGTCGGCAAGTGCGATGCAAGCAGCTGACCTGCTCGGGAAATATTGCGAAGGAGTGACGGATGTCATCTACAAATTCATTGCCCGCAGCAGCCAGTCACCCGAGCCTGCACCTGCGGCCCAGCAGCCCAGGGAGGAAAGGGGCATGGTGGGCAGAATCGCCCGCCTCCGAGACTTACCCTTAGCAGCTTTCTTGGAGCAACACCCCGTTGCATCACACCCGCACCTCAAGCCCTTCACTGCATTGCTGCTGCGTATGCACTCCATCTGGCTGGATTCGACATTGCTCAAATCCCATTGCTTCATTCGAGACCATTTGCCCCAGGCGTCCCACGAGGAGAAGATGCAGCTCATCCTTTTGGCCTTCTTTTGCCTCGAGAAGTTGCAGCTTGCCGCCTGCGGCCTCTCTACGAACAACAGTGGGCCGCGCAAGCTTTGTGCTTGCAAACGCCACTTGCCTCCTGGTGCTCCTCACCTGGCTGCCGTGCAAGCTGTCCTTTCCATCTTCGAAGTGCCTTTGGAGGAGTATTGCGCCCCGTCGCCTGGTGAGCTCCAGCGCGACGTGCCGAATGCAGCGCCGCGCCTCGACTTTCCTCCTTTCGATGGCGCCGTTGCTGCGGCGGCGCCTGCTCTCTTAAATCCCTGGCGAGGCGTGGCTTAGGTTTCTGCGACCATCTTGACTTCACCTGCAGCATGCCCTGCTGCAGGTGTCTGTGCCTGAGAGCGGATGCAGTGGGCGATCACAAAGACGCCTTTGTACTTCTCACACCAGTCTCTTTCACACCAGCGCCACTCCTACAGAAACAGCGCTGTGCATTCCTGACCAGGCGGGCCAAGGCGCGCAGGCTGCAGTTACAAAGACACTCCTGCGTCGTCATGCTGTGGTTCTGTCCGCAGCGGGCTCACTGCCGCAGTCATAAACAGCAGCTGCGCCTGTCTCTGCTGCCCCAATTCCACTTAGCATCCCTCGAGTTCTGGATGTCTCTTTGTTGTTCTTGTTGTTCTTCTTCTTGTTTTTGTCGCACTTGTTGTCCTAGTTGTTCTTGTTCTTCTTTGTTGTTGTTGTTGTTGTTGCTGCTGCTGCTGCTGTTGCTGTTGCTGTTGCTGTTGTTGTTGTTGATCTGGTTGTTGTTGTGGTTCTGGTTGTGGTTCTGGTTGTGGTTCTGGTTGTGGTTGTCATTGTGGTTGTGGTTGTACTTGTCGTTGTGGTTGTTGTTGTTGTTGCTGCTGCTGCTGCTGTTGTTCTTGTCGTTGCTGTTGCTGTTGCCGTTGTTGTTGTTGCTGTTGTTGTTGTGGTGGTGGTCGTCGTCGTCGAGGTTGTTGTGGTTGTTGTTGCGGTTGTTGTTTTCATGTTCTTGTTGTTGTTGTTGTCGTTGTTGTCGTTGTTGTTCTTGTTGTTCTTGTTGTTCTTGTTGTTCTTGTTGTTCTTGTTGTTCTTGTTGTTCTTGCTGTTCTTGTTGTTCTTGTTGTTCTTGTTGTTCTTGTTGTTCTTGTTGTTCTTGTTGTTCTTGTTGTTCTTGTTGTTCTTGTTCTTGTTCTTGTTCTGTGCCTTGCCCTGCAGGCCTTCGACGGCATCAGATCGATCTGGTCAGTCGCTCACAGAAGGGTCTGCGGGCGACGAGCCAGGTATTCCCTGCATGTTGTCGCTTTTTCTCCTTGGGGATATGCTTCCTGAAACACTGTAAAGAATGAGACATGCTATCGTCTTCAAGTGGGTCGTTTGTATTTGTTAAATTAAAAGTTGCCACACTGTCACAAGACCAGGGAAATCAGACAAATCAACCATGGGGTCACTACCCATGGGAAGGTCACGTCAACGTTCACATACGAATTCCAATTTCCTTATTCTGACCGAGTCCCCTGTCGGAACCCCAATTGCTGTCAAGACCCACCAGACACTGACGGGGGAGCGCACTAACCCCACTAGTAGAGATTATATAGACATGTTCCTCTGCAGCAACCCCCATGGCTTTGACTCCCCGTGCATTTTCCTGTTCCTGCTTGGCCAAGGTCACACTACAGTGACACTTCCTGAGACGTTCAACCCGAGCAGCTTGCGCATTGTCATCGGAGACCAGGCTTCAGCGCAGCCAAGGGTCATTTTTGCTGCATATCGGGGGGCTCCGTAGCGAAACAACTAGACACTTTCACTGTCACATTTCGTGCTAGCTCTGTTGGGATGGGGCCAGTCCCTTCCATTAACCATGCAGATTCCAGTTTGATGTTGCAGACTGCTACAGTTTTGTGGCGTGGGTTGGCGCTGCACTCCTTTCGCCTGTTTTTTTTTCACTGTCCCTGACCGAAATCCATTCTCGGGTTGATCTATAGCCCGTACAAGTCACCCACCCGGATTCTGTTGGCCATAGTGAGATCAAGCGTACTGGGTGAGATATTGTTTACATGCTTACTATCAGTGGCGCGGTTTTGCCCACGTAGCTGGTCATAGCTCCTCTTCCACTGCAAGACCCACCTGCACCATGTCGACAGGAGTATTCCCTGCTGCCGGCGATGGTCCCCCTGACGCCTGGCTTGTGCCGGGTTCGGTCTAAAAGGAGTGGTGAGTTCTACTATTTTCATCCAGCCACCGGCAAACCCTGAGTCTCCAAAACTAGTAAATTTACTAATTTAGTAAATTTACTAAAAGGGAAGAATTTACGTAATTTTTTCTCCAGTTTTCTTGATGTTAGTAAATTTTGTGAAAAACCAAAAGTGCATCAAAAGTGCATCAAAAGTGCATCGACCGTGCAGTTTTTTCTGAGCATTTTTGATTGAAATTGTGATTTTGTAACAGAAATGCAGTAGCGTTTTTTAGATTTAGTGAAGTCGTTTTAGTTCACAATGTGACAATCTAATTTTTCCATAGCAAAGGGTTGGTTTTGTCACATACTTGTATGTTTAATGGATATGGCCAAGTAAAGCCAGAATCTTTGCAAGTGACCAGTCAAGTAATTAAGGACTTTTTATAGATTACCAAAAGTAAAGTCAATATTCTCAGCACAACCCATCTCAAGTAAATTCTCTGATGGAAACATGTCTACCCTAAGTCTCCAAAACTAGTAATTTCACTAATTTAGCAATTTTACTGATCCAGAAGATTTTGCGTATTTTTTTTGGATTTTTGCAGAATTAGTAAAATGTAAAAAAAAGGAAAAGTGAATCAAAAGTGAATCAAGAGTGCATCAAAAGTGCATCAAGAATGCGCCAAAAGATGTGTGATAGCTTTTCCGAATTTCCTTGAATCTGATAGTGGAGACAGAAGGAATGTCCAAATGTTGTGAGGAATGTGAAGAAATTAGCATGTGGAACCTGTATAAGTTTATGTCCTTTGAGTCCTTTGCTGCAAAATGTAAATACTATGAAAGAGAAACAAAATTTCTCCCAGTGACTTCTCAGGTAAAAGTAGATGTTCTGAAGTAAAGTCATTTTTGCAAACGATTTCTGAAGAAATAATGTTATGAAATAAATTCAATGTAATACATATTGAAGGTATATACTTGACGTTGTTTTGGCTCGTTGGCTTTTGCGGTTTCTTGGTTTATGTATTTTTAACTTTTGAGCTTATTTGCATGCTTTGGTGAGAGGAATTGACATATGTTTTCAACAAGTGTCCTAATTTGCCCTTTTTTGGGCTCTGAAAACAGTATTTCAGGACACTTGTTGAAACCTATTCTCCAACTATATCTACTTGATTTGTGTTTCACCACGTTTTCCATGACTGTCACGGTTCTGCCTCAACATACGTTCCATATGGTCACAAGATGCATGTTGCCCAGTATATACACCTTGAGTACCATATTCAATTTTTTTGGGGGGGGAGGCTGCATCCTCCCCCAATCCCCCCTAATTCCGTTTTTTATATGTGAATCCAATTTTTGCATACTTGTAAATACATTGTTCCATATTTTCTTATATATATAATCATGTATTTATATATATAATAGTGAAATACATATGTAGTTGTGTTTCAAGTTATATATATATACACATGGTTTTATATCTGTCATTATATTTACATATCATTTAGTTTTATATATACAAAAGTTTCAAATAGTTATTTAAAGATAGTTGTATATTTATAGTTATATATACATATAGTTTTGTATACAAACATTTTTTATGTAGATATAAATGTACTATATTTACATTGTTAACTAATGGTATAATATATATATATATGTATATGTATATAATTATATATATATCTTTGGATTTACATCTAAATATTTACAGTTACTTTTGTGTACATCGTGGATCCCTAAATAAACCTTGGAAAACCATGCAAGAATCAATGAACACATGCAAAACTTAATGAACACCATGGCAACATCAATAAAATCCATGGAAAAATCACTTAAACCATGTAAAAATCAGCCAACAACATCTAAAAATCAACAAAACAAGTCAAAAATTCCATGAACACTGTGGAAAAATGAATGAAGACCGTGTAAAGTTCAGCCAAAAGCATCAAAAACACATGAACACCATGGCAAAATCAATGAACCCCATAGAAACAATGGGGCGCAACGCGCATGAGAGATTTTAGCTCCACTACTCAGCAAATTGCATGTTTTAGCTCCAAAACGCAGTAAATAGCAAGGGTAAGTGCCCCAGACTGAAAACAGAAAAAACAACAAAAACTGCACCCAAGAGATGTGTTTCATTTATTTGTTTATTGTCAGAAACTAGCAATTGCACAGAGAAGGATTGCAATTACACAAAGAAGGAATGCAACTGCATAGAGACAAACCATCCATCAAACTCAGAAGAAACAAATCCAAGTCTCTGAAATCTATGTTTTTTTGGGGCCCAAAGAAATTTATGTGTTTAGTTTTGACTTCAACAAATTTGTTTCAACTCTATGTTTTTGCTCTGACATCTTCATTTTCTCTTAGTTGACAATAGTTGTGATAACGTGTGTGGGGAGTTCTTGATATTTTTCCTCCTGAATATTTCAAAAGATTTGGATGGAATCCTCAAAAACCTTTGGCGGGTTCTTGAAGATTTATTTTAAAAAAAACTTATGGAAACACTCTTGCACTTTTCATATCCTCTTGATCCAGGGTTGTGGCTGCAAACATTCAAGAATTTGCTATTAAATTTGGAAGAAATTTAGATGAACTATATCAAAATTGGTTATGCACTTTTGATGCACTTTTGATGCGCTTTTGATGCACTTTTGATGCACTTTGAAACTTGATGCACTTTTGATGCACTTTTAATACATTTTGATGCACTTTTGAAAAGTGCATCAAAAGTGCATCAAAAGTGCATAACCAATTTTGATATAGTTCATCTAAATTTCTTCCAAATTTAATAGCAAATTCTTGAATGCTTGCAGCCACAAAACTGGATCAAGAGGATATGAAAAGTGCAAGAGTGTTTCCATAAGTTTTTTTTAAAATAAATCTTCAAGAACCCGCCAAAGGTTTTTGAGGATTCCATCCAAATCTTTTGAAATATTCAGGAGGAAAAATATCAAGAACTCCCCACACACGTTATCACAACTATTGTCAACTAAGAGAAAATGAAGATGTCAGAGCAAAAACATAGAGTTGAAACAAATTTGTTGAAGTCAAAACTAAACACATAAATTTCTTTGGGCCCCAAAAAAACATAGATTTCAGAGACTTGGATTTGTTTCTTCTGAGTTTGATGGATGGTTTGTCTCTATGCAGTTGCATTCCTTCTTTGTGTAATTGCAATCCTTCTCTGTGCAATTGCTAGTTTCTGACAATAAACAAACAAATGAAACACATCTCTTGGGTGCAGTTTTTGTTGTTTTTTCTGTTTTCAGTCTGGGGCACTTACCCTTGCTATTTGCTGCGTTTTGGAGCTAAAACATGCAATTTGCTGAGTAGTGGAGCTAAAATCTCTCATGCGCGTTGCGCCCCATTGTTTCTATGGTTTTCATTGATTTTGCCATGGTGTTCATGTGTTTTTGATGCTTTTGGCTGAACTTACACGGTCTTCATTCATTTTTCCACAGTGTTCATGGAATTCTTGACTTGTTTTGTTGATTTTTAGATGCTGTTGGCTGATTTTTACATGGTTTAAGTGATTTTTCCATGGATTTTATTGATGTTGCCATGGTGTTCATTAAGTTTTGCATGTGTTCATTGATTCTTGCATGGTTTTCCAAGGTTTATTTAGGGATCCACGATGTACACAAAAGTAACTGTAAATATTTAGATGTAAATCCAAATATATATATATAATTATATACATATACATATATATATATCCCTTTGGTTAACAATGTAAATATAGTACATCTATATCTATTTAAAAATGTTTGTATACAAAACTATATGTATATATAACTATAAATATACAACTATCTTTAAATAACTATTTGAAACTTTTGTATATATAAAACTAAATGATATGTAAATATAATGACAGATATAAAACCATGTGTATATATATATAACTTGAAACACAACTACATATGTATTTCACTATTATATATATAAATACATGATTATATATATAAGAAAATATGGAACAATGTATTTACAAGTATGCAAAAATTGGATTCACATATAAAAAACGGAATTAGGGGGGATTGGGGGAGGATGCAGCCTCCCCCCCCAAAAAAATTGAATATGGTACTCAAGGTGTATATACTGGGCAACATGCATCTTGTGACCATATGGAACGTATGTTGAGGCAGAACCGTGACAGTCATGGAAAACGTGGTGAAACACAAATCAAGTAGATATAGTTGGAGAATAGGTTTCAACAAGTGTCCTGAAATACTGTTTTCAGAGCCCAAAAAAGGGCAAATTAGGACACTTGTTGAAAACATATGTCAATTCCTCTCACCAAAGCATGCAAATAAGCTCAAAAGTTAAAAATACATAAACCAAGAAACCGCAAAAGCCAACGAGCCAAAACAACGTCAAGTATATACCTTCAATATGTATTACATTGAATTTATTTCATAACATTATTTCTTCAGAAATCGTTTGCAAAAATGACTTTACTTCAGAACATCTACTTTTACCTGAGAAGTCACTGGGAGAAATTTTGTTTCTCTTTCATAGTATTTACATTTTGCAGCAAAGGACTCAAAGGACATAAACTTATACAGGTTCCACATGCTAATTTCTTCACATTCCTCACAACATTTGGACATTCCTTCTGTCTCCACTATCAGATTCAAGGAAATTCGGAAAAGCTATCACACATCTTTTGGCGCATTCTTGATGCACTTTTGATGCACTCTTGATTCACTTTTGATTCACTTTTCCTGTTTTTTTACATTTTACTAATTCTGCAAAAACCCACAAAAAATTACGCAAAATCTCCTGGATTAGTAAAATTGCCAAATTAGTGAAATTACTCGCTTTGGAGACTTAGGGTTATCTTTCCCAACCTCACGAGTCTCAAGTAAATTCTTTGTCAGGCACTAGCCGAAAAACATCGAAAAACAACATCAAAAATGCAAACCCCCAAAAAAGGTTACATTAGTAAATGCATTTACTAACGTTAGTAAATGCATTTACTAACGTTAGTAAAATTTACTAACGTTAGTAAATTTTTACTAACGTTAGTAAAAATTTACGTAAATCCACGTTAGTAAATCCCAAAATTTACGTAAATTTTTGGGCACCTAAATTTACTAGTTTTGGAGACTCAGGGAAGCGGCCTGGCAGCCATGGTGATCGTGTGTCCTGATTCCCCGGCAAGTATATGGTCTACTTCCATGCCCCCATTTTTCATTCTTTTTCCCTTGCGCTGCAAGTCCGTGAATTTTCCACGGTGGACCAGCGGATCACACTCGGCCGACCGGCCCTTGGTGTGTCCACTTTTAAATTAGGGCCCTCTGTCGCCTGACAAACTGCACCTGAACCACATAGGGTGGTCGCTGCTCGCTCCAGTTGCTTGGCCGGAGAAACTTGTGCGAACAATCAATTGCACGCTATGGGAAAGAAGCTTCACCCAGAATAGCCCCTCGCCGCCTTTCCGATACATAAATATAAATATGAATATCTACTACATATATATATATAAATATAAATATATATAAATATAAGTATATATATATATATTTATTTACATCTCTCTATATACGTATATCTATGTCATACAGCAATGAATCGATACAGATATGTATTTATTAACATTTATATATATATATACATATGTCTCTCTGTATGTGTCTCGTTCCTTTCCTCTACATATATCCCTACGTATATGTATTTACATATATATATATATATCTATTGCTTGTTGGCTGTCGTCACCCCTCTGGGACAGCACAGACAACTAGTAACCCTCCACCCCTCCCAAGCAAACGACAAAACTAATCGACTCGCCCCCCTGCAGCCCGTCCTCCCTCTCGTCCACAGACATTTCGCCTCCCCCCCCCGCCTACAGCCCTTCCTCCTCCTTCTCGTCAAACGACATTTTCGATTATTGCGTCCCTCCTCCGGCCTTAGATGAATAGATAGATAGAGAAAGAGAGACAGAGAGACATATATATATATATATATATATATATCTCTCTCTCTATATATATATCTTTATATTTATATTTGTTCTTCCCCCCCTTCTCTCTTAAACAAACAAACAAATAATAGTAATCCCACCCTCCCTCGGCCCTTCCTCCTTCTCCTCCAACGACCTTGTGTGTTCTTGCCTCCTCTTTTTCCCTTCCCCAGGCACCTCAAACATGCATAATCACATCCCTCCTCGCCCACTCTCCGTCCAACTTCCCAGGACGATGGTCCCTCCGCCTCCTCCTTCTCAATCATTCATTTAGCTCGATAGATAGCGAGAGATAGAGAAAGAGAGAGGAGAGAGAGAAAGAGAGAGAGCGAGAGAGAGAGAGAGAGAAGAGAGAAAGAGAGAGACAGAGAGACAGAGAGATAGAGAGCCCGCCATGGTTGCCTCCTTCCCCTCCTTCTCTGCAACCACGAGAGAGGAGAGAGAGAGAGAGAGGGAGAGAGAGAGAGAGAGAGAGAGAAGAGAGAAAGAGAGAGACAGAGAGATAGAGAGCCCGCCATGGTTGCCTCCTTCCCCTCCTTCTCTGCAACCACGTCATACTCATAATCCCACTCTCCCCCCCTTCTCCCTTACAAAAGATAATAGTCATCCCACCCCCTCTTCCTCCTCGTTCCCGCCATCGTTGCTTCCTTCCCCTCCTTAAACGGTTTCGAACGCGGCCTCCACATTTAATATCTGAGCACACGTGGACCGTGAGTTATCCAGATCTTGTTTCAATTCACTTTGAACTGGGCCGTTTTGTTCTCGTGAACTTTAATTCCCCACGGGCAATTTATAATTTAGCTATCGTACACCAATTATTTCGAAAAGGATATTTGGGTCCACCTAATCCAAGACAAACATGGTAGTTCCCCTGCTCTTGGATTATTTTGCCTGAAATTAGTCTAGATGGGTCGGAAAGGTGCCACTCATTGTGTCCCAGCGAGGGGGAAGTGCTGCCGGGCAAATTAACAGAGGTACCTTGAAGCAGCAAGGGCCCTTGGATTAACATTTTTATTCATGTAAGTGGGGGACCAGTTCTGGAGACCCTTTAGCAAGGAGCAATTCTTCTAGATCAATTTTCACTGGGCCTCTAACGATGGGCAGCAGGCAGCGAACCCACCTCTGGTACGGCAGGCTACAATGACACGCCTGGAGACTTTCTTTGCTTGCCTTCTTTGCTTGCTGTCTCTACTTGCTGTGTCTGCTCGCTTTCTGTCCGTGATTTTGTTACCCGATTTCTCTGCTTCCTTTTTTGCTTGCTTTCTTCTCTGCATGTGCATTGCAGGCGTCGAAGCAGGTTCTGCCAGCACGCGCGTTCAAGGCAGCATGAGTTTGGAGCGGACCATGTTTAAATTTAAGAGGTTAAATGGGCACCCGCGGTGGAGGAGGCTCGTTTCCTTCTGGCTGAGGCTGCCATGGCAGAAGCAGCTGAGATCCAATGTGCGGAAACAGCTCGCATGAGCCTAACTGATCTGGAGACCCGAGCCCTCAGTTGGAGCAGTGCAGCACAGGCTTTCTCGAAAGATCACATTCCTCGAAAATTTGAGGGATTGGGTTTCGTCCAATACCAGCCAGATCTGTACTTCGTCGCTGAATCGACTAAAGCTTCCGCATTGGCTCCTCGTTGAAGGGAAGAGGGTTTGAGAAGTAGAACGGCTCGGTGACGGTGGAGAAAATGGGTGTGTGTGGCTTGAATCATGTGGTGGTCTGTTTGCCAAAAAGATATGATTGTTGTCTGAAACCCGCAAGGCATTTGAGTCGGTTTGTGCTTTTTGGGTCAATTTGAAGTAAACTGAAATTAGATATTGACTTATCTATATTTTACCTTTTTGCGTTGACGCACAAAGAAATAAAGACCAGAGTGCAGCAAGGAGGCTTGAGTCATGACTTCCCACCTCCAGGAGACCTGTGGTTCAAGCAGTCGGACATGCCTGATTTCCATCAGTTCCTTCGAACGCCCGAGATGGCTTCCCGAAGCGGCTTCCTCGCCATCACAGGCGACATTGCTGAGCTGGCAGGGCAGCGTGTTCATTTCTTTGATCATGAGCCCCTTGCTGCAGTCAAGCACATACGGGGGCGAAGCTCGGAAGTGCCTCGTTTTGGTGAAGGAGAATTTTGTGACCTGGGAGCCTGTAGTCCCCGCCACAATCTATCAACAGCTCATGCTTTTCCTGAATTCGAATAAATTTGTTTAATCTCCGAATCTACGCGCTTCAACCCTCTCTGTTTCTAATTTTTTCCACATGGGTCCCACCAATTCCCGAAGAAAAAAGCAAGCTTGCAGGGACACGTGGTAAGGTTCGGTGAGGCATGCATCAAACCCAGACTGAAAGACTCGGGAAGAATGTTTGCAAAAGTAGCAGCGCAATCATGACAGCTTTCGGGAAAGTACTATATATAGAGATGACGTAGGGTATTGTTTGCTTTTGTGCGATGCTACGGGTCGCAGGCCTTGCCTCGCCCTGGCGCTGCGCCACAGCTGCAGCTTGCGCCTCTGAGGCAAGCGCGTGGCAAGCGGAGTGCCTTGGCTACGGGCTGTTGCCTTCACTGCAAGTTTATCGAGAAATTAGTCAACATATCGCCGCCTAGTATGCTTGTTTGACTTCATTGAAAGCATATTGAAAGGGCATCAGCTTATGTGGGGCTTTGTATCACAATGTGGACAGCGTGAAATTAGTCTGCAAGTTTGGATTGCGAGAGCTTTCATATACGAAACCTAAAAAATGCAATCTACACTCCTTACATTTTAGTTGTTGGTTTGATTACAGACACGAGAAGTCTCCATATCAGTAAAGAATACAGTCCTACAGTTTCAGGTTGCCCTTAGCTGCTTTGGACCTGATCATTTCTACGTGAGGATTTTTTCTGTAGTCAACCATAGAACTTCTTGCTTTCCGAAGTGACGGGGGTCTAGGCGAGTAGGGATCTATTTTGCCGTTTGCCCGGCACAAGCTTTCCTTTAGATGGTGCTTGGCCACTTTTGTGCACCAGCCGGGTGTGGCATCCCAGTCAAAGGACAGAGAAAAGTTCATTGCCGAGGAACCGAAAAGATGACAGGCAGTGGTAGTGCATCATCAAGTACCGCCACAAAGGGTCCAAAGAAGAAGAAGAAGAAGAAGAAGAAGAAAGGAGCCGCAGCAACTGCGCGAAAGCTTCGGGTAAACCCTAGCCCCTCAGGTGAGCCAGTCCCCGCAGAGTCTTGGGTAGTAGTGGTAGTGGGGTGGCAGTAGTAATAATAGTAGTAGCAGTAGTAGAAGTAGTAGTAGTAGTAGTAGGAGTAGTAGGAGTAGTAGGAGTAGGAGTAGGAGTAGTAGTAGTAGTAATAATAGCAGTTGTAGTAGTAGTAGTAGTAGAAGTAGTAGTAGTAGTAGCAGTGGCAGTGGTAGTGGTAGCGGTAGTGGTAGCGGTAGTGGTAGCGGCAGTAGTGGTAGTAGTGGTAGTAGTGGTAGTACTGGTAGTACTGGTAGTACTGGTAGTACTGGTAGTACTGGTAGTAGTAGTGGTAGTGGTAGTGGTAGTGGTAGTGGTAGTGGTAGTGTAGTGGTGGCAGTGGTAGTAGCAGCAGTAGTGGTAGTAGTGGTAGTAGTGGTAGTAGTGGTAGTGGTAGTGGTAGTAGTGGTGGTAGTGGTGGTAGTGGTAGTAGCGGCAGTAGTGGTAGTAGTAGTAGTAGTGGTATTAGTGGTAGTAGTGGCAGTAGTGGCAGTAGTGGTAGTATTGGTAGTAGTGGTAGTGGTGGTAGTAGTGGTAGTAGTGGTAGTAGTGGTAGTGGTGATAGTAGTGGTAGTAGTGGTAGTAGTGGTAGTAGTGGCAGTGGCAGTGGCAGTGGCAGTGGTGGTGGTGGCGGTGGCGGTGGCGGTGGTGGGAGGGGGTTTGGACACCATTCAGACGAAGCAAAAACACGTAGCGAGAGGACAAGGAACACGTATAAGCCAAGAACAGCAACAGTAACAACCTTCCAATCAGACACGCCGGAAGATTTGCAAATATACACACAGACATACATACATACATACATACACATATCATACACATTTTATATATATATGTGTGTGTGTGTTTTATTTTCAATATATTTATCTTTATATTTTTTATTTTTATTTATTTATTTCTATGTTTTATCTTTTTATTTATTTATTTACTTGTTTATTTTTTTGTTGATTGATTGATTAATTGATTGTTTTATTGATTTATTTACTGATTTATTTTTTATGTGTATATGTATATATTTATATGTATACCATATGGGTTTCTCTGAAAATGGGGCATCCTCAAATGTCGCATGCTCTCCATACAATAACTAGTTTGTGTATGCCTTTTCTTCAGACCTCCCTTTTTGAATAGCATCATCCATCCAGTTCTATGGTGGCGTTCAACTGCGGTGCAGTTGGTGTTTTTGTTATAGTGGATATCACCATAGTTGCAGAGTTTATACTTCATACCCCAACTTGTAAAGGTTACAACCATTGATAAAGCATGATGTAGCTAGAAAACTACTAGCCTCAACCACCCCCAATGGTTGTAACTGCACCCCGTCAAGTTTCCTCATGGTTTCTAGGGTACCAAGCTCTTCCGCCTCTTCCCGCCGCATGCCGCGCCCTTCTTGAAACCACTGGGAGGGTTGTCCGGAAGACCCAGCGGTGGTGATTGCAGGAGTTATTTGCCTTGTTTTATGGCAATTGTCATGGGAAATGATGGTTTAAGCTATTGAGATTCCGGGATACCCCAGTTTCAGACAAACCATTTGTATTTTGCCAAGAAGGAAGGAGATGTGAGGTGATGCAACATGATGCAACGAACAAAAGGTGAGTTTAGAAGCTGCACAGGTGGGTCAATAGTTTGGTGTCCCAAAAGTGAACGGAATCAGCGGTTGGTATCGGTCGTCCTATCCAAAACAAGACAGCTACAATGGGACAATCATGGATTTGGGGAGGATTTCGGTATCCCCATGGTGCGGAGGAAATATCCAACCTTTGACACCCGCCATGGTGATCTCAGGTTTGCGGCTGCTTCCTGCTGGTTGAGCGGAGTGGTCCCTGCCGTCTCTGGGGCGAACGCTGGGCATATCGGGATCTTGTGGCCAAGAAAACATTAAGATATGAGATGAATTGAGATGATATAAACTGTTCAAAAGGTGACAAAAGAATAACAAAAATCCGGATACCACAAAAAGGTTGGAATTTCTTCACCAACAAATATGGGAGATGGCAGGGGATGGCAGCGAAACGAATGTAATTAAGGGATCCGGAGATCCCATGTACTCTGGAGATTTTTGGGGTGTTCTTCCCAGGGCGGTAGCAAAGGCAGTACTATCCAAGCGATAACCGGAGAGTTGTCATATTTCCCGAAATTCTGGATGTTTTTTTGGGGTATGTCAGGGATATATAGGGGCCAAAATAACCGAAACGTGAATTATGCAAATTATTTGACTCTATTTGACTTGAAGTACCCAGATGTTTGGGAGGGTATTAAGTTAACATGTACAGTTTTTGTTGGTTTGTTTCAAAAAAACTACCCGCAAATCCATTGTTTCATCATCTTCCGATGTTGCACAACTGCAGGTAGATTCCAGCTTCAGACCACATTATATCCCCATGTGGGTTTGCCTGAAATAGGCTACCCCGCATCCCATATTCTACCATCGTTTTACCGAAAAAAAAAATAAGCCTTTTTCGGGTGTACCCCATTGACACATCCATTTATTGGTAGTTACCCTGGTAAACTAAGATACTGGAAAATCACCATGTCAAACATGTAAATCAACGATTTCTATGGGCCATTTTCAATAGCTATATAACAAATTCCGAGAGGGTAACTGCCAATGTCAATATCCCATGTTAGATGGTTAGATCCCTATTCATCACCATTATAATCCCATGAACCATCATGTTAAATCACCAATAACATAGCTGGTTGGTGGTTTCAAACATGTTTTATTTTCCGTTTCTTATATGGGATGTCATCCTTCCCATTGACGAACTCATATTTTTCAAGCTGGTTAAAACCACCAGCCAGCAAGATGGTTAAAATCACCATTCGTAATGGGAAAACTCACTATATCTCACTATAAATGGCCATTTTCAATAGCTGGTTAAAACCACCAACCAGATAGTAACTGCCCATGTTTGCTACTGAAACACCATGGGATTTTCCCAGGTCTACTGCGCCAGGGATGCCTTCGCCACGTTGCCCGAAGGCACCCCTGAGCCGCTGGATTTGGAGCTAAAGCCAGGCCGTTTGAACGCTGGAATTGGGGCCCGGTTGAATTTGGAAATATCCTCTGGTAATTTGACATAGCTATTGAAAATTGTTTTTCAGGGCTCAGAAAGTGCTTTGTCAGTTGGCTCGCTTACCCTCTGGTTTTTAACATAACTATGGAAAATCACCATTTATAGTGAGTTTTCCCAGCTACAAAATGGTGATTTTCCATAGCTATGTTAGTTTACCAGAGGGTATCCAATAAAATCATGGATATTTCTCAAAATTTGATCATCTGTTGTTTCAGGATAATCACTAAGCCGCTAATTTTGTTCATATATTTTTGGAAAAATCACATCCACATTTATTTACATGATTTTCCACATGAAATATCCGGAAAATATGGATTTTCCGCATGAAATATCCTTTTTTATACTTGATCTGGGTAGGGTATCTATTGAAATCCCATTCAAAAAAAACCCAGTGGGGAAATCATGGCTGGAGGTGATGCACTATACCTGCCGTGTGGCTGGTGGCATGCTGTGGTGGGATCCAAGGCGGGTGCCCACTATGGTTTAGAGTGTAATATCATGAGTCATTGACAATATCAACTATGCTTATGATGAATATATGATGAATACCAAAGTCCAAAATTTGGGTGAGTATCATGAGTTTTGCGGATGGTGACGCTCGTTTCACTTCATCGTGCCAGAGGGTCTCAATGGAATGAACCAGATTTTTTCAGATTGGAGACACATCAAGCTCGGATCGTTGCATCCAAATGTGTAGTGAGTGGCGCGCAGACTCTGCCAATTGGCCTGTTTCATTCTTGAGTCTTTATTCGAAAGCAGGGAGAGGCCAAAGTTTTCACATCCCAAAACTTCCAGATTTCCAATGGCACCATCTGTGAGGCGATTCGGCGTCGTTTTTTTTAAGTACCAGGATTGATCCATAGTGATCCATCATGAGGAATATAGTGATCCATATGATCCATGAAAATGATCAAAAAACATCAAGATGCATAGTGAATCATTTTATGACGTTTTTAGAGATCTTGATATATCTTGATAAAGACACTCTAGCCACTAGCAGTTACTAGCCAGAAGGTGCTTTGTATCCTTAGCGGTCCTTTTTTGGAGCCATGTTGAGCGAACGGGATCAACGATCAGGAGCCAAACATGGCCATTGTCTTCGGATATGCTGGGAGCTAAGCCACAAATCTCGATCCAGCAGATCATCAGTGTGCTCTTTCGCAGTTTCAGCTAGCTCTATGTATAGCTCGGTGTGATCTTGGTCCATATCATCCATATCCCGGGTTTGATTATATGCCCAAAGTGTCGGGAGAAACTTTTGCATAGATACACACATTGTAAACTATGGAGTCGACAAATATAGTACTATATATATATATACACACGTGTGTGTGTGTGTTTTAGTGGAACATTCTGCAGCCATACATTGCATGCATACCAATCCGAATGCTGAGTACCGTACCATCCCCCAAAATCAGAGACCCTGAGAATTACCTATGTCTGTCACTGAGGCACCCAGTGAGACAAAGGGCGCTCGCTACTTTGGTGCACAACCGCAACGGCCACCAGAGCTGAAAATGGCGTGCGAAGGAAACGGCGCTCCAACGTCGCCAGGTAGCAACATATCACTAGGTCAACCTGGGATGGATAGTTTAATCATGTCACATCCTTTCTTTTGGTGGGAATAATAGGGATATTTATCAAATTTATCAAGAGATTCACCTAGCCAAATAGCCCATTTTTTGTGGCCTAAGATTGGCGGAGAGATCTCCTTCACCTCGAGATGATGGCCACTGGGCCACTGGGCATCCCGGCTCGCAGAACACGCAGGCAGCAAATCTGTGCACTCGCTCCATGTTTCTGCATCGCTGCAACCAAAAGAGGAAGGATTCGCTCCCAAACTTGGACATCAAAAGAATATGGAGATTGCCATGGGTTGCCATGGATTGCCATGGTTATAGCTGCTATATATATTTTGCCATGGCATGACATGAAATCAAAGTCAAATCTACTGATGTCGGATCCCTTGCTGCCATGACGGATTCCGCAACTGAGCTGGTCAAGAGTTGGTGTTGTGGACAGAGGCTTGATGAAAAAAGCAGCCCAAAATAGATAGAAAAGTGGGAACACCATGGAACACCGGGAAATCTATACCATAACCATCCTGGAAACGGTTTTCTATCTTTTTGGGTATTAAATACTATAAAACTATAAGTCAGATCCACTGGTTGAGAAAGTAATTTCGAAACTAAATGACCATAACTGAGGGGTAGGGGGCCCGTTTACAGACACATCCATATGAAGATCCAATACGATCCATTCAGATCAAGCAACCCCTCGAAATCATCATAAATCTCTTGGTTGTATAGAACTTGCCGCGAAGACAAACTATCCCCTGGAAGTGAAAATCAACTGATTGTCGCGCTCCATCTCTGGAAGAAACACTACCCAACATGGCAATCAAGTGAACATGAAAATCAGCAAACCCGGGCCATCTCCCATCGTCACCTCAGGCTAGGCCGACGTTGCTGGAGGCGGGGTCAGATTCAGGGCACTGATCAGCATGGAACGGGCTGGTACTCAGGGCCCCGGTGACGGTCATCGCATGTTGCGACTGGGCCTTCCAGTTTGGTCATTGCGATGTTCAGCAACCGCCCCAATACCTGCAGGAGCGTCGGCGTGGATACCAAAAAGGATCTGCTTCGACGCATCTTGGCTGGGTGTGACATGGTGTGACGGTTGAAAAGTCACTAACCACAAAAACAGATCAAAAAAAACATATTTGCCTCACGGCACTTGGCTTTAACTTTTCTAGAAAAGATATGATTATGATATATTATGATGTTTTCTTTGCAGCCAGGAAAAAAATCTTGGAAGGGGGGTTAGAATCTGTTAGAATCTGGCACCATTTTGCATCAGTTTGCAATTTAGCCATGTTCGGGAAACTGGGGCGGCCCTTTTAGCAACAGGGAGACAGTCATCATACCATTTGGGACTTACATACACACCAGATATGATCATATAGATACATATTCATATGTTTTTATGTGCTCATTACATATGATTACAATATATATATATACATATACATGCAAATTTCACCAATGTATATACATATCCAGTTTCCCTATGCTTAGGAAGTTTCTTCATATGTCTTTGCTTCACATGTTTAAAATCTAGGACGTGATCGGAACGTATCAGATGGGTTTCATTTGGCAACGCTGACTGCCACTGAGGTCATCTTCCACGTCATCTACCACCACATCATCAAAGGCGTTCCAATGTGGCCGTTCAGCAGTGCTTCCATCATCATCAAACTTGAGTGCTAGCTTCAAACAGTCTATCATCATCATCATCGTCGTCATCATCATCATCATCGTCGTCATCATCATCATCATCATCTTCATCATCATCGTCATCATCATCATCATCGTCGTCGTCGTCATCATCATCAGCATTAAAAACAACTATTAATAATCATAATGGTCGCTATGTCTATCATTACTTTCATAGAATTGGATGATGGGGAAATTTACAGGAAACCCCTATTTTTGATGGTAAAAACCATGGTTTCCTGTAGATTTTCCCTTAAACCAATCAATTGATACTTGGTTATCATCACATCGAAAATTGCCTGAGCTCAATCCCGGGTCCCAACCAGTCGTCCCAGGCCTTCCATGGAAATTTCCAGGAGCGTCAGGAGGCGAGGCTCCGGGTGGGAAAACATGGGGAAACTCATTGGAAAACCCCGGGAAAACCATGGGAGGTGTTGGGAAAAAACCATGAAAAAACCATTTGAAAACCATGGGAAAACTCGACCTTCCAAATGGCTATGTTTCGGGAAAATCGGATGTTTGTATCCATGGGATTTGGTGGAAACCAAGATTGAAGAAGCATGGGATGCCAGCTGATATTGAGCACCGGGATTAGCCGTGGAAGATTTTAGGAAGACCAGCCCTACAACAAATCGACCCTGCTGAAAAAATTCGCTTTGCAGACGACTTCCCTCTCAAAATAGCTGATTATCTCTAGGTCGACTTCACTTGGAGGAATGGTATCTTACAGACTCTACACTAATTACAAGTTAATCACAGATTTTTGGGAACATGTGTATGGCCCATTTCCGGCATGAAAATCATGTTTGAGTCCATTGTTGCTGAGATTGGCTTTTCCGAGACAGCTCGGACACTGAGTCGGCGGCCACATGTAAAATGGTGCCGTGTGAGTTACTGAAAATTGTGCCTCTTTGAGTTGTGGTCAAAGAATATGTAGCAATCATGAATATGTTCGAAATGTATTCCCCAAGGCATCCATGTTTTTTCCTGGGCATCCATGCCAGCAAGCATCCAAGTGTAAATCACACATATGTTGTGACTTAAATCTTAAAAGCCGTAGTTCCTGCTTTTCACTGACCCTTGTGACCCAAGGGTGTCCATGAAGTTGTCCTTGAAACCGTGCATCATTCAAGCAAGAAACACGTGTTTTCAACGTTGATGGATGTTGATGGTCAAAGTCTCCCATTGGCCCATTGGCGCTCCCCAAAAAGAATCAAACAGATACCCGGCCTGGTAAACATAGATATATAGCTATTGAAAATGGCCCAGTCGAAATAGTGGATTTACCCATTGATAGCATGGTGATTTTCCATAACTATGCTAGTTTACCAGAGGGTAACCGTTTCTCAATTTAAGTCATTGAATTCTCATATGGGTACCCTCCGATTCCGATAAGCAAACGTGGCCTGCTGGAAAACCATCCATTTATAGATCAACATTTCCCATGAAACCTCCATTTACTTTGGTTTTTTCATGGTTTTTCCACAATTCCTATGGTTTTCCCGGGTTTTCCCATGATTTTCCCAGGTGTTTCCATAGTTTTCCCATGGTTTTCCAATGGTTTTTGTCGGGGATTTCCCAGCTGCTAGGCTTTGTTGGTGAAGCAGCGCCGCGGCAATGCCACGCGCGCCTCGCGTTCGGCGGTGCCTATGGAGGAGATGCAGGCGGAACCCATCGGTTGTTCAATGGAGTTTTTGAGGTAATGTGGGTAAACCATCTATTTCAAGCAAGGGTAATCATCCCAAGCATATTGCCATTGGTTGATGAATTACTCTCTGGTTATTTAACATAGCAATGGTATAGATGGTCCATTATAGATGGCTCACCTATTAATAGCATGGTGATTTTCCATGGCTATGTTAAAGAACCAGATGGTAATGTGGGTAAAACAATAATAACGGTGGGACATTGGTATAAATGGATAAAATTTCATCAGTTTGTCTTGATACGTTTATAATTAATATATACAATATGTATGTATGCACAGTATACACAATTTTGTATTTACATATAGTCTTAATGGTGGACATAATATCCTGATAACGGGGGAGATATATCGACCAGCTGACGGATAAGATTGGTACAAGAACCAACCAGTTGGGGATTCCATTGGGGGTTTCCTGATTCAAATCTAATGGGGATCTATCTGGGGCTTTCCTGAAATAGTGGTAGAAATTACCCTCTGGTTATGACTAACATAGCCATGGTATAGATGGTCCATAGAAATAGATGGTTTACCGAACTTAAAAATGGGTGGATTTTCCAGGGCTATGTTAAATAACCAGAGGGTATCCATTTAGATTTGTTTTTTTTCCATGCAAAATCAATTTTTGGGATTCCCCATTTATGGAAACCCCATTTGTGGTAATCCAGTATAATGTGGGTAAAACATGGTAAAACAATCATAAATTATCCCCCGGTCATCACCATTTTGATAGGTGGTATGTTTACCATTCCCAGTCATTGGTGGTTTATAACAATGTTTTAACCACATTATAGGGTATAAGGATGATTTATTTAGTATCAAATGAAATGATGTTGACACCAGTATATGATAAGATATGTATCATTGTTTTTACTATTATTAATATCTTTTTTAATATTATCATTGCCATTATTATAATATACAAATGTAGATGGATATAGATGGGTAGAAAAGGACTTTTCTACGACATGAAGATTCTCAAGTTGCCAGGATCAGGGCAGTGGCACAGCTCATCGCTGTCTCCTGGTTCATCTGATTGTCTACTGATAATCCGTGATAGGTAATATTGATAGATAGTAATCTTCGTGATAATATTGAAGATAGATAGTGACAATATTGATCAAAATAGTAATATTCTGTATTTCATATTCCTACTAATAAGTAGATTGATAGTTAATCTGATTACTGTATGAGCAAGTGTTACTGTATCGTTATTATCTCTGTTCTTTGCTAGGGGCTATTTACTCTAAGCTTCTATGGAGCATGTTGATAACATGTTGCGTTTCTTGTGTTTATATTAACCACCCAATATTCACTCCTATGCAAGATAAATCAGACAGGTGGACAGGTGGACAGGTGGACAGGTGGACAGGTAGATTAGATAGATAGATAGATAGATAGATAGATAGATAGATCGATAGATAGATAGATCGATCGATCGATCGATAGATAGATAGATAGACCAGATAGACCAGATAGACCAGATAGACCAGATAGATCAGATAGACCGGATAGATTAGTAAGATAGATCAGATAGATCCGATAGATCCGATAGAACAGGTAGATCAGATAGAGCAGTGGCAGATGGACACATAGCTCCGTTGCAACAGGAGGATCTTGAAGGAAGCGACTTTCACTCCATCACCCGATCGCTTTGACATCGCAACATCAGGACTTTTCACCTTTCCTATAGGTTTCCTATCGTTCGAAGCTTCCGCCACCGCCTCGTGCGGTACTACTTGTAACATCTCTGCAAATCCAACACTTGCGGTGACACTTTCACAAATATCATTTGACATCCATTTTCCAAGAGTGAGCGATGTCGTTCGGCAGAGCCCCCCGCTTCCAGAGAAGCGGCTCTGCCGGGCCTGGTCCAGCGGCGTACACCACAATCAAGAGCTTCAGTGGGCCATGTTACTCCTTCGGCCCTGCCTATCTGTATAATTCTAGACCCCTTAAATTGGACCCGCCCTGATCTGATTCACATCGAAGGAGATCGTGGACGGGACCGTCCACGAGATCCTCCGTGTCCGCCGCGTCAAGAAGCGGCTGGGGAAGGCAGCTCGGCGGTGCTTGAAAGTCGTGCGCCGGCACCACGCCCCGAGTGCGTGGCCGAAAAGGATGGCCCGCCTCGTGCGGGAATTGGTGGCGCACTTGGAGGCGTAGGCCGGGGAGTGCAGCTGGGGCCCGGGATACCCCAAGGCACACCGCCTCGAAAGATGAGGCCAAAGTTGCCGCGAAAGATCCGCAAGCTCGAGATGGGGAAGTCACAGAAAATTTCACAGCCTTCAGAGCCATCACAGCCAGCACAGCCATCGCAGCCTGAGCCTTCACAGCCAGCACAGCCATCGCAGCCAGAGTCATCACAGCCGTTTGCAGAGAAGGAATTGGCACGGGTTCACCTCAACAGTCTTACCATTGGAGAGGAACTCGGACGAGGTGGACTAGCAGTGGTTGTGAATGCGATGTATCAGGGACAACGCATGGCAGCCAAACTTTGGAGGCCTCGCGAGAAGATGCTGCCGACACAAGAACTCGAGGACAGAATGTCCCTCCTCAAAGAGGCGGAGTTTCTCAACGTCCTGCGACACCCTAATGTTGTCGAAATTGCCGCTGTTGTGCAAAATGAGGGTTTAGTGGACGGCATCCTGTTGGAGGTGCTTGGTCCCTCACTGCAGGCGGAAGCCAGCAATTTACAGTTCGCGCCCGATTTAAAGGCTGCTCTCAGGGATGTCTCCAGCGCTTTGGTCTTTATGCATTCACTGTTGATTGCACATAATGACCTGAGAGCGCAGAACGTCGCTGTTAGTTTCAATCAACCTCCGATTTTCAAAGTGATTGACATGGATGCATGGCTGAAAGTGGCAAATGAATCAACGCCTTGTTTCTTTTCACCTGGCACCCGGGTGGGGTGCTGCCCCTATGCGGAGCAAGCCAACTGGCACTTCCCACTTAAGAGTGACGCCTACGCGGTTGGCCGCATGCTTTCAGACTTGCTGCTGGAAATGGCCCAAATGCATCATGCAATGCGCACTTTGGCTGCTTCGCTGCCAAGTATTGCAAGTGTCATTTCTGCCGTTCGGCCGCTGCTCCGACGCCGCGAAGACCGGGGAAGTCTTGCCAAAGTCCCGCCTTCAAGAGAGAAATAGAAAAGGAGGAGAGGGCAAGAGGGCAAGAGGAGAAGATGTGAAGATGAGAAGATGTGAAGATGGGAAGATGAGGAGAAGATGTGAGGATGTGAGAAGATGTGAAGATGAGAAGATGAGGAGAAGATGTGAAGAGGAGAAGATGCGAAGATGAGAAGATGAGGAGAAGATGTGAAGATGAGAAGATGTGAAGATGAGAAGATGTGAAGATGAGAAGATGTGAAGATGAGGAGAAGATCTGAGGATGAGAAGATGTGAAGATGAGAAGATGTGAAGATGAGAAGATGTGAAGATGAGAAGATGTGAAGATGAGAAGATGTGAAGAGGAGAAGATGTGAAGATGAGAAGATGAGGAGAAGATGTGAGGATGAGAAGATGTGAGGATGAGAAGATTTGAAGATGAGAAGATGTGAAGATGAGAAGATCTGAAGATGAGAAGATGTGAGGATGAGAAGATGTGAAGATCAGAAGATGTTTTACAGAGCCCCACTATTGGAAGAACCTTGCGCTCAGACGCTCTCGGGAGAAACATCCCCGTGGAGAAAAAAAACCGAGCAAAAAAAGCAAAAAAACTAAAAAACAATTTTCCAGAGGTCCTGGAAATGGAAAAGGTAACGCCAGAGTCTCAGAATATTGTTTTTTTTGGTTTTCTCGAGGTTTTTTGTGTTTTGCCCTTTTCTGCTACCGAGGACCTCTGGAAAATTGGGTTTATTTTTTTTTGTGGTTTTCTCGAGTTTTTGTGGTCTGAATTTGAACAAAATCGACATTTGTGAAATGATTAGTGCATGCTTCAAAGAACAAATGTTAGTGTCTATCTACTTGGTTTCATGAAATAAAGTGCATTTTTGTGATGAACACCTGCATTCTTCAAGGATTAGCGCGCGGTTTAAAGGCAAATTATGTAACCCAAACAAAGTACATTCTTTCAATTCTATGCTGTAGTCTACATGCATATAGGTATATCAAAAAACAATGCTTCTCCCAAGTGAAGTACAGATTTCTTCTTCGGAGTTTCTTTTTGAATGAACCCGTGCATATTGCACAGGAATATTCTTAATTACATTCGTGTCTTGTTAAGGTGGTGTTTTAATTTTCTGAGGAATGATGCATGGTTTGAAAACACATGCTTTTATTGAATAAAACTTGTTTTTCTGCTGAACACACCTGCATTCTTAAAGGAATCGTATGTTTCAATGACACAATTAAAGAAAGTGCATTCTTTGAATCAGATGCTGTAGTGTTCAAGCAACTGGGTATTTTGCATGAAAATAATGCTTTCCTAAAGTAGAGTGCAGCGTTTTTTCTTTAAATAAAGCTTCTTTATAAAAGAACCTGTGCATATTGCAAAGGATTTTTTCTTATGTACATCTATTTCTTGTAAAGTGATGCTTTATATGCTTTATCAAATAAAGTGCATCTTTCTTGTGTAAACGAATCATGCGTGGTTCAAGGCAAGTTTTGTAACTCAAACAAAGTGCAATCTTCTGATCAGATGCCGTAGTGTTCAAGCGACTGGATATATTTGAAAAAAATGCTTCCCAAAAATACAGTGCACATCTCTTCTTCAAAGTATTTTTTAAAATGATCCCGTGCATATTGCGCTGGAGTTTTTCTTGACTACAGAATTCTGTTTCTAAGTAGTGCTTTTATTGTGGAGTGATACATGGTTTAAAGACATGTGTTTTTATCGAATGAAGTTCTTTTTTCTAATAAGATTCTGCATTCTTGAATTGGAATTCAAACATCATCTCAAGCATATATATGTTCACTTCACCACTCCCTCCCTCCCAAAGAGCTATATTTTTTGTGGCCTTCTTAGATTTGATCAAGAATGCATTATGAAGAGATGCATTTTTGTTATTTAATGGTGTGTGAAGGACACTAGGGGATCCTGAAAATATGAGTTTTGGAGGGGGGGCTAGCATATATATATATATATCAAGTTCATGTATTTTCTTTTCGCTGGATCTCTTGCGGGATTCTTGCGGGTGACATCAATGACGTTCGCCACCAGCAGAGGCAATTTGGATCCAAGTGTTCTGTTTTGTTACAAGCATGAGGCCCACTGCAGCGTGCTGGTGCATTCGCAGCGGCGTCTCCAACTCAACTGAAGCCGAGAAGGGCTGATATTGCATCATGTTATCGATTGTTTGGTTGGCTCTTCAGAGGATTGGTCTGACTCATCACCCTGAATCCTGGTGTCACCTCTTCCAGTGGGCATGACAACGTGGCACACCAGGAGGACGGCGCTTTTTGCACCAGTCTGTCTATGGCACGGACTGTTTGGTAGTTTTCGGCTCAAAACTCCGCGCATCTTTTCAGCTGAAGAACGGTTTGATCAAATCTGCCATGGCCATTGCAATTCTTCGTGCTTGGATTGATCCTTGGTCAAGCAGTGGCCGCAATGAGCAAGAGAGACCAGGGGGGCTTTGCCATGTTTTGTGAATGATGCTCCTATTTAATCCGATTTATGCGTGTAATATTTCCGTATTTCAGTGTCTTCAGGACTTGGTGGCCTCTATTTCCACCCTCTTCTGGGGCAAGCCATCAGTTGGCAATAAAGCTCGCAAGCTTGCGCAACTTCGAGCCAGGAACTTAGCAGTTTCCACTTAGAATGCCCTGTGCTCACATGTGCTCACTACCTCACCATTTTAGCTGAGCAACTTGTAGTTAAGTAACGAACAGATTCAACTGACCAAGTCCAACTGACTAAGTCCAACAGGTTCACCATCTACTTGCCCAACTTGACCAACAGCCACCAAGGACCGACTACCAGAAACCTAACCAAAGAAGGATTCCCCGTGCCCAGCCACAGCCGGTGCGATCCTGAGAAGGTCAGCGGAAGTTGCCGTGCAACTTCAAGTCGCAATGGCCAGGTGATCATCGAAACCCCAGATGGCTCAGGCGGCACATGCCTGCAGGGACCTCAGCATGATTTCCGTGGCATCCAGCACCATTGCATGTGCGATGAGGCCGCCATTGCCTTTGTATGTGGACGGCGACGGTGATTATGCCCATGAGTTCTGGGCAGAGGACGAGGCAGGTATGGAGGATAATGCGCGGTGCGAGTACATGTGTGAAGACTGCCTGCAGGCTGGACTTCTCTTTCGCACCTCTCCCTTAGGCACTTCGGGCCGCGCATCGCACCATTGTGGAAATCAGGGTTGAAAACTTCTTTGTCGCACCATTGCCTTGCACAGTGATGCTAAGAATTGCGGCAAATATCAGCCTTTAATGGTAACCTTGCCCGTGCATGCATTCCACCAGATTTGGATTTATCACTGCCAAATTCAACTTTCCGCATTGCTTTGCTGCATTTGGATGGTTTCTGCAGAAGGCAGCCAACCTTTGCTTCTCCGCAGTGATGGCAGGGCTGTTGCCATTGGACGCAGTGTGGAGGGACAATGCAACATCCCAACTTTGGATGAGGGGCTGACATACACCCATATTTCTTCAAGATGTTTTCATTCCGTGCTTCTCAGGAGTGATCGGACGCAAAGGGAGGGACAATGCGACATTCCACTGCCAGAGGTGGGAATGGGCTACATTGATCTACATTGGCGATATGGCATGTGGCAGAGATTTGGCGCTACAATTCAAGCTTATGGACGAGGAAGATGAAGTCACGCTGGTTTGTTCGACTTTAGCTGAGGAAGAATGCTGTCATTTGATCACATGGGGCGTTGATTCGGCCTGGGAGACGCACAAAAGTCTGCTGCAAGAATCCATTGGCCTCAGTTGCTGAAGTGGTGCAAAGTAACTCAAATAGTTTCTGAGCCACAGCCATCACGCACACGGATCCTCACATTTATAGCCAAAATTTAGCTAGATGTGTAGAAGTATAATCACTTTGGTGGATTGAATATCATTGAGGTGGTGCTTAAAATCATGTTCACTTGGGCTGTTCTCTTTTTGTTCCGCAAAAGGTGATGCTCACGACAGAAAACGATCCCTGATGGCATTCTGGTGCAGATGAAGTGGTATGGAGTCGATGCGATTGATACCCTAAGAGATTTCAGAATTCATGACATGGAGGTTTTCCATAAATGGGGGATCCCAAAAATGGATGCTTTGATATGCTTTGTAAGGGAAAAATCCCCATCTAAACGGATGATTTCTAGGAAACCCCCAAAAGAATACCCGATTTGAACAGTATCCCCATGAAATCCCCAGGTTGGTTCTTGTACCAATCTTATCCGTCAGCTGGTCAATATATCTCCCCCGTTATCAGGATACTATGTCCACCATTAGGACTATATGTATATACATAATTGTGTATACTGTGTATACATACATACTGTATATATTAATTGTAAACGTATCAAAACAAACTGATGAAATTTTATCCATTTATACCAATGCCCCAAGTTTAATGGTTTAGAACCCGCTATTGAACCCATCAATGTCGGTTACAATGCCATTCTTTCCTCTTTGCTATCCAAGTATGTGCGCAGAAATTGCCTCCAATTAAGGATGATCATCCACACCTCCGAACGTAGACCAGTTTTTGGTCGCACTTTGGGGTTGTCTCAAAAATTTGGAACATCAAAAGACTTTGAACCGTCTGCAGTTTATGTTTATGTTTCCTATCCAGAATGACCATTGTGGGGTACAACGAAGATCCTTTGGTTCAAAGTCATGAGGAACGATTTGCACCCTTACATACTGTAAAACGGTGTTATATTAATGATGTTTGCAAGTATGAAACAAATAATTGCAACTGCGAGAAACAACATTCAGATTAGTTTGTATAAGAACATACAAGTCTGAGTATATTACGTCCCTACAAAACACTTGGGGTTGTCCCCATAATTATTTGATTGTCTTGATTATATCACATACATCCCATATATTCCATATGTTATCCCTATTTTGTATCTATATCCCAAATTTGAATCCCTTTTGAATAGGTGCTTTGCTTAATTCTTAATGTAATGTAATGTAGTGTAATGCAGTGCAATGCAATGCAATGTACTGTAATGTAATGAATGTTTATGTATATTTTATATATGTAGATGGGTATGTATTTACATACATACATACATACCTACCTACCTACATACATACATACATACATAGAATATGTATATATACAATATACTCACCATTTTGTTTTTGTGATATGTCCCAAATAATATTATGATTATGTCCGTTACATCCCAACAGAACCTTGTTTACTATAATCACATATACATCCCATTTTATCCACCTATATCGCGATACAATATGTTATAGGGACATATCCCATATTATCAAACCTATAATCCCGTTATACCCATATTGTGTGGGTAAAACAATGCCATAAACCATCCCCCAAATGACCATTTTTGCTGGTATAAACAATTCCCAGTCATGGGTGGTTTATGGCATTGTTTTACCCACATTAATGGGATTATCATGGGATAACAATGGGATTATCTTGGGATATCATTGGAATATTATATATATATATACCCACATTAGTTTGGTTTGTCACTGGTCATGCTGCTGTTTGCCGCAGGCAGAAGGCGACGAGTTACGCTCCGCCGCCGGCAGCGTGTGCAGTCGCGAGCTCAGCTTGCGTGCAACGTCAAAAATCATCACGTCGTCGTGGACTTGGGATTGGGGGATGACTTTACAACCTGGGACAACATGGGAAAAAAAGGGCACAATGTAGAAAAGTAGGATTGTTTTTTTTTCGGAATCTATGGTTTCTTTCATGGAGTGATGGGAACTGGACTGGAGAAACCATCTCAACATGCAAAAATTTGTCCTATGCTTAAGCTGACTTATATTCTACATGTAAAAATGATCAGTTCCCAAAGATATATGCATGGGTCCTCATTCCAGTCGGAAGAGTATATAGAAAGATCGTTTTGGTGCCTGAACTTTGGGAAGTCCTCAAGTTTCTTCAAACCCATGGACATGTTGTATCCCACTAAAAAATATTTATTTAAAGCCACCCTGATTAAAAAAGAAAAGTCACTTACTTCTCCTAGAACTTTACTTTTCATTTTTGTTGGGTGCTGCTATACTATATAATGTGTATATATAAATATTTATCATAGATGATATAAATAATACAATACAATATATTGTATTGTATTATATTATATTTTATTATATTATATTGTATTTTTATATAATAATATAATATAATACAAAAAATACAATATAATATAATACAATACAATACAATATAATATAATATAATTTAGTACAATATAATATAATTTAATGTAATATAGTATAATATCATATTATGTAATATAAAATAATATCATATCATATCATATTATTTAATATAATATAATATAATAATATAATATAATAAATAATATAATATAATACAATATAATATAATAACATAATATAATATAATATATATGGTGTCAAAGGAATGTAGGCGCAGCGTCTAGGTAGCATGTAGATACAACACACAGCATGCTTTGACCTTGTGAGCCTAACGCAACGTTGGCTCAAGACGCTGCCGATCGTATGGAAAAGTACATGGCGCGGCTGCTGCGCTGAACGCCGACTGGTTGGGCTTGCGCACTTCTTCCAGTGGGGAATTACCATATCATAGAGCTATCAGTTAATACCCGGAACAGGGGTCATTCTGTTCGCAGGTTATCAGCCGTATAGCCTTTGGTAGTCCCGCGACGCGGGATCCACTGGCATACATGCTGCAGCTCAACTCCTTGAAGAAGATCGACCGTTGAATCCTATCCGGTCAATTTCGCATCGTGAAGATGCACAGCAGCAGCGCGGACACGTCCTACACGTTCGGCGACAACACTGTTGCAGTTGCCGATGGTGGAAATCAGTCATCACCTGGCACTGGTGACAGTGGTACTGCCATGGAATGGAACAACATATCTTCCAGAGGCAGAAGCTCAGCGAGCAACAGATCGTCGACGGCAACGTCGGAACGAGATCAGCAACAACATCGCGGACAGCGAACATCGAGAAGATCTACTACACGATCTGGAACACCCAAAGCCATCCATGATCGACCATCCAGGACTGGGGAAACTTCAGGGAAACATCCAAAGAGGACTGGGGAATCTAGTCATGTTGAGGCAAAAGGCGGCATGGATGATGCATATAATGAAATCCTAGAGTATCAGGGCTTCTACGACGTCGAACTCATGCAGAATCAATTGTTGGAGGAACAAGTAGAAAGACTAGAAGGAGTCGTTGAGTCAAAGAGCAAAGTCATTGATGATATCGAAGTGAAATTCACCGAGTACCTCAGAGGATACAATGACAATGTCAACAGCGAAATCAGTGTACGGAACGAGATGCGTAGTCAGTCAGCAACTGAATTAAGAGAATACCAAGTAGAACTCAGGGTTGCTGCCCAAGACGACGAAGGTTCCACAATGCGCATCGAAGAGCTGGAGCGCAGAAAGGATCTGGCGGAGAGTGTCGCTCAAAGGATCTTCGACAAGGGCATGATCATGAGGGAAGAGTACCAGGACCAAGTTCAGAGCCTTCAAGGACTGTTGGGCAATACCGAGCAAAGAATCAGACAAAGGGAACTTCCTGTAGCAAAATTTAGCCGACCTTTCTGCGGTGCACTGACAGTTGCTGTCTTTCGGCAGCCATGTCTTGGCAGCCATTTTAACGCATTTCATCGCCGCAGCTTTTGCAGCAGCAGCAGCAACGGCAGCAGCAGCAGCCAACAACGTGGATTTTTACTGGTGATTGAATAAATACCTTGGGGAGCAGGGACCAAAAATCTGATAGGCAATTTCATAAGGGTTTTGAGTATCACTCATACGGTTCTAGTTCTAGTCATCATCAAATATATCGCGACTGACTGGCTATTTACTTGCTTTATTAAATCAACAAGGTTTTTCACCGTTACATGAGTTTGTCTGAACATTGAGCAGCCCTAAATCCAACATCCCCATACTCAATAGATATTACTCGGGGTATCTTGGGGTATACCACATTTTCAAACAATATTGGGGCTGACCATTGCAGAGAGGTTGACACCAGCAAAAACACCGGATATATAGTTGATGGTTGGTGAATATATCCCACCCAGCTTGTTAGTTTTTCAGAAGTCAAGTTTCTCCACATGTGAGGTATGTGTAGTCAATTCTGCAGTCATGGACGGGGAAATCATAGATTCCATAAAATATCTCCCTTCAAGTTTGAAAAAACGAACTTCAAGTAAGAAACCCCTGGTCTGTTTTTAGGTTAACCGGAGTCCAGGTGTTTAATTTATGGACAAAGTTGACAGGTTATATGGTCAAGTGCAAACATATATATATATAGTTTTCTTTCAGCTCTTCGCAGAGATAAAATCCACTGCTGCATGTCCAGCTGCAAAATATTTTAATCATTGCAGGCTGCATGGAGTCCCTTCTGGCCAAAGCAGCTGCGCTTTTTGCAGGCCCTGGTGATCCGGTTCTTTTGAGAGGATGTGCAAGCTGCCAACGGATCTTGTTGATTTTGTTGATGCAAAAACAGGCGCAATCACACGGTGATGGGTACACATGTGCTCTGGGCAAGACATGGGGTCAAAGCTAGACAAGGATTTGGCAGGACTCGGGCTGGCAGGATTCTGGCTCCCAGCGGGACCATGACAACCAACGACCAAAGAAAGTTCGGAAGCACGGCGGTAATTGGGGGTTGCATTCAAGTGAGTTCTAGAATGACCAGACTTTGAAGCACTTTAGAACATGTGGTGGTTAAACCTGCAAACAGCTTGCTTGCCATGGATGCTGGGCTGCAGGGTGCACATCTATGCCCGTATCAAACCCGATCACTTTTCCAGTGGCTTGGCGGCCTACCAATACCGAGCACGTGGTTTGCCTACATCCTGCAGGCAACAGTCATAGTCCAAACGGCAAAGGTGCTTGGGCCTCCAAAGGAATTGGGGCTGGTTGCTTTGTTTCTTGCTTTGAAGCTGCACCTGGGCGATTCTGCTCCAAGCCGACAAGAGACCATGAGTTTAGACCAAGGCATCCGCCTGTCTCACGGTCGCTTTATCACTCTCGAACGGAAGGTGGTGCTGAGTGCAACATCCTTTTTCTGCAATGCTTCAAAAGTGCGGGAAATATGTTTCAGCTTTGTTCGTGTCCAGGCGAGCTACACTTCCAGCAAAATGGGTGTCTATAGCACCAAGCTTTTGGCAAGACTGGAAGATTGCGAGCAAAGAAAGATGGTGGGTTCTCTGCTGCAGAAAAACGGAAGACTTCGAATTGGCACTGCGTGCTCCGGATCTGATGCGCCTGTCATGGTGGTTAAGTCTTTGGTGTCGCTTTTTCAAACCCATATTGCAGCCAACCCATCAATTTATGGAAGCATACCGCTTGCCGTCGACTTCGTGTTTAGCTGCGAGGCAAATCAGGGGAGCGCGTGGGCTGCAACAGAGATGCGCCCACAGTATGCTTTCGTAGATGTCGGCCATTTGGGCCAAACCTTTGCTTGGGATGTGGAGCAGCAATGCGATGCGCGCGTGCCTGAGGTTGATGTCTTCATCCTTGGCTTCAGCTGCAAGTGCCTCATCTCAAAAGACGGTCGTGTTTTTGTATCATATTGTATGTTGCTTTAGTTTGCTTGCAGTTTGTGCAACATAGTAACATAACATAGTCTAGTCACATAGCACGTAAGATCGCGTAGTTGCCAGAGACGATCGCACCAGGGAGCTATCCGCGCTCAAGCATGGAAGTTCCAACTACAACCTCTCATCTGAAGAGGGAACCTCAGCAGTAACGCTACGTGGCTGCAAGCGGTATGTTCAGATGCACCTGCCCCATTGGGTTTTGTGGCTCGTCCTGGCGTCGAGCTTTCTTGCGTTCCTTTTCTTGCGAAGCAACGGGTATTAGTAGGAAAACGCGCATTGCTAGGTCTTGTGTCGCGCATTTCACCAAGTTCCAAGGATTGAGAATGTGTCCCGCCTCACTGGGAAGAACTTGCAAATTGTCCGCCGATGGCTTGAATCTTTTGACTATCATGTGGTAGTCACTGTGGAATTGGGATGGCCAGTGAGACGGGCTCGAGTATACCTCTGGGCTACATAAACCAATATGCAAAACAAGGATCCACATTTTTGGTATGCGAGACTGAAAGGTTCACCAGAAAGTTTGGCCACCGTGGCGGATACAGTCTGCCACACCAGGGCGTGGGCAAAAAGGCAGCTTGATTGCAACCAAAATAGTGGACAGAAATGGAAAGACCGGGTTTTGCTGCAGATGCTAGAGAAGCCTCTCATCGCTGGCCAGTCATCAAGCTTCGAACGTGGTCCCGTCGATGCCAATGTTGTGAAAGAGCATACGGGCTTTCTTTGCGAAAGGGAGCTTCATGTCTTGAGCTCTGCTTTGGAGGCAATGCCATGGCTTCGTTTCACCTGGGGGACACTGTCCTCAATGAGGACAGCAAGGGTCGCAGGCACACGATGACGATTTTCCGGATGGGATTGGATGAGATGTACCAACTGAGCTATGGATTCTTGGTTGCAGCCCTGCTTTTGGGCAGATTGTACTGTACCCTTTGCTTGAACGCCCTTCATTGCATTCATCGTCAGCTATCCTGTTCACACTTCGTG